ACGTCACATTGCCAAAGTTTTACTGGCAAATTAAATGTCATTTATAAGAGAATTAAATACGTTTAATTAAATTGATAGGAAATTACCAGAATTAATAAATACGGAATTTGCTATTTATAAGCGAATTCTGAAAGACGGTATTCTGCCAGTTCTTGCATATGATTTCAAAACCTGGGTCCTTACCAAATCTCACTTTAAAAAGATAGATAATTTATTCAAGAGGAAGACCTTATAAAAGATGGGTAGACAACATTAGGGCTGAAACAGATGGAATTTGGACAAGAATCATTGCAGATCATTGAAGAAAAACTTTGCCAACAAGTAAATAAACAATAATCATTAAGCAATTACGAAATTATAAGTTATAAAAATAATTTATGTAATGTCTGAATTTAATGTCTTAATAATTATTTTTGCGAATCTAAAATTTATAGGGTTCTCTCCTGTGTTAAAGTTTGTGTATAACTTTATGGCGATTAAAACTGTTTCTTTGCGGAGAAAAAATACCTTTATTGTCCAACAAACTCTATAGATAAAAAAGCGTTTCCACGTTCTAAATTTAATATTTTAAATCTATAAGTCATCTCGTTGTCTATTGATGCCTTTTAATAGAAAAAAAAAAGTTTAAAACAAATGAATATTAATTTTGTCACGATTTCAACCGCTTTTTAATAGAAAAAAAAAAAAAAAACTATCTATTTGTCATATGAGTAAGAATGATCTACTTTGCGCCTATATCTCGTATACATTATTATACCTAGTATATTAATATAATAAAATAGAAAAGTTTGAACGCGCTAATATCTGGAACTACCACTCAGATTTGATTTTTTTACATTATATTGCTAATTAAAGTCCGGCAACGGTGTTCATGGACGACGGTAGCCGCTTCCATCATGTGTATCGTCTGTTCGTTTCCTTCCCCAACAATAAATAAAAATTCTCATTTCTTAAGAAAAGTTGTAGGCTAATAGTTCAACAACACGACACGACCGAAGACGAAACCGCGGGAATACAGCTAGTCTATATATGTTCGTGCTCGATTACCATCTTATATAAAAGAAGTGGAGGAAAGTAAGTTAAAAATTCAACGATTAGCATTTCAAACTAAATTTTCCCGTTAAAGGCTTATTAAAATCCTCAACCCCGCACCGTCCAATCACGTCTCTTTTGAATATAACCCTTCCAATATAACTCTACCCTCGTTCGTTGTTTATCTATCTTTATGTCAAGCCCCTTGCGGGATAAGCAGAGAAAACCAAATACCATAAGCCTCTTTTATCCTTACATGATACATCTTTTGCTTTATTCACTTTCTTGGGTGCACTCCCGTTCCAAAGACATTTGACTCGTACCTCAAATACAACACGGCAAATCTTAATTAGGCATTATTATTCTTCTAGCTTCTGAAACACTGACTGTAACAGAATCTCTATGGAATAAGTCCGCCGAATAATAAAGCTTTGTAATGTGTCAAATATAAAGTAATTTTACATTACAATATAATCGTTTTTTTATACCCCAAAGGTGGCAAACAGCTTGTCTGATGATAAACGGTTACTGTAGCCTATAAACGCCTGCTACACTAGAGGTGTCACGTACGCGTTGCCAATCCTGAAAAACTTAATAATCACATCCTTTTTGAAGAACCCCATACTGTAGTCTCTAGGGAAAACCTCGGCAAGGAGCTCATTCCACAGTCTGAGTATTCGCGGAAGAAAATTCCTCTGAAACTGCATTGTACGTGACCATTTCGTTTCTAGCGTGTGAGGATGAATATATATCATATAAGTTTTTTTAATAGATGGTAACACTGTCTTCGTTTTTTATATAAGCTGACAGAACAGACAGTGAAGGATAATAGGTGACGATGAAGCAGGTAGTCGGCCTATCGTTCGATTAATAGAATAGAAATTAACTACGATGGTTTCAGGAAGAAACGCGAAAAAGTCGACCTGTTTTTACTAACAAATGAGAACTAATCTGACCTTACGTTATGTTAAGTTGCCTGCCCCCCCCCCCCCCCCATTACAAGTAAGTCAAAGTCTTCTCCAATACCAATTCATCCCGTATTTTTATTATTATCAAGAGACGGGCTTTTTCAGGCAGAAAAACTTGTGACACTGCAACCTTTCTAAGATTTTTTGTGCTCGCCTTTCTCAAAGTTTGCTGCTAAATTCTATCAATGATAAGAATTCTGAGATAGTAGGGATGATATTTTTATCTCCTCAGAATATAAAGTGTATTTTCCAAAGGAGATATCGTTTATATACGAATGGGCTACAGTCACATATTAAGTGCTGCGGCATTTCTTTCACGTTGTGACAAAATCTGCACTTTTTATGCATAAGACTAGTTGGGCCATATGCTTGTTTAGTTTGCAGTGCCTAGTGATAGCCCTTGTTAATTCACACATATTATTTTTATTTAGAAGAGAAACTTTTAGAGTATTTCCGAAAACATCTTAATCAGGACTTTAGGGCGTTTTAATCCTGGCAACAAGAGCCAGCTTTTATTTGCTGTATTTAACCTTCCGAGTTTCAAGTGTCTGAGCTTTAGGCTCAAAGCATTCTACAGTACGTTTTTGGTTCTATTTAGGCATTCTTTGCCCGTTCCTTTGCTATCCATTCTGGTAACTACATCCTTCAAGGAGGGAAGGGATAGTTAGTAATTGAATCTAAGGCTCCAATTGCTAGTAATACATCCTACCAGGTTGACCTTTACATAGTCCCCCCTGGAAATCATCGCGGTTAATTCCTGGTGAATTCGTCACAATGTCCTTTCATTATCACCTATCGTCTGTCAGTCTTTTTCCGTCAACGTATATCGACAGCGCTGGCTGAGTAACCATTCCATTTTCACAATGGAATATTAAAAAAACCGCATCCTTCATGCACATTTGTTCGTAATATAATTTTAAAAAAGGAAAGTAGTGGTTACAACACGATACGTTTACCGTCGCCGGCATCACGAATTTCGGTTACGCTCGCTGAACTAACTACATTTAATTACACATTCGGAAACTAAATAATACTGTAGCGACGTCAGTAAATACGTGTATTATGAAAGAAAACATCAGTTCCGTTCGTTGGATTGGATGTTACATGATTACTGTACAAATTGTTGTGACGTTCTTCTAATGGGGTTGGTGACTATAGTGGAATATTATTTATTTACGCTAGAGTTTTGTTTAGAGAACATGGATTTTGAAAGTGATTACCGTCACCAATAGATATAAACTATGAACCTCTCGAAATACACTGTGACACCACTTTAGTACCACTTACACAGGCCCACATCCAACCTTGATATATGGGGGGAAAGGGATTGTTAGTAATGGAGACTGAGAATCCCATTGCTGTAATATACCCAACCAGGTCGATCTCCTCGCGGTTCCCCTTGGAAACTATCATGGTTAATTCCTGGTGAATTCATCATGATGGGCTAACTGGCCTGTTTTCATTCTCATCTATCACCCTTCACTGATGCTCCGCCAGCGTATCCCGTTAGCGCAGGCGGAGTTACCATTACATTTTCACCCATCAAAAAAAAAACTTGATATATGATGGGATATATATACTCATTAGCACTGTGTGCTTTTTTTTCTTCTCATTTATGTATTAATTTACCTATGACTCACCACACAAAGGATTTAAGTAAATAATGAAATAGGAACAAATAATTTTTGTTCTACAACAGTGTATTGGTGGTGTGTTTTTCAAAAAAAGAACACAAACTTCAATTGTTACAAAACTAGTTATATTGATTTAAAAACCACTTAACTATTTTTGATAAATTTTTTATGGGACGAATATGAAAGATATATATTCTTTGAGAAAAGAAATTGATTGTTTACAAAAAACTCACTTACTACATTTTGACTCTGATTAGCTATAATTTGGATAGATTAAAAATCCACTTTACCATATAAACTGATTGATGAAAATCTAATCTTAATATTATACTGTCAGCCCCAAATATATAAAAACTGGCCAACTATAACAAATGAATCATACATACTATGATTAATTTATACTCCCTATTATAATTGTCTGGTTAATAAAGTATTACATATTTTTTTAAAGTAGGAATATGGAAAAATAAAACAAATATTAAATGAATGGCCTGCGGAGATGAGGGACATTATATCTGCCCGCAAAGTAAATTTCCTTTATATTTATTTTCTCTAACCAGCTTTTAAAGTTGGATGAGAAACAATCCTCCACATTATCCTAATATCATAATGAATAATAAGAAGTCTTAAAAATTGCAAATCAGAAATAGAAAACTTAAGGCTAGTTAATAAAGATGGTCAAGAGTATTCTTGTCTAGCAGTAAAATGGATTGAATACAGAACTATTTAATTATTTAAAGGAATTCAAATATTATTTACTTAAACTGTAGACTTTCTAATAATCTATTCTCAAATAAACCACATTAATCAACATATTCAGTAGCAAAAGACTGCAAGAGCTTACAAACAAGTTTGTTTAAATAAAAACTGAGTTTTAATTAAAATAATTATGTTAATTTGATGCCCATTTAGCTGCTTAATCATTGTTTGCTTAAATGCTTATAATAAATTTAAATAAAATTCTAATTGCCATTCTTTATAACTTAGCAATCATGATGTTATGTCTAACATCAGATTTACATATACAAACAGGTAGATATTTCAATTTACAGATATTATAGTGTTTAAAATTTAATCAAATTAATTATAAATAAAGTTCTTATTTCTTATTATAAATATATTTTAGATTCAATGTTTTTTTTTTATTTTTATTTTTATCAAATGTTTTAATTTTTACACACTAGACGGTAGAATTCAATCTAAATCCTATTTATTTTTCCAAAAAACTTTATGAATAGAGGTCAAATTGGTTCAGCCATTATGAAGTAATGCACTTACTAACTACCTAATAGCATTTATTTTTATTTATTTAATTGGATAATATCAATAATAAATTATAAAAGATTAATAATAAATAAGAACTCACCTCCTCTATATCTTTGTGGAATTTGATTGGCTTCATCAAATAAAAGTGCACTGAGAAGTACACAAAGTTTATCACAATAAATGCACTGTTCCACAGCACTCCGTCCAGGTAGCACTCCACACTCCACGCCCACATGCCCGAGAACGCGCACCCGATGATAAGCGCCACCCTCAACCATATCAACCCACTAGGAGTATGAGGAGCCAAGAATGAAAGCAAGAAAAAAATGTTGGCCACTTGGAAAAATATATGATTTATTGGCCGCCACTTGGGGCAGTGGTGTAAGTACAACTCCCACATTGACGGCTGCTCCTGAATGGTAACGTTCACGAAGTCTCCCACTTGGGATCCTGATAACTTCGTCGTCTCCAGCAACCCCATTTCACTTGTCCTCTCCGTGGATTCAGGGACCTCCGTGACGTCACTGCCCGTCGATGGCAAATCGGTCGTGACATTCTGCAGCCCAGTTATCATACCGATCGTTAAGGCACCGAGAAACAACATAGTCCCACCACGCTCCCGCCGAAACACGAACGAGTTTTGTCATCGAAATGTTACCGGCAATTGGCATTTGCGCTTGTTGATGTTCACTTAAACACTTAGATTTTGTACAATATTAAGAAGAAACATGAAGGTATTTACAGACGGCCACTGATCAGATTTATTTAAAAAATAAAATTTATAGAACTCATAAAACACTACAAGTTCTTGCAAAAGCGTTTGAGTGCAAAATTAAATAAAGGAGATGTCGGCGTAAAGAAAACTTAATACGAATAAAATCTTTGCAATAGTCTAAAATAAAACGTTAGAATTAGAAATAGTAAAGCAAACAATCGAAGCACGTAAATGACAGACTACACCAACGAACTATGACAGAAGCCATAGCTAACTACTTTTACTTCATAAAACTCGAAATTCAATCCTTCATAGACAAGGAGTAAGTAGTGTAGTTAAATGTTAGTTTCATAAATAACAGATAATAAAACATAGGTTATTTTAATTAAAAAAGTAGTAGTATGAGTACACTATACTCGCTCCATACATTGTAAAGCGGTTCAAGTAATGGCAATGGTAAGTAATATTTTAGTAGTTTTTATTGTAATGGATTTGAATTGATGAGATATTTGTAGTCAAAATAAATTAATAATCAAAATATATGTATACATAATTAACAGGTTCCTATCATTTTTTATTTTGAGAGCACCGATATTAACTAACTGTGATAAGAAAACGTTTATTATGTATTATTATTTATATAGATAATGGAGATGTAAAATATCTAATATTCAAAATAAACATCTTCTCATAATTCAAAATATGTTTAATTGAATTCCAATGTTACATTTTAGTGACTTTCTCCTCAATCGTTTTAGTCGTCCATCGAGTCATGTTACTTAATATTTATATTATTTAATATAATTAACATTTGCTTCGTGGTCTTAAGGATACAGATAAAACCGTTGTCCAATAAGTTATTATTAGAGGCCTTCTTATTTATAGAAGATGGCCTAGAAATTCTTGACAACCGAGAGAATCATCCTTACACGAGTATTAATAATAATAGTATTTAATAAATTAAAAGGTTTTTTAATTTGTTAAACGATTTTTTTAAACAGTTTTTTATTTGTATAATAGTTCGTTTTTCTATAACTAGATAATAGTGACTGACAGTTTTCGCATGGTCGTGATTGACATTGATGGACTTTTAATAGACAAAAGAATGACATTTAGACATTTAGGTATGGCGGTTTATAATTTCTTTTTTATTTATTTAGTAAAATTAAAATGAAATACGTCTTTTTTTAAGTATTCTATTCTGTGATTTTGTGATATGTTGAAACCGTAATGGCAGTACCGTACGAAATGTTATTACATCCTGAATTATTAACAAATGAGCAATTAATTCAGATTATAGAAGAAGTACTTGACAAATTTTTATTTTTTTTTTAATATTCTTTGCTCGTCATATAATTTGGGTATTTATAATATTTGTTCATTTTTTACAGAGACATTTACGAGTTTCAAATATGGAAAGTATACCAAGGCACGAGCTATTAGAGATTTTTCATAATTATTGCGTACCTTACGGCCAACGAAAATATAGAGACACAGGAAGAGGGAAATTATTGAACAAGACGCGCCAAACAAGCCCTGAACCAAAATCGGCTTTAAACAACAATAATCATTGTAGAAAATTGTCACAGCCATGGCCTACTGAAAGACTAAAACCACCACCTGACCAGTTAAGTGGACGAGTAAAATTGTTGAAATTAGATAATAAATCTGCATTTACAAACAACATTGTTGATACCTCAAAAAGAAAATTGTGTATTGATTCTGTAAGTAATCTAAAATCTACTAATTTTTAGAAAACAATAATAATTTATTTAAAGGAAATGAGATGTCTTTTTTCATTGCCGTTAATATGAAAATTATAAATTATGGGCAATATTACGTACAGATGATAAAAAATGATTAAAGAATCTTTGCTAAAAATATTTTACACATAAATACAATATTCATTGTGTTACTGTATGTTATTTGAACTTATTTATTATTTCATGTTGATGATTTAAAAAGAGTTCCCAATTTTATCTTTATGTAATTTATGTTTAGAAAGCACCTGCTTCTCATGATATATATCGCTAGATATTTTTTAAATAAAATACAATTGAATTGATATTTATAGCTTTTTTTTTTTAATTTATTCATAACAAACAAAAAATAAAATGGTTTCTCTTTATAGTATTCATATTAGTATAATATTAATCTTATATATTATATTTATTAAAACTATATGAATAATCTGTATATTTGGTTAAAACAATAAATAATCATGTTTCAGGGTTCCACAACAGACTGTACACCACCAAAACGGGAAAGGAAACCAATCACATGGCCTTAAAAGAGGGTTCTATCCTAATTATATTTTATAGACATTTGAACAATTATGCTTTCAAACATGTTATTATTTATAAGATTTTTTTTTGACAAACAACCTATTAAAAGCTACTGAATTATACTAGACATATTCACATACACCTCTAATATTTTTAATTCCAAGTTATTAAGAATGGTATTGTTAAACTAATTAGGCTAGTACAGAAAGAATGCCTAAATATAACCAGAACCTTATTGTGGCATACCTCAAAGCCTCAAGCTCAGATATATCAAATTTGAAAGCTTAGAAGCAGCAAAAAGTAGCTGGCTCCTATCTAAGAGGTTTTCAGCAAATTACTCTAAGAAATTAATTATTTTGAAAAAAAATAATATGTACATATTAACAAAGGCTCCCACTGGACACTGCAAACTGAACACGCATATGGTCCAACTAGGCTTATGCCGAAAAAGTATTTGCAGATTTTGTCACAATGAGGAAGAAACGCTGCAGCACTTAATATATGGCTGTAGCCCACTCATACATAAACAATATATCTCCTTTGGAAAACAAAGAATTTCTCCTGAGAATTAAAAAAAAAAATGTCCTACAAAAGACATCTTAAAATTCCTATAATTAATAGGAATTAACAGATTAAAAAAGGACAAGCACAAAAGGTCACAGTGTCACAAGTTTTTCTACATGAACAAGCCTATCTTTCAATAATAATAAATGGGGCAGAAAAGGTATTTCAACTTAAAATTTACTATTGAGTAGAGATGGGCAATCCACCTGGGTGGGTTTAAAGTCTGGTGGGTAAAAACCGGGTGTTTTGGGTTTATTGGGTTTAAACCCCATAAACACCCAAATTTTTGGGTGTTTATGATTTTGTACTTCATCATCGTCATCTCAGCCGCAAGACGTCCACTATACTGGACATAGACAATATTATTATGCAGCCTACAGAATAAAAAACTTTTAATTTGATTTTGAGTTTATTAAGAAAGAGATGAAAGTAAAATGTAAAACTACAGTCAATCACTGTCAGATTCAGAGTTATTACAAGCGATGAATTGTATAGGTTCGATAGGCTCTATTTCGTCTAAACTGTTATGTTCATTTACTTGCTCAATGAAAGCTTCTAAGGTATTTTCTTCATTAAACTGAATGTCCTCGCATTCAGCTTTATGTTTAAGATTCCAGTTATAACAAATGAATGAAATTTTTTCAGTTCTTTCAGTTGTAAGTCGATTTCTTTTGTTATTATGTATGTAGCCTTGGATACTAAAGGAACGCTCAGTGGCTGCCGAAGTACAGGGAGCTGATAGAATACGAATCGCTACTTTGCTTAACTCAGTGGAACCACAAATACCTTTCCACCATATTAGGGGCTCAATGCTATCTAATGAGCTCCATACAAATCCTCTGGCCCAAAAGTTTTCTTTAGCTTTATAACACGCCAAATCTGCCATTACATTTGACAAACTTAAGTGTTGGCTTAAATTGTAGATAAACTCCATACCCTTAAGTTCTTCCTCTTGAGTAAGTTCGACTCCTAGAGTCCTGGGGTCTAGAATATATGCTGCAAAATGTATTGGCCTCATTGCCATATTGCATCTTGAAGATACTGATGTTAGAATCTGCTGTTTGCTTTCTTCGCTCAATGTCGAAATCTCATTTAATGCAAAACGTATCTTAGCTTGTACATCTCTAAATGTAATGTATGTGCGATGCAAACGATTCTGGTCGCTCTCTAAGTAAAATATGCTTTCAGTGACTGGTTCCAAAATACTTATACATTCCCCTGTCTTCGTCCAGAAATCATCACTTAGAATTAAATCTTTAATATCTCTTGAAATTACCACATCTTCTCTAACTGTTAATATTTGCAAAGCTATCTTATTTGCTTTCAAACTTTTTAACGAAGTAACATGACTTCCCCATCTTGTAGCACAAGGCAATTTTAGTGTTTGTGTAGAATCTTCACCCTGCCTTGATTTTATCAACAAGGAACTTAATCGTTGACTCCTTTTAACAGTTTTTATTATATTTATGGCTTGCATAATAAACACAGTTACTTCTTGTATCTTTACAATATCTTGGCACAACAAGTTAAGGATATGTGCACAGCAACCGAGAGGAACAACATGTGGATATTTGAGTTTTGTTAATTCGAATGCCTTTTGTATATTTCTAGCGTTATCGCCAATAAGTACAAGAAACTTATTTGCTCCATACACTTTCATTACTTTTTCAACTTCTTGGCTAAGGTATTCACTAGTGTGAGGATTACTTTCTGTATTCAAACTTTTAACGTATGCAGGTTGAGGTTTTGATATAAGAAAGTTTATTATTCCTTCATTTCTTAAATTAGACCAGCCATCGCACTGAAGGTGTAAGTAACTACAAGCATTTAGTTCCTCATTTAACTCAAAACGCATTTCTCTATATATTTTATCTAAGTATTTTGTCGCTAAAGCTTTACGTGAAGGTATTTTAAATTTTGGTTGCAATTTTTCGAAAAATTGTATCCATAAAGGATGTTGCACCATCGATAATGGCGTCCCTGTTACAAATATAGCTCTCGCTAATTCTGTTTTTATATGATCATCGGTGTCTTGAAACTCAGCATTTATTGTAGTGTTAGCAGACGACGAGGGGCTTATAAAAGAATCATTTGTCTCTATCTCTGACAGTCCAGACATTTTGGTTTTGGACGAGCTATCTTTTATAAGTTTCATAGTCTTTTAATGTTTCTGGAGATTTTGGACAAGTGATAAGATGTTGAAGCATTTTGGCAGCATTACTGAATTTGTAGACCTTATTACAAAGCTTGCAAGAAACAGACTTGTTTGGTAAAGTACGGTAGTGCTCCCATATGCGTAAATCTTTAGGTCTCCCCATTGAACCTAAAAAAATGAACGATGATTAGTTGGTCTGACGAAAATTCAACAATAGAATGCCTATTTTTTTACAATGATTATTTCTTGTTATTTACAATAAATTTATTAAAAAAATAATAAAATAAATACAAAAAACCTTTGTAAAATTACATCTCCTCGGAGGATTAAACGCAGACGCTAGTTTATTATCGTATTGTTCTGTATTTTTCTCAGCAACTTCTTTAATTCGATTAGGTACTTACGCATATTATGTTAAAAATAAATATCTAGTACACATCTTAGGCTATCCACCATTATTATCCAATGACGACTCTCAGCTAACTATGCACTATCATCCAAAATAAACGTGTATGGAAAATTTTATCCCAGTCGGTTGAGGATTGAGGATAATTGCATCAACATACGAACATACCTACATACTTTTATTTACATAACGCAAGCTAAATAAAAGCTTGTAATAATACATCTAATTTTAAGTTAAAATTGTTAAGTGATCATGATATAATTGTATCATTCAAAAATCCACTTACCTTTAATTATTTCTTGTTAAGTATAAATATTATTTCAAATCTGCTCCCTTAATATGCACTTTTTTACTGCTTTTCCTACCTAACACGTTACCAGGAAGTCACGTTACCAGAGTCAGAGTAATAGTGAACACGTTTGACAGTGATTGTCGTCGCCTCATATTCAGCGTCGACGAATAGGGGAATCCCCAGTCATAATGTATTGCATGCGTGGCGGTCTTACTTCAAATCCATAAACAAAGAGATAATTACAGAACTCGATACTAGGTGGCGCTGTTTTTGTTTGAAGAAAGTTTGCGGGCTAAAATACATAGAATTTCATCAATGACTTCCACAAAGAACAACATTTCTGTTTTTTCTAAGTCCGTATCTCTTCCGTATATTTCATAAGATATAAGCTTGGGCTACATTGTTATGCAACGTGATTTTGTCGCTGTCTTGCTAGCAGGGTTGACAGATATACGATTTAAATCGTACTCATACTATTATTTGTCTATTTTTTAATGTACGATCGTAAAGATTATGATCGTAATTCGCACAAAAACATACGACTTTTTGGTTACCTGGCAACATTTTTATTATGAAACGAACATGCTCACATCATCAGTCACATGCAACAATTTATTGGGGATTTCCCCTTCACATCTGGCAGTCCTGCTTGCTAGAATATAGATAAGTCAGCCACAGTTACTGACGATCGATATTTAAAGGGTATTGTTTTTGTGCTAAATATTTCATAAAAACGTTATTTAATACTTTGTGGATTATTAATTTAGTTGATAATCACTGGAAGTAAAATGGATGCTAATTTGAGAGATCAAGATCTTCGTATAAAACAGTTAATAAAAGAAAATCTACGTAAGTACTCTTTTTATACCTAGGTAGGTAAGGTATAATAAACACAAAAGGTACTTAGATCGCGTGTGTTCGAAGCATTTATTCTAATAAATTTAATTTAAAATTGTAGAAAGAAAAAAATGTCTGCCAAGCCGTAGCCGAAGCCGATCTCCAAATATATTTGGCGATAGTGAGACCCAGTGTCCAGATGATTTACCCAGCGTCGTCGCAACAAAAAAAAAAAACGAGGATAAAGTAAAAGAAAATTTACTGAAAGAAGAAACAAACTGTTCTAAATGCTTAATTTATGGAGAAGAGGATAAAAGAAATGAGTATTTCGGACTGTTAGTGGCTCAAGAATTTAAATATATACGGCCATGTGTGCGAACGAGGTGTTATGAAGAAATTTTAAAGTATCTACGGGAAGCAAAAGGCCAACATGTTGATCAACTGCAACATGAAAACACTGAAAATTAATTACTTTCATTTTATTATATATAGATTTTTAAAATTTCCTGAAATATTATTAGTTAACGTTTTATTTAATATTGTAGAATTGATCAATACAATTTATAAAAATAATTTATTGGTATTACTTACATATTTTCAAAAAAATACGTAAAAACCTATTTTTTTGGGTGATTATGGGAGTTTATGGGTGTTTATTGGGTTTTTACCAAAGCACCGGGTTTAAACCCGGTGCTTTGCCCATCTGTACTATTGAGGCATTTTTTAAATAATAAATTAGAAAATTTAAAATTATTGGAAATTCTTTAATTGTTTTTGATAATGAATAATTGCAATATTGTTACACTGTATATTTATAAGTGTATTTATAAATTTTGAAATGAAGCTAATTCCTTTTTACATGTTTGGCAAGTGGCATATGGCATCACCAAAGGTTTAAGCACAATTAGATAAAGTTGGTTTGCTTAAATAACTGGTGAATAAAATGTAGTACAGCTGTCAGTGGACTGCTTCTCAAAATGCTAATTTTCACAAAAAATACTGATTATCTGACCAACTGATTCTGTTGTGGAAGAGCCGATTGGAGATAACAAGAAAAAAAAACATCTACAATAGTCATTGATGGACTTTATTTCTTACTGTAGATATTATGTATTCTGGTATTGTTGTTGTTGTACCAGCCATTAAGTGTCCACTCCTGAACACAACCTGTATTATTGTGTAATAATTTTATATTTCTATCTCAATTAAAATAATTGTAACTGTAAAATAATTGTTAACTGTCATTTTGTCAAACAATATTAAAGAAGAATAGGATAGCGGTTGAACATTTCCTATTTTTGACCCATAAATTATAAATATTTAATATTCATACATATTTACACATTACATACTTTAATTTGATATTGGCAATGTGTTTGCTCAAACATTTTAGACTTTAAATCATGTTTCTTCAGTAGTCAATTCTAAGGAATTATTCATTGACATTTTTAAGATTATCTTCCAAGGGAGGTATGACCTCTTAAAAAAGACGTATATGTACTCTCTGACATGTGTTTGTGAAGCTTGCTTGCATCTTGGTGTAAGTATGGCTTATTTGGCCCCCATAGGTACTGTTCTTAGTCTATGCTACGAATATTGTTCTCAAAAATTACTCCCAATCTGTATTTAATCTAAATTTCTGTTTTTATGTTATTGCATTATTTCATTATTATTTTTTTATTGTAATTTTATTTTACTATATATCTGTGGGGTATATAAGTACATTTTAATGACTTGTCATAATGAATTTGATGTAAATAGGTTATAAGAATCAAATTTGTTGTTTTACTTGTACACTTAAATGAAGTCTATGACACAAATTTGTAATAAAATGACGAATTAATCGCTTTTAAAATCCATTTTATTTAGTATTGCTTTGGATAAAACTATTTTTTTTATGATCAATCCTTTTTACAAGGTAAGGACTTTTATCTACTTTATGTTATATAGATATGTAATTAATAACAAACCGAAATTATAAAGTGTATGCATTTTTATTTTCCCTCGTTCAAACGACTTCAATATTTCCTCCCTATCACAACCATGAATCCTATTAAATCATGCTATCTCAAACTATCCTATTTCCTATTTTGGATTATGTTGACGTTAGTTTTTTTTTATACAACTTAGAATGGCAAACAAGCTGACGACCCACCTAATGGAAAGTGGTATCTGTCGCCTATAGACATGAGCAGTACAATAAAAAATATATGTGTGTGAATAGTACAATGACATTATTATTACTAACTCATTTCATAAACTTCTACCTTAGATTATAAGTTTCTACATTCAAATAAAGAACTGTCATGTGTCAATTGACAAATAACAAACCTGGTACCATAGACTTAGTATAATATATACTTCATAATCTAAGTTTATTACTATACCTACTTATTTCATAAGCCTCACTTTATTCGTTTCTACATTCAAATAAAGAACTAATATCTGTCAACTGACAAATCAACAAACCTAGTGTTGTTGATAAGTCATAATATAATATATAATTATACTAAATCATGTACGATCCAACACCAAAAAATGCTAAATCAAAAAAAAGCAGACTCGATACGATCAATCAAAACGAGGAGGGCAAGCGTCCTAATGTCTCCAAAGTGCATTCCCACTTTCTAGTTCCCTCCGAGAAGTTGGATAAAGTGACCAGACGAGTCATCGCTCCTTATGCTCAGATAGAGAGGAAGGGATTGAAAGACGAGGAATATAGAGAGGGGCGATATTTAGATATAAACAGATTCAATGTCTTCTTGGAAGACACTGTGGATCTCGACTCATTGCTGTACGAAACGGCTATGGTCTTAAAAACGATTACTGATAGTTCTGGTAAGTAGGTATAGATTGTCTACGTTAAAATGGCACGCCCCTCCAACTTTTTACTTCAATATGTGTGACCAGGTGTAGACATTGGTGATCTGTTTGTATTTGTGAGAAAACTTCTTCAGTAGTCGTCCGGCCGGAGAAGTGTAAAATCAGTTTACTTACTCTTGCTCTCTCATTGTTAGTTCTTTTGATTTCGAAGGAGCGTAATATGTTATCACTAGCTCATTAGAAGCAGTTACGAAGTACCAAATGCGTGGCACTACGCCGTTTTTATGTTTATGTTTTTTTTTATTCTAACTTAAAAGATACAGCGTCTAGAATTTTTTTGTTTTGTTTTCTACAAACCTTGTTAATCAATTATATTTTTGAACATGTTGAAATGTGTTGGAGTATGTTTTATTTTGATTCGAAATCTAGAAGTTGTAGTTTTACTACTTACAATTTATGCAGGAGTGGTCAACTCCTAAAGAATAGCCCCTTTATTTATAAAAATAACAAACAAATCTCTCATAATCCTATTTTAGTTATTGAGATTTTTTGTCTGTTTTTTGTACTAAATTCTCAGTTTGAAAGTGACAAATCAGTGTATAAGTAAAATAGGTTTGTAGGATGTTTTAGTTTTTATGAATAAGGGGGTATATTTGTAACAGCTAAGATGTCTGTAACAATAGGTACATATCAAAGTCAATATGAGAGACAGAGAGAGTTAGAGAGTGCCGTTTAATTTTGCAGGCGTTTTCGTCTACATTGTAGACACGTTAAAAAATGAAATCGTAATGATGCCACACAACACCAAGCTACCAGAACGTCATGAAGTTAATATACCTATTGGTTAGTGAACAAATAGTTTTCTTTTTTGTATCAGCCGTTAACTCTACTCTGAATATAGCCTCCCTTATATGGGGGGTTCGCCAGTAGTTGCCACGCTTGTCAGGCGAGTTGGCAACCCATTTTGGCTTTTAGTGATGTTTTAACTGGGACGCTACTGCCCATCCCTCGACTGTTAAGTTCCCTTAGTCTCCTCTTACGACACCCACGGGAAATGGGTAACCTGCTAGCTACGCCGGGACCTACACGGCTATTCCTAGATACATCATGATAATTTGTATCAGCTTGTGTTGTTGTTATGCATTTTATGTATTCTATGAAAATATAAATCATAGGTTCTCCGTAGAAGAGCCAGAGAACAGCAGTTTTTTTTTCATTTTAATTTTTTCATAGTAAAGAAACAAGAACCCCGTGTACACTATCCGTATACACTTTTTTACACAACTTAGAATGGCAAATAAGCTAACGCCCCACCCGATGGAAAGTGGCAACTGTGGTCTATAGACATGAACAGTACCATGGACATAACAGAGTATACTGTGTCGTCCGTGATACCCCTTAGATATGCGCTGACATTTTGAGGACTAAGCTGTTATGCCTTGGTACTATGTAATTTCACTGCCATATCCCAACCTTCAAATCGAAATACAGGCATACAAACAACTGCTTTATGACAGAATCAAGAAAAGGACAGAGGTATCCAAGCAAATGAAGAATTTTGTACAGTTTCCCTCTAGTAAATGAGAATGAGAGATGACAAGTTAGTTGACTCATAGTGACGAATTCAACAATTATTAACCACGATGATTTACAGGGATATTTTGGTAGGAATACAGTAGTTAGGCCCCATTATTAGTAGATAATTCCTTTCTCCCCAGAAAAAGATAGGGGGCAAGAAATGAGATCATTCATCATTGAAAAGGCGCAGATAGTACTCATAGTTTTTATTTAATAATTGACAATGTGCTGTTAACACCATAGTTTTATGGTGGTAAGATACCAGTATGAGAGATAATAGAAGCGTATGAATTAGTTAGACTATTGTAATAAATATACCACGAATTCACAATTTAAAAAAGATCTGAATCCATCCATGTAATCCATTTTTAGAGGAAGGTAAAGTAGCGGCTGCCCATGTGGCAGCAACCAAAGAGTTTCTACTTCTAGAAGATGTGCAGCGTGACCGGAGGTTCGCGGAAGGTCTCAAGTGGGTAGATGCAAAGGTCGCACTACTGATGCCAGTGGTGAAGCCTGACGGAGAGTGTTATGCTGTGCTGGAATTGTATAGAACTTCCACAGAAGTTTATGACGAAGTGAGATGATAATATGAACTGTTAATCATTCACTGCTAAATACCAGGCCTCCACAAAAGAACGGTTTTGAACCACCTGAATTCACTGACTCCTTACAATGCATTTATGGTTGTCGCTTCATTTTATGGGGGGTCATCTTAGACTACGTTTTTTTTTTATACAACTTAGAATGGCAAACAGGCTGACGGCCCACCTGATGGAAAGTGGTAACCGTCGCCTATAGACATGAGCAGTACCATAGACATAACAGAGTATACTGTTTCGCCCATGATACCCCCCATGCGTTGCCATTCCTGCTTGTTTGTCAGCTTGTTTGCTATTCTAAGTTGTATAAAAATAAAAGTATTTTTAATTAATTAATCAATAGTGCTGGTATATTTAATAATTTTCTAAATATATTAGAAAATTATTTATTGATTATTTTGTAAAATTATGTGGTATGGACACTAATGTCTGCCCTACATCGTCATATTCAGAACGTCGTGTATACAGTGGTGAGTGTAGCGTGCTGGGCCGGCGCTGCGGTCCACCAGGCGCAAGCGAGGGTCACTCTGCAGAAGACTGCCCATCTTAATTGCGAACTGCGCACGCTGCTGCAAAACTATTTCTGCGACTTGGCCTCCATTGACACAATGCTAACCGATATGTTGGTATGTATATATTTTTATTTTTTACTAGCGGACCGTCCCAGCTACGCACGGATGGACATTTTTACATTTTAAAAAGTGGCCATTAAATCTGTACACGCGACGGTAGCTTAAAAATGGAGTAACTTCTACCGTTTTCCCAACATTTATCTTTACTGCTCTGCTGCTATTGGTCGTAGCGTGATGAAAAGTATACTATAACCTGCCCAGGAGTATGAAGAATAATTGTACCAAGTTTCATTAAAATCCGTCGAGTGGTTTTTGTTTCTATAACGAACATACGGACAGACAGACAAAAATATTACTGATTGCATTTTTGGCATCAGTATCGATCACTGATCACCCCCTGATGGTTATTTTGGAAATATATTTCATGTACAGAATTGACCTCTCTAGAGATTTATTATAAGTATAGATAGATAATAACAAAGCTTTTGAATTGATAGCTAATTAATTATAAGAAGATATGTACATCGGACGTATGGTCCCGGCATTTTATGGACCATTTACTTTCTCGAGGGTGTTATTAGTAATCTAATCCTAACTGACGTTGCCATTCCGCCTGACAGGGGGGGGGGGTTAGTTAGTAATGCGGATTACCAGCCCCATTGCTAGCAATATACCCTCGTGGTCGACCTCCACATGGATCCCCTGGAAACCATCATGTTGAATTCCAGGTGTATTTATCACGATAGGCTAACTGACCTGCTCTTTCATTTTCACTTATCACCTCTCACTGGTGCCTCGTCAGAGTATAGCGCAGGCGGGGTTACCATTCCATTATCATCCATTACAAAAAGAACCGCCTGACAAGTATGATGATATGATGTACTTCATAAGCGTTTATTAAAGGGGGGGGGGGGTCATTGCACACCCGAGAATTGTCTGGTGCCCAGTCATAACTTATCTATCTTCCCTTGCAAAATAGTCATAAATACGTCAGTGATGTACCTAAAAGAAACCTATTCATATACTTTCGAAATGAAGAGGTCAAATTCGCCTGAAAAAAATTATTGCGACTTTATTACATCGCCATTTCTGAACCAATTTGCATAATTCCTTCTGCAATTTTTTTTTTTTTTTTTTTAGTAAAATTAATAATATTTGATTAAAAATATAGGAAATAATAAGCAATAATATGTCACAATGCGATTCGCACGACCACTCGCCCGAACATTACCCAGGGGAGTAGCCTAAAGCGGGAGGTTTGCAGTCTAAGCTTAAATAAGTACATCACTGCAAATAAAAATAAATCAAATTCCAGAAGGTATGATATAAATTAATAAAAATATTTGATGATAAAAAATGACATTAATCGTCCATGACGTAGGCCATAGTGAAGTCGTTTATGGGCGCCATGAGGAGCAGTTTTTTCATCATCGACAGAGATCACGTCGGTGAAAACATACAAGCTGACATGTGGGATGATGGATGGACATCGGAGAAGACCACCATGCCAAAAAAGAGATTAAAAATAAAGTATATCGTTTACGCTAATATTTATATTTTTAAGTTATAGAACTTACCCCAAAAATATTAGCAACTATTAAGTCGTATACCTAGAATAAGAAAGCTGAACTGACAGTGAAAACAAACTGATAGACAAGTGGTGATCTCGTATTTTCTTTTAATGGGTGAAAATAGAATGGTAACCCCAATGAGGCACCAGTGGAAGATAAAAGGTGAGACTGAATGCAGGTCAGTTGGTCCACTATGTTGAATTCGACAAGAATTAATTAACCATGATGGTTTCCAGGGGGAACCGCGTGGAGGTCGACTTTCGAGGGTGTATTGCTAGCAATGGGGCTATTAGACCTCATTACTAACAATCCCTTTCCCCCCGGTGACCCCGTATTGTGTACAAATACAGTCCATTCGTTATAGAAAACGACAACCACTAACATTTTACATCGATAATGAAAACAAGTAGCTCAGAATTCAGAACCTTTCCTTACATTAGCCTATTGAGGCTGGTCCATATTCGGAAATGATGGGGGGGAGAGATTGTTGGTATCATAGCCTCATTGCTCGTTATATATTTTATCAGGTTGATTTTCATGCGGTTCCCCCTGGAAACTTACGTAGTAAATTTTTTGGAATTCATCATGACGGGCTAAATCCTGCTTTCATCCTCACCTATCGTCTCTCACTGGTACTCTGCCAGCATATACCGATGGCACAGGAGGAGTTACAATTTCATTTTCACCTATTAATAAAATATTCGTAAAAGGGGATGCTGAAATGACTTTTCAGTAATTTCTCTACACCCATCAACATTATTTCAATGTAGATGTTGATAATAGTGACTAAAGTGACAATGTGAGACATGATCGGTTCATGTTTCACTATGCACAATATCAGAGGATGACCACTAGTGAAGTGAGGACCCTCTCATCATCACAAGTTAAAGAAGAAAGTGATAACTACAATGACTTGCAGCATATTCTAAATTACTCCAGTACGTTAGTAACATTTACAATACGTATTCCAGTCTAAGCCAAGAACAAACTCCAGCAGGCTATGTGGCCAGAACAGGAGAGTCACTAAACGTGCGAGACGCATACATAGATCCCCGGTTCGTGAAGGAAATAGACCCAACAACGGGAACAGTCGTACGATCATGTCTCGCTGCACCGATTGTAGACAAACATGGAGTCATTGGTTAATTTATCAAATTTAAATATTATATCTGTAGACTATAACGAGGGTGGCTTTACAGAACCTACCTTAGATGTTGCTTCTTCTACTTCAGACAAGAGTTGACTAGCATGATAATTTTTGGCTGGAAAGTTATGGTGTGAAATTACTGGAAACTGAGACTCGAGATAATTAGATTAACTCTCAATTGAAACCAAGTTGACTGGTGTTGCAAGCGTCCATGGGCTACGTATTATCATCAGACGGGGACGTAAAGTTGGTTTACACTATCATTGTAAATATAATTTGACTTCAAAACAAACTACCATATTGTAAAATTTAGACAGATACAGGCACGTTTGTTTGTAGAATAGGTTGACCAAATACTTTAATTAAATGTAAATTACGTATCCCAGGTGTAGTGCAATTAACAAATAAAAGTAATGCGCTGCCATTCAACGCAGAAGATGAGACTATATTTAAAGTATTCATCAGTTATTGCTCCCTGATAGTGCACTTTTACCATATGCAACAAAAGAAGATTTATCACGTAAGTTTTGCTTCTATTTGTATAAACATGCCCTATCATACAATACACCCTCTTTTAGTGTAGAGGCACTTTCCATCGCATACATCCTTTCTGACGTTGAACTTTCTTATACAGGAGGTAGAATCGGAAATTGTTTTTAATCGTCTACCTTTTTTTTACACAACTTAGAATGGCAAACAAGCTGACGGCCCACCTGATGGTAAGTGATAACCGTCGCCTATAGACATGAGCAGTACCGTGGACATAACAGAGTATACTGTTTCGCCCATGATACCTCCCATGCATTGCCATTCCTGAGGACTCAGGTGGTATTCCTCTGTACCCAGTAAATTCACGCCATATCCCACCCTTCAAACCAAAACACAGCCATGCAAACACAACTGCTTCACAGTTGAAACACGAATTGGACAGAGGTACCCAAGCAATCGACTTTTGTACAAAGTCTCCCTCTCCCTAATTATAATCATAAGAGTAAGATAAAAGAAGAGAGCGAACAAAGCTAGACAATGTGTGAGCCGAATATTACTAACTGCTTTTGGCCAGTTCCAAAAATTAATGAAATTGTCTTTTAATTTAAAGGATAATTTGAACAAAGTGTATTCTGATTTGATGAGTCTACACCTGAAGCCTTGCAAACATGACATGGAAGAACTGATAGAGACAAACGGTATGGTACTGCCGCCTAACAATTTCAAATCGTGAGTGACGCAATTAGCTATTGAAGTATTTTGTCCTTTTCACATTGTAATCGACAGTTTCAATTTATCAAAATCAAACGGTTTCACTTTAATTTCTAATCAATCAACCTCAACAGTTACGATTATCACATAAGCGACGGCAGCAAAGAAGACATGCCAGGACTCATCTGCTATATGTTCATGGAGACATTCGCAGACCGCAACTTCGACAGGAATCAGCTGGCAGACTTCGTGTTCACAATACTAAACTGCTACCGACACAATCCGTACCACAACGCGGAGCACGCCTTCTATTTCACCCACACCATGTATTTAATACTGCTCAACAATTCTGGATACTTCGATTTTGTAGAGGTACTTCGTAAATCCAAACTTCTGTTCTTTATCATCGTCATCATGTCACCCGTTCGCTGTCCACCAATATAGAGTACTGTCTACCCCCATAAAGAACGATCCCGAACCACCTGTGCCCACTGACTCCCTGTAATGCAAGTTATGAATAAACGAATGTAATAAGCAAAGTTCATTTCGGAGACAAAAGACTTCCCGTGCCCCCCCCCCCCTGGAACCATCATGCTGAATCCCAAGTGTAGTCATCACAATATGCTAACTGATCTGCCTTTTTTATTCTCACCTATCATCCCTCACTGGTGCCAGCGTATATCCTTAGCGCAGGCTAGGTTATCATTCCATTATCATCCATCTTAATTGTTATTGCTGTGATATAAAAAAAAAAACTTCACGTAAAATAAAATACTCAGGTATAATGCAAAAAAAATCTGAGCTCGCGGCCTCTTGAACCGGGGCCCTTTTGGGTCGGGGGCCCGTGGCATTTTGCCAGCCCTATTGTTACGCCACTGAACATTGCTAAAGAAACCGATAAACGATCAGATATTATTGTTGACAGACGGTAGCGCTGATGCTGGCAGGGCTGTGCCACGACCTCGATCACCCCGGCTACAACAACAACTTCCTATCTCTCTGCAAACATCCTCTAGCCCAAATGTACAAGTCGTCCATGCTTGAATATCATCATTACTTTCTTGCAAAGAAAATTATTGAGGTACTGTACTATGTATATTAATATGAATAATGACAATGACTGTCCCATGTGGCCAGACAACACTGGGACTGGATCAGCACAGGGAATGAAGCGATCAAAAATATCAAGTTTAATTTTCAGAAAGTAATATGCAAATATTGCGTCGTGAGAGGCGACTAAGAGAATTTATGGTGGAGGTATGGGCAGCGGCGTCATTCTTAAAACATCTGTAAAAACCTAACTGCGGTTGCGAACCTGCTTGCAAAGCGTGGCGGCTACATGCAAAACTCCCCTTATGGGGAAGGTTTATGTTCAGCATTGGGCTATTAACGGCTGAAAATAATAATTTAATAATAATAGTATACAAATATTTAAAATAAAACAAATAGTACTGATTCGTAAAAATTGAGGCACTTTTATGTGAAGTCGTTCAAAGTGAGAACACTTTTTTTATTTTTTTTATGCAACTTAGAATGATAAGCTGATGGCCTGTGATTCTCAAGGCCTCGTACTTAATGCCTCGTTTCTGAGAACTAAGGTATTATGAATCTGTACGCTCTAATTATTAAAATATTTCAGGACAAAAATATCCTCGCCAGGATACCAGATATGGACCGTGTGCGTATAATGGAAGAGATAAAGTACGACATCTTGTGCACAGACCTGGCCGTCTACTTCCAGATACGAGCCCAACTCACGCCTCTAGTCGCGGACCATGCTTTTGACTGGACTGATAACTCACATCGGCGGATGTTAAAGGTCTTTGTTTGAATGTCTAGAAATTTTTTAAATTCAATACAAATACACCAGAGGGAGACTTTGTACAAAAGTCGATTGCTTGGCTACCTCTGTCCCATTCGTGTTTCTACCGTGAAGCAGTTGTGTTTGCATGGCTGTGTTTCGGTTTGAAGGGTGGGATATGGCGTAAATTTACAGGGTACAAAGGCATAACATCTGAGTCCTCAGGAATGGCAACGCATGGAGGGTATCATGGGCGAAACAGTACACTCTGTTATGTGCATGGTACTGCTCATGTCTATGAGCGACAGTTACCACTTTCCATCAGGTGGGCCGTCAGCTTGTTTGCCATTCTAAGTTGCATAAAAAAAAAACAGTGATGATTTCAGAGTTTGTAAACAAGTATGCTTGAATAAAGATAGTTTGAATTTACCTATATTTCTGTTCAGCGTTCGAATTCCAAAAATCAGAGAATATAAATACAAAAGATTCTAGATCGCCCATAGGCGATGTATAAGAATTTCTTTGGATCTTGATTTTTTATCAACCAATCAATTTCTTTGTCCTTTCAACTTTGGAGGATATGAAAAAATAATTATAACATTAATCTTATACTATTGCAGGGTATATTAATGACAACGAGCGACTTGTCTGGTTGCTGCAAGCCCTTTGGTGTAGCGAAGGCAATAGCCCAATCAATTTATGCTGAGTTTTATAATCAGGTGCAATTAATTGAATACTTTTTAGGTAATGATTTCAGTGGCTGTGTGGTCCCGGCATAAAAAAGACCACTCTTTTTTTCCTGTGGGTGTCGTAAACGACTAAGGGACGGCGAGGGATGGACAGCAACGCCCCTTTTATAACATCTCTAAAGCCTGACTGCGGTTGCCAATCCGCCTGCCAAATGTGGCAACTACTGGCAAACCCTCCCAAGGGGGAGGCTTATGTTCAGCAGTGGACGGTTAAGAGCTGATATGATGATGACGATGAATCATTCCACTTACTTTAGTTACTTAAATTATGTTCAATTCTTTTTTAATGGACAAAAATGAAATAGTAATGTCTCCTGCACTGTCGGTATGTACAAACGAAGCACCAGTGAGAGAAGATAGATGAGAAGGAAAGCAGGTGAGTTGGCATATCGTGAATTTATAATAATTAACCACAATGGTTTTTAAGGGAAACCACTGCACGGAAGTCGTCCTGATAGGTTATATTGCTAGCATATTGCTAGCAATGGGGCAGTTAGACCTCGTTATTAACAGTCACTATATGCCCAGTCTATTTGTCCTTTTCCCTCACCATATGCCATTTCAGCTTGATGATCTTTCATACTTCTAAGAGCACATTAAAAGTATTCTTGTGTGTGGCCTCTGATGAGATGAGAGAGCCTTCGTTTACAACAACATCTTGGAAATACTCAGCACATCCCTTCTCTAGTTTTTTATTGTACTAGCAACACTTTGCTCCGCTGCTAATTTTTTTTTAATGTCACGTACGTGTGTTCAATTCGACTCCGGTTTTAAACAAGTTATAATTGCGTTTCAGTGTATCTGTATGTATATAAAATTAAACACAGTTTACAATCAAATAGTTTATTTATTGCGCTCTACTGTAATAAGATCGAACACAACAGTGGGCTAGAAATCCTTAACCCCAAAGGAATGTTGACAAGAATAATTTTAAATAGATGAAAAGGCAATGATAACTTCAAGCGGATTAGACAGATGTGAATAAAGTTAGGTCAGTCAGCTTATTGTCACGAATTCGTCAGAAATTAATCACGACGGATTCCACCGACTATTTGCATATCAACCGATCAACAATCTGTCCCCCCCATGCCCAATTCGTAGCATATAATTTACTAAGTATACCTAGGGAGACAAAGAACGTGCTATGGGCTACACGCCCCTCAGCATGATGGACCGGCGGCGGCGCGTCAACCAGCCCGCCGAGCAGATCCAGTTCCTCTCCGTGGTGGTGCTGCCGTGTCTGATGCTACTACAAAACATATTCCCCAATACTGTGCCGCTCATTGACAACTGCAGGTGAGTCTCTTGTCATTTTTCTTTAAGACCCACGCAGACGATTTTTTCTCCGGAATTAAATTTTGTTTTGTGTTAGCAGAGTTTTTTTTTAATGAGTGATAATGGAATGGTTGCCCTGCCTGTGCTATCGATATACGCTTGCGGACAGTATATGGGCTAACTGACCTGCTTTTTCATTCTCACCTATCATCGCTCACTGGTGCCCTGCCAGCGCAGGCGGGGTTATCATTCCATGATCATGTGTTCATCCCGTCAGTGCAGGTTACCATTCATTATATCATCTATTAAAAATAGCCTGCCCACATAGATAACTGGTAAACGAATCGATCAGTAGAAACGTTTAGTTTAGCGCTCGAGGGATATTTGACAATTCTGAACCGATTTTAATTATTCTTATTCAATTATAATTTAAGATTGTATTTTACAAAAATAACCGACTCGAGTTGCAACAAAACCAGTTATTTTGATTTAAAAATTAAAACTAATGAACCGATTTTGATTAAATTTCTACAGGACTAATCTATATATATAATAGAATTAGGAAGTAGTAGAATTTGGAAAATGCTTCATTGAAAAAAGAATTTTCCAAATCAGTTTAGAACTGATACAGTTATGAGACAACATACAATTGTTGTTGTTGTGGGCGATCATGGGCGGCGGTAGTCACTTACCATCAGGTGAGCCGCATGCTCGTTTGCCCTCTGTGTTGTAAAAAACAAAACAAAAAAAAGAAACGAAGTGAGACTATTTAATTTTGAAGTCGGTTGAAAAGGGTTTACTCCTACGTTGGTTTTATACAAATTTTGGTTAATACTGAAGCCAGTGAATAATATTTTGGACAGAAAAACCCAAGAGGCGTGGCACGAAGAGATCGAGATCAGAGGACAGAAGCTGTGGCGACAGGACGATTCGCTGCCGAGCACTGCGCGAGGACAGTTCCTCATCAACAAGTCTGATCGAGATATATAATAATTATTAAATCGTAGATTATATAAATAGAGTATCGAGTCTCAAAAACGGCTCAACTTTTTGTCAGCTAATTATCGAATTAGCTGACTCGTTTTTTTTATTAGTGTTCTATATACTTACGCATACAATTTATCTTGATGTATTTATATTTAATTATTTAATAAATAAAATGAGTTGTGACCATTTCATTGACTTAAATTTGAAAAAAAAATACTAATATAGTATTTTAGATGTATTATTATTGTTATTGAATTTACCTTGTAGTGCCACCATTAAATGGGCCACCCCTTTTCCCATGAATGTCGTAAGGGGATTTAATGGTCGACGGATGGGCAGCAGCGTCCTTTTTAAAACATCACCAAATGTCAAACTGCGGTTGCCAACCTATCTGCCAAGTGTGCCAACTATTGGCAATACCCTCCTTATGGGGGAGAAATGTTCAGCAATGAAAAGGTAATGTCTTATATGATTACTATCGAACTATAAATCAAATATTGGTCTTTGTTTCAATAACTAAATTTATTAGCTACTTCAAAATAGATTCTCAAATTCGGAACCGATTTTAATGATTCTTATTTTTAGAAAAGAATAGATACCAGTTTTAGGGGTACTGCATTAAAACAACGATAGTGACATGATAGCAAATTTATTTATTAACCTAATTATGATCCACATAATACAAATGTAACCGATGTTTACTGGTGTTTAACAAATAACCATAAAAATCAATTTCGTGTAACCGACCAGCCCTAAAAACAAAGTACATTTTTACCGATTTAGTATCGTGGGCGTCACAGCATATTCTTTTTTTTTTTATACCACAGGTAGCGAACAAGCATACAGGCCACCTGATGGTAATCGGCTACGGTAGCCAATGAACACCTGCAATATCAGGGATATAACGTGCGCATTGCCGACCCTGAAGAAACATCTTTAACCCCCTTTTAAAGAACCCCATGCTGTAGTCTCTTTGGAAACCCTCGGCAGGGAGCTCATTCCATAACCTTAATGTTGGTGTTTCTGAAATATCCATGGTGACTTACCATTTTCTATCAGATGGGCCATCAGCTGATATGCCACTCCATACTGCATACAAAAGCCATTTTAGCTAGTTTATATCAGTCTATATTATTAATGGTGACTTCAAATTTGGAATATCATCAAAGAATATCTTATTTGATTTTACATTATGAAATGACCACCATGACCATGAGTTTTAACAGTCTCTCATGTAAACTTGCAATTTCATAATTCAGTCGTTTCCATGGTATCCAAATATAACAACTTCAAAACAATATAGCACTTGGTTACTTGGTTATGCTACTTTTAAATGACGTTAATATCACAACAAACTTATGTAGAAACGTGGTATATCAAAACTAACTTCAACATATCGTATGAAATTAGTCTCCATGTAAATTAGGCTCGTAACTTTGATACTAGCCATTTATAATTAAAAAAAAAATGTACTTTGTCTATACAGCCAGCCGTAACATCAATCTATGCCGTCACTATAGTGAATCGTTACACAGTACTACCAACCTTTGTACACTGAAGGCCTTGATAAACAAATTAGTACATAATATAACGGTATCACAAGTAAAGATTTATAGGGCCGAGTGCGGACAGAATGTGTGGACGTTTTGGCGGGAAAGGAGAAGTTTATCAAATACTTGTCTATGCTGTTATATTTGTCTCTATATTTTACACAGTGTATATTTCTTTGAGTGAAACAATTTTCATAAAAATTAAAACTTGTTTTTTGTCACTTACTAATTAAAAAAAAAAAGAATATTCAATAACTAAATATTTGAAGATTTTTGAATAAAGGAATAAAACGATATTTATTATTAATGCAATTATTAGTACTTCGTTTTACCACTTTTCCATGCAAAAACATATTAAAAAATAAAACATTTGGTTTATGACTTTACTTCAAATTTAGGTATAATCTTTTTTTTTAATTAGCAACAATAATAATAATTAAAAAAATATATTGTTTAAATATAAAGATAATCAAAATTAATCTCCAATCACTATATATTTCTCTACATATGTGTGTCACCACAAACGTTCTTCTGTCTGCACTCAAACATCGATACACAATTTTTTAATACCCTCAATCCGTAGTCTACGACAAACTAATACATCGAACGGTTCAGACTTGTTGATAAAGTTTGCTTTTTGTGTGTGACATCCTATCGAGACGGATTTAGGATCTTAGATTATGAAAATTATTATCTTTTATTGCGAAAAAAAAAACATGATATGACGTAACGTAATAGTGTAGATAACACCAGACCAATGCCAGTTCCAAGCTGGTTTAGACATCAAGTCCACATTATTCCGGTCTATAAAGTAACTGGAATAATTTAAATAAGCTTTTGATTTCAATATATGAGATCTACCAGAGAGCAGAGAGGACGGCCGATTTAATTTTTTTATTCTAAAAACAAACGTAATGCAAACTTTTTTATTTACAGCAAGTTTTTATCTGGCAACTCAAAAGAAATTTAATTCCGATTTACGCAGTATTTTTTAATTTATAAAAGTCGAGTATTAGATAAGATAAATCATGAAAATATACACATTATTTATTTATCAATACCTATAATTTAGTAGCCCATATTTTATATAGATAAACAAGGCATTTATGGTGTCCTCAATGATCTAGTTTCCTGATGTTGAAATTGCCTAAATTTGAAATCTATTTAAATTTCATAATTACCAGAAATCAAACTTTTAAAATATGACTAATATTGGACTGCCAAATAAGGGTTATTTATTTTCTTTTTCAAAACCTTTTCACTTGTATTTGGAAATCAACTAGATTTAAATTACTGGAAAAGCGAGCACTGTATTAAACGCACTGGTTCCAGTGACTGGAATAATGTGAACCGGGCACAAAGTCATTTAATTAATACTTAGCTATTTAGCTATATCTAGTTAAATCTATATAAAATACCTGCAATTTCTCGCACGACGTCAACACATTACAGGACAAATACGGATGTATTAAAATATTTCCTCTAATATGTAGCGCCCATATTTCTATATCCTCTGAGTAAACACATAATAAATAATAATTTATATAATAAATTATATAAATTCTTAATGAAATGAATTATAAATTATATTAATGAGATTTAATAATAATGCTACAATATAAGATAATCTGTAGAAATACATACGATTTCTGTTTTGAGTATTCCAAAATTTTGATGAAATGTTACTGCAAAAACTTTAATTAATGTACATAACCTATTCATATGTAACTCAAATGCTTATTAATCAATTCAAAAATCGGACTAAAAAAGTTTTTGTCAACAAAACAGAAATCCCCATCGGTACCGACTATATGAAGCGAATATATAAACAATTTCAACAATTCCAATAATATTGCTTAAGTGTAAACGATAACATTATCTTAATATAAACAATTTTGTTCTAATTGAATTAATTATTTGATGAATAAACAGATTTATTACACACATAAGACTATCTTTACATTTCCATTTTTATAAAATGAAATAATGTTTAGAAAACATTTTTTTTTTAAATACTTTTATTTATGGTATTTTTTGATTAGTCTGTGGAATGAAGTGGCGGGAAACGTATCTGTTCAATTCTGAGTAGTCTATGTTCTATAACAGATGTTAACCACGGATAATGATCTAAACATCCGACAATTAATCATCACTTCATAGCAGTAATAACATTTAGATTTTTAAAACAATTCTCTCATAGCTGACAATAGGGGTACGCGAATTTGAAAGAGTTAAAATGACAGTGTTCACGCTGCATTATTAGGTGAGAATGAATTTTTTTTCATAGGCGTAGCCAGTATTACTTCTGATGGACTTGTAATGTTAATTAAAAAATAAAAGAAAAAAAAATTACGAAAAATTTATTGTTAATAGTTTCGTAACTACACGTTTTATTTTAATGTAATAACTACTGGTTTAACTTACTTGTATTTTAGTCGAGTAAGTTCGACTAGTTAGTCAGGCTCGTGGTCACGTCACGGCCACTCACGACTAAAGGTCCCGATTAGTCCCAAACTTAGTCGAGCTTTCTCGACTAAAATATACGTAAGTTAATGCGGTAATTATTACATTAAAAATGTACGAAAAAAATTCACAAAGTAAATATCAATACCCAGTATGTATATATATATATATATATATATATATATATATATATATATATATATATATATATATATATATATATAAAGTATAAAAATGTTTTTAATTGAACATTTCACAACAATATATGTAGCTTGTGACTACAGACATATGCTGAATGCTGTATAAATAGCAAATATATAAATATATCATAAGAAAGAAATAAAATATGTAATATTAGGTTGACTGGAACAAATCTCTTTTAGAGATAAGTTCGCCTTTGCTAACATTGTTATTAACTATTTTTTTTTCGGAAAATTCTTTAGTAAAGAAGGGTAGACGAGGGGGAGGGAAAGGAAGGTATATGGCCTTCTAGTTACGCCCATGACTCCTGTTTTATACTGAAACAATATTTTGTGAACCATTATCATTATAACAGTCCATAAACGTCCCACTGTTGGGCACGAAGTTTGTGAGTCGTGATAATTATATAGTGTGCTTTCGAGTGGTGGTGGTTGATTTAAAATTCGAATTCACTGGAATGGAATAACCTCAAAGAGGATTTTTTTAACTGGCAATTTATAACGTAAAGAGAATTGCCTTAAAAGTCGAAGGCGGCAAGTTCGAACGTTGGCTATTATGTGTTCCGTATCTTGCCTGGTACATAGTTCTTGTCGATGACTTGTTCTTGCAGGAACATGTGAAGGCACCGCTCGTTCTGGGCTAGTGGGTGACCGGCGATCTTGTTGATAAATACTTCTAGGCCTAGAAATAGTAAAGAGCAACAAGTAAGTAAAGACATATATTGGGTTAGGAGGAAAGCGGATTTTATGGACTTTTGGACTATTGGAGCGAAACAGGAGTTTAGCTCCAATACTTACTAATAATACTAAAAAAATACAAATCTTAAGGTTTTTTCGAGTTAATACTTTAATTCTTAAATTTATTAAAAATATTCTGTTTCAAAAATTATGGAATAAATGTTAGGTTCTTCCTGTGTTCATGGCGACTCGAACCAAAGGCCCCTTCAGGCCGGAGGCTCGTGGCATATTGCCCACTCTGCCACCTTATTACGCCATTAGGTATTAAGGTATCAAAATATCTAAATATGAAAATATTAATAGGAAAAGCAGATAAATTTAAAAATTATACAAATATATTATTTAACTAAAATAAAACTATGTAGGAATACATATGACATCAAACAAATACCCGGTAATATGCTTTCTCACTGCATTGGGTTGACTGGAAGAGATCTCAGTCAGAGATAAGTCCACCCTTGCTCATAATATTTATATATACATTAACAATGTAATTTTTAAGTGCAATAAAGAATACATAAAGATAATAAAGATTTTAATGTCTATTAATAAACCGTTAAATATAAGCATTCATGAAAGTTAGTTGATAATTGCAGAAAAAAATTTCATGTCTTAATGTCAATGTAACTGACATGACCCCAGAACGTTTGCATTTCCATTTTGTAAACAATATTAATCAGAGCAGCTTATCAATTGACGTAACCAAACATCAAGTTTTTCATATATTAATAAGAATGTAGGTATCTTTATATATTATAGTAAACATGTACAACACTTATTTATGCAGTTGTATTTAAAGATTGACACAAAATGAAATAATAATAAAAAAGATAGGTAATTAGATAAACTATTAACAAATTGTACATTTAAAATGAAAATACTAATCCGGCTCGAAGGACTATGTAGAAATATGTATACGATTTATGTTGTAAATGAAGCACGTGATTCAATAGCTATTTAATATTCTAAAATACTAATAAATGCCTGTGCATTTGCTAGTTTTTTAGAACACACGTGCTTACGTAGATGAAACAACTGACATCTCTGTAGAGGTCAGTCGAATGCATGAATACTAAATATCACAGAATTACAAACATAGTTGAAATAATCAACACAAAGACCTAAACAGACTCATGGGACCTTTTATACGATTAACTAATTGATCTTTATATTGCTTACTTGTTTAGAGCAAGCAAGTTTTGCGGATTCATAGTAGCAGGAGTAATATATAAATCTTTTATATATTAAGAATTATCTCTCCTTGAAATTACAATGAGTTAAGCAAGACCATAGACTCTACAGAAACAGAATTTGAATAATTTATTTTAATTTATTATAAAAACATTAATAGTTAATAATTAAATTTATTTACCTTTTCTGCGATCCTCAATAAACTCCTCTTCAAATATACCATCATCGCCGCGGAATGGTAGCTGTCTCTTTAGAGCTTTGCCAGGCAAAGGTGGTACCACAATCTGCATTAATAAAGTGACATTAAACATAAAGTGAATTAAGTAAATATTTAAATAAATTCAACCTCAGATGAACATAGATAAAACTAACTTAATGACATTGGGGGGAAAGGGATTGTTAGTAATGGAGACTAAAAATCCCATTGCTAGCAATATACCCAACCAGGTCGACCTCCTCGTGGTTCCCCCTGGAAACTATCATGGTTAATTCCTGATGAATTCATCATGATGGGCTAACTGGCCTGTTTTCATTCTCATCAATCACCCTTCACTGGTGCTCCGCCAGCGTATCCCATTAGCGTAGGCGGGGTTACCATTCCATTATCATCCACCAAAAAAAAACTTTATGACATTTAAAAACAAAAAACTCTGAATAATATAAATATTAATTATATGGGGAAGAAAATTAAGGAAACTCATTGTGTTAAAGTTTTAGGTATCCATATTGATTCTGATATGACTTGGAAAACACAGATTGATCACATTTGTACAAAAGTAAATCAGTACTCCTATGCGCTTTACTTATTATGAAAAGTCACTAATCAATTTGCACTTCTGAGCACATATCATGTGTTTGCAGGCTCAACGTTCAAGTATGGAATTCTCTATTGGGGAAATTCCTCAGGGAGAGAAAAAGCTTTTAAAAGCCAAAGAAAATGTGTTCCTTCCATATGTAGATTACAGGAAAAGCCATATTTTAGGAAATTGATAATCTTGACCTTTTCTTCACTTTATCTCTATGAAACTGTAATTTTAATAAAATCTAATATTACAGATTATGAAACTCTAAAAAGTAAAAGACATTGTCATGTTATTCGAGTCACAAAGTGTAACACAACAGTATACAATAATAGCATATTCTGCATGGGTCTGAAAGTGTCCCAATATATAAAAGACATTAATCATTTGTCTCTGTTTAAAAAGGAACTAAAGAAGACACTAATTGACAAAGCATACTACACTCTAAATGAATATATGACAGATAGTTTTAAAAATTAAACAAACAAAAAATTACTGTGTTGTATTCCCATGAGACAAGAGACAAGATAAATTTTGATATAATGGTTTTCTTTGTTTTTTCTATAATCTATTATAATTAAGACATTGTGATATATGAGACTATAATAATGGAACTTTACTAATATTTATATTAAAAGAAGATTTGCACACCATTTATGGTAAAATATGGAGGTGTAATAACCTATTAATGTACCATATATATATATAGGCTACCCCTTCCTTTCCTGTGGATATCATATGAGACAACTAAGGGTACAACTTAATGGTAGAGGGATGGAGAGCAGTGCCCTTCTTAAAACATCACTAAAAGCCTAATAGTGGTTGCCAACCCATCTGCCAAGCATGGCATCTAACTCCCTGTATGGAGAAGGCTTATATTCACCAATGAACAGTCAATGGCTGATCTGATGATATATATATTAGTATTGTATATTACAAATATAATATAATGGGGGAAAAGGATTGTTAGTAATAGAGATTTACTAACTCCATTACTAGCAATATACCCTAGCAAGTTGAACTACATGCAGTTTCCCACAGAAACTGTCATGGTTATTTCTTGTGGAATTCACAACGATGAGCTAAATGATCTGCTTTCATTCTCACCTATCATCCCTCACTGGTGCCCCACCAGTGTATGCCGATAGCACAGACGAGGTTACCACTCTATTATCCCACAAAAAATATATAAATATAATAATATTAAAAGTTTGTAAATAATTAAAATGCTTTAGATTTCTGTTTTGCACTAATGCTGTCACACACTACTTCCTATGCCACTCTGTGTTAAATTTACTGAAAGTGATCTCTTTTAGAAAAGGTTCACTTATGCTTACATCATTTCTAAATGTTAAAAAATAAAGAAAATAAATGGAATTTGAACAGAATGTTTATTAAAGTCGCAAGTGCAAGATAAAACAGGTGGTTTATATTGATAAACAATAGTATTTTCAAATACAACAATGAATAATTAGACAATTAAAACGGCTATAAACTGCAATACATAGACAAAGTTGTAATTTTTAAATTTATCTTGTATTTCAAGGTAATTTTTGGTCCAGTGTAATATTTCTTTTTTAAATTACTATGAGAAACTAATTCTCCTAATAAAACTGTTTTTCCTTTGCCTATTGTTCATTTAGTTTCACTTGTTAATTGTGAGTTAAGACAAACTAAGTATGAGTCATCTATGTACTGTACTGCAATAAACAAAACCCACAATTATTTCAGACAATATTGGCAATTTATTAATGAATTACCGTTAAGTATTTTATTGGATATTGATAACAAATACATGCCATTATCAGTAGATGACTAATATCATTGTGCTCACCTTACTGTCTCTCTCCAGTTCGTTTCTTAGCCATTCAAAATCACTATACCGCCGTCTCACGCTTGACTCCTTTACTTTAAACACTGGTAGGTTCGTCTGCAAGCAAGAAACAGACTATGCTAGAACGAGACCCTTAAGAACGACGTATTGACGCGTCAAAACCCCAACACTGATACGCCCACAAACAAAGCAGGAACACCGACTGTGGCAAGAGCTAATTCAATTATGTCTCTACAAATGCACGAGAAATTCATTGGCTTACCCTCATGCGAACTTCGTAATCCGTATAGCGTTTTTTTCCGACACCCATAGACGTAACAGGGTTCACAACATCAATCTCGAGGAAATTCGCCGGCGCCGCGTAAGCGTCGTCTAATGTTTGTTTCTTAACGTTTAATCTTCTAGTCGCGTCGGCTGTCGTATCCTCAGCCATCATAACGCTTTATTTATTGTAACAATCACAAAAGAATAGGACGGCCCACTATACTATTAATCAAATAGGAAATGAAAAAATGACATGACACGAACAAAACATGATTTGATTGACGTTTAATTTGAAAAATGTGGCGACATAACCACAGATCATAAAGAACGAATGACAATACTTCATAAACGGTCAAATTACATTATTTGCTAATGGGGGCGCCGTTGTGTTATATACATAATCTCTACTTTCCATTGTAGGAACAAATAAACGGAAAAATAATACTCTTCTTTTCAATATCCTTTTTAATCCAACATGTCCACATTACTTTCACGAAAGGTTCAAATTTCGCGAGATTGATGTTCGCCTGAGATATAGTAATGATTTCATTATAGATTTGCCTTGTTTTAATACTCAAAGCTGTGCCAAGTCATTTATTATAAATACTGTATGTCTCTGGAATTCACTTCCTAATAACTTGAAGATGGCACAATCATTAAAATCGTTTAAAGCAGGTATTTATAAAATTTTATTCTAGAACTCCTTTTTCATTGAGCCAATTGTGATTTGATGATGATGAATTTGTATATCTATGTTTTTATTAAGTATGTATATTTATGCGTCTATGTTTATTATTATTTATTTATATATTAATGTTATATTATTATATAAATAAATAATATATTATTATAAAAAATATAAATATTATACAGTTATTTTTATTGTATTATATATTCAATTTTTACTGAGTTTATTTATCTTTAGCTGCACGGTTATTACCCTTATACATTCTATAGTTTTCTTTCAGCATCTCAAAGGTTAACTGTAAGAGATCCCTTTATGGGATAAATCCGCCATTGTAATTTTTTTTTTTTACAACACAGGGGGCAAACGAGCGTGCGGCTCACCTGATGGTAAGTGACTACCGCCGCCCATGGTCACCCACAACACCAGCGGCATTGCAGGTGTGCTGCCGGCCTTTTAAAAAGGAATATACTCTTTTCTTGAAGGTTATGTTGTCGTATCGGTTCGGAAATACTGCTGCTGGAACTTGATTCCAAATATTAAATCTTTTAATGTATTCAGTATGAATTATGTACAATAAAGATTTTACAATACGATATAATAAATTATTAAAATCTTGATTATATTTCTTTTAAGTTTTCATTAATCATTTACTATTATTTAAGTTGTGACTAGAGGTCACAATAAATATAGTTATTACGTTTGATTGTCGATTTTCGGCGACCGAAGGTGGTTAAAAAAAAGACCAAAATATTTATTCTTAAGTATTTATTTTAATAAATTATATACATAGTCGTACGTTAGATAATATGGAATAAATGTTTCACGAGAGGAACTGGCTCATGGGGTCCTCTTCTCTTCGCCTCTTCATCATATAGGCTTCCATTTCATCTTCAGTGGGCTCCTTGACTTCCACCATGCTATTGTATGGTCGCTTGCGCTCATCCACAGAAAGAAGATAGTCAGCTCGCTTTTGTTGCCGTTCTTCCATCTCCAATGCCTAAAAATGAGGATAAAATTAATTATGTTTTATACAATTTTAAATATTAGTATACATTTATATTATGCCATAAAGGTGACAAAGAAACAGCCTGTCTGATTATCAACAGACACGATAGCCTATGAACGCCTACAATATTAGGAAAAACCCTTACTGTAGGTCTCTAGAGAAAACCTCAGCAGGGACCTCATTCCATAGCCTAAGCTTTTGCGATAAGAAATTCCTCTGAAACCGTACTGTACGTGACTATTTTAATTTTTTTATAGGGGCTAGTCAGTGGCCACACCCCCACCTGGTGGTGAGCAGGTAATGTGGTTCAAACGTGAAGGTCGGTACATAATAGATAATGTTTTTTTTAATCAAAAAAGTTCCTGTTGTAGTGCCTGTGTCATTTTAACTAAATTAATGATTTTAATTTCATCTAATTCAAGATGAATTACATGGAGGTAAAAAAAAGGATCATCAAAAACAGTTCATTAGACACAACACAAACAATAGAACTATATTGAAAACTTTCTCTTTTTAAAGTCAGTTATGAGTAAATGTTACATGAATGAACGCTGTTGAAAATAAAAAAAAAATATTGCACTATTTTTTTACCTTTTTCAGTTTATCCTCCACTCGTTTCTCTTTTTTGAGATCCTTCTTCTTCTTTTTCTTTGCCTTCTTCTTATTCTTCTTTTTCTTGCTTGTCTTCTCCGTTTTAGATCTGATCTCTGGTTCGGAATCAGAGGAACTACTGTCGGAACTTGAGTCCGATGAAGACGAGTCTGACTTGTCTGATTTTGCTGAGAACAAATAATTTATATAATTAAAAGGAAGATTGGATTTTTCTTTACAATAAATAGTATAAAATAAAATATTTTAATAAAAATGGTTCAGAATGAACCATTCGCAGTTTAGGTGCCAAACGGTTAAGGCTAGCACTAGGCTCAGAGCAGCAATCTATTAATTTGCCTGAAGATGCCTTGTTTAGAGGTGTCGCAATACGTGTGTGCACGAAATGGCGGTTGGACATTGATCGCCAATATGAGAGATTATAGAACATCTAATAATAATAGTAGTCAATCAAGTCGCATGTACAGTAATGGTAGAGGAATGAAACAAAACCAGTGATATGGACTTCCGCAAAAAGACACCTAGTTCAGTAAAATATTTAAATATGAAAATAAATATATTCTTGGGAATGGCAATATATTTGAGGATCTAGATAGATAGATAAACTTTTTATTTGAGCCATTTATGACACACGTAAATTTACAAATGAGTTTATACAATCAAATTATTTACACTTTTTAAAATATACAACAAAAGATAAAATATGAAAATATGGTTTCGCCATGTGTGTCGCAGTGACCCAAATAGGCTACAGCTCAGTGATAGTTTTGCTTAAAAGCAAAGCACTGATTTTCAGCTACAGCCTGAAGTTAGGCTACACGGACGCGTACAACATGTGTACAAAATGTGTTGCCATTCCCAAGGGGCAAAACAATGTATTTTGTAATGTCTATAGACTGTTCATATCTATGGTTACCAGTTTCCATTATATAGACAATCAGCTTGTTTGCAATTTATCATAATAAAGATTAGAACATGTTCAATCAAGGTTCAAACATTCCTCATGTAGTTTTATGTCTGTCAAAAATACAATACATAAAATAGTATTTTTTATAGGATGATGAATGGAGTGATATATACTGCGCTATCAGTATACGCTGGCGGGACACCAGTGAGCGATGATAGGTGACGATGAAAGCAGGCAGTTAGTCCATCGTGATAAATTCCACTAGAATTAACCACAATGGTTTCCAGGGGGAACCACGTGGAGGTCGACCTGATAGAGTGTATTGTTGGCAATGAGTCAGTTAGACCCCATTACTAACAATCCCTTTCCCCCTATAAAATAGTATTACATAAGTATCTCACTGACATGATGAGGAATTTTGTCTTTTACAGGCACAAGATCTCATATTTACATTTTTAACACTTCTTTGCATGATTTTTTTATTGGCGAAATAAATCAAGGTGATATATTCATGTTCAAAATTAAAAGAAAAATGGTTAAAAAAAATAAATTTGACAGCTATGTTGTTTTTTTCTGTAATGGACATTAAAAAGGTATCCAGATCCGATCAATTTAAAGTGAACTTGTCCTTTTATACAATTTTTGGGCATTCAATGTTATGATGGAAATTTCCACCATTATGCAAAGAAGGATTAAACATGCCTAGTGATATTTATTGTTATGTGACACAAATATGGCCAGTTTTATTTCTCTGTCTATATACACACCTTTCTCTTTCTTCTCTGTAGTATCTTTGGCAGCAGTTTTCCTGTCATCTTCCTGTACATCTAATACGACTGATTTTCCAGCCTCACCCACGCAGTACGACATCTGAACAGAACAAAATAATTTTATCAAAAAATTTGTAAAAAAAACTGACTGTTCACAAATAAATAAAATGAAACGAAATTCCTTTTAGGTTTTGAGAGACAATTTTTAGCTTTAAATTCAGTCATAATAAAATTATCTAAAATTTATGCTACAAGTTAAAAAAAGGATTTTTTTTACTGAACTAAGTGTCATTTTGCTGAAATCCATATCACTGATATATAAATTAGAATTAGAATTTGTTTAATTCTGCTACCATTTACCTGAATTATTTTGTTTAATTCTGCTACCATTTACCTGAATTATTATGTTTAATTCCGCTATCATTAACTTACCCGAAGATGACTCATTCAGAAGTGAAACACGTTATGCAACATATGTGTGGGGTGGATAACGGTAGGAGATTGATAACTAATATGGAAGGTCATAACGTAACTACTGATAATAAAAGTAGTCAATTTTCATATGTTGGCAGTTGCACACTTACTAATGGTAGCGGAATTAAACAAAATAATTCTAATTAAATAACCAAGGAAAATTTTGTTTATGCAGAACAATAATATATTGTCTGTCTTGGCCATAATTATTAAAATCGCATGGGCAGTTTAACTTTACCTTTATAAACGAGTGACAGCACTTGTAGCCCCACTGTCCATCCTTCCAGTATGAGCCCCACACCGCTGTGTGGTTGTTGATAAGCACGTCCTCTTCATATTTGCTCCTGAAATTGTTCGTTTCTTTAAAATTTTCTTATTGTGCTTAACATCACGATAGAAATGCATTAATGGTGATAGTTATTTCTGTATCCATTTTTTACTTAATAATTCTTATAGGGAGAGAGGGAGGAGACTGTACAAAAGTCGTTTGCTTGGACAGCTCTATCCCATTCATGATTCAACCGTAAAGGAGTTGTGTTTGCATAGCTGTGTTTTGGTTTGAAGGGTGGAATATGGCGTGAATTTACAGGGTACAGAGGAATAACACCTGAGTCCTCAGAAATGGCAACGTATGAGGGGTATCATGGGCGAAACAGTATACTCTGTTATGTCCATGGTACTGCTCATGTCTATAGGCGACGGTTACCACTTTCCATCACGTGGGCCGTCAACTTGTTTGCCACTCAAAGTTGCATAAAAAAAAAACACAAATCTAATCTAATCTAAAGATTTCAACCATGACGAAACTTCCGGTTAGCAAAGAGTTAATAAGTATGGGAAGTATGGGATCTAAACCTGGCACAGCTACTTCACAATGAAGTGAAGCCGTACTCACTTGGCAAGCTGCTTCTCGGCGCCGTGCGCGAGCGTGCCGTCGCGGTTGTAGACGGTGTAGAGCTCGGTCTGCGCCAGCAGCAGCTCGCGCGGCGGCGCCGCCAGGTGCTCCGCGCCGCCGTACTTCTCCAGCACAGACTGCTTCACCTGTCCACCACACACATTTGTATCACATCACATTTTTTTGTCCTCTGGCAACACTGCCGACAACTGTCTTTGCCAGCTGACTCCAGTTTACCTATTGCTTTTATTTATTATACTAGCGGCCCGTCCCGACTTCGCACAAGCGGACATTTTTACATTTAAAAAAAGTGGCCATTACGGCTGCACACGCGACGGAAGCTAAAAATGGAATAACTTCTCGCGTTTTCCTAACATTGCCCTTCACTGCTCCTATTGATCGTAACGTGATGAAAAGTATACTGTAACCTGCCCAGGAGTATGAAGAATAATTGTACCAAGTTTCGTTAATCCGTCGAGTAGTTTTTGTTTCTATAACGAACATACAGACAGACAGACAGACAAAAATTTTACTGAGAGCATTTTTGGCATCAGCACCGATCACTAATCACCCCCTGATAGTTTTTTACTACCCATTTTTAGACATTCTTTTTAGACATACCTGCGTCTTGAACTGGTCCTTCTTGTCGCGGTATTCTCGTTGCAGCAGCTGCAGCTTGGTAGGCTCGGCCAGCAGGTGCACGTCGAGGCCGCGCGCGTGCGCGTCCCACGCGAACAGTTGGGCGGCCGCGTGCGCGCAAGTGTCGCCCGTGAACCTCACGAAGTTCTCGCCCGCGTACTCCGACCTGCCGGCCACGTATCATAAAGTTAAGAGAACTATTGCAAACGGGAACGTGACGGCTCACCAGATGGAAATATTATTACTGTTTTTTTTTTCAAGTAACTTATATATTTTTTTATTACACTAGATTAAAAATATATTACCTTAGGGTAAAGGGTTTTTTTTTAAAGAGTGAAAATGGATTGGTAACCCCGTCCGCGCTATCGGTATACACCGACGAGGCACCAGTGGAAGATGATAGGTGAGAATGAATGCAGGTTAGTTGGCCTACCATGATGAATTCGACAAGAGTTAAACATGATGGTTTCCAAGGGGAACCGCGTGGAGGTCGACCTGAGAGGGTATATTGCTAGTAATGGGGCTATTAGACCCCATCACTAACAATCTAGGGGAAAGGGGTTATTAATTATTGTTGAATTATTTACGATGGAGCAACTGACCTGCTTCATCCTCGCCTATCATTAATGAGGCACCAGTGAGTAATAATAGAAGTAAAGAATAGAATAGAAGTCAGGTCAGACGAATTTATTAGGAAATAATCATGATTATATCTGTTCTCCTTTAACCAAAGGTTGTCTGTAAGAGATTGCCCTAGCGATAAGACCGCCTTTTGTACCTTTATGTGTATATTTCAATCTGTATTTATGTTACTGTATTTCACTTGAATTATTCACTTGTCATTGTGTATTTTTATTTATGGTGCAATAAAGAGTTAAATAAATAAATAAATAAATGGTTACCAAGGAGGGGTTTATTTTTTTTGATGGGTGAAAATGGTATGGTGACGGGATACGCTGGCGAAACACCAGTGAAGGGTGATAGATGAGAATGAAAACAGGCCAGTTAGTCCATCATGATGAATTCATCAGGAATTAACCATGATAGTTTCCAGGGGAAACCGCGAGTAGGTCGACCTGGTTGGGTATATTGCTAGCAATGGGATTGTCAGTCACCAAGGAGGGGTTGCCCTGACAGGGGTATATTGCTAGCAACAGGGCAATTAATCCTCGCAATCAACAATTCCATAAGTGGACTAGCTGACCCGGCAAAGATCCTCTATGTTTGTCGATAGTAAACATATAAAATAAAATCAAATTGATATTTCATTTTGATGTATTCGATCATATAAAAATCTTCTGCGCCATGTTTCTGTGCAATACAATAGCTTTTTCTTTAATTTTTTTGCCATTCAGGCTATTAAGCACTGGAATGCTGTACCCTTTGACATCAGCGGGTCTACCATGAAATGAAATTCCGAAATTTCGGACTCAATTTCGTGTTTTTGTTTATACCAAAATCGGATCAATAAATGTAGTTTAACATTTCGTTCGTCATACATCCTGTCATAAAAGTCAAAAGGAACAATATTTTAACATTTTTAATATTTCCAAACGGCATGTATTATGTAATTTTAAAATTAAATTTCTGTATCGTTTGGCTCCGAAATTTCGGAAAACATTTCATGGTAGGCCCTCAGATTTGCTCCAAGCAAATTGGCTTTCAAGTTTCGTTCTTTTTTACATAGAATTCCTAGAATCTATGATTGAAACACTTCGTCTTATTAATAAATTATCTTGCTTTTTAAATTACTTACTCTGTAGCATTAGGATTAGGGTTGTCCCTCATGGAGCGTGTCTTGGGGTCGTAGTACGCCGAGTTAGGGTCCAAGTTCCGCAGGTACTTGGCGGTGTCCTCTCTGATACGCAAGTTTCGCACCGTGATACGCTGTTTGGAATCCACCTACAAGACAAAGGCGTCGGTTTGAAAAGCGATTACGTTACAATCTTAGATTATATAGATAGAGTGTCTCCATACATTTGTAATGCTTCGAGAAAAGCGTGTCAACTTTTTTATATAATTTTGCGTGACAAATAGTTATGAGTGATTCCTTTATAACTTCTATATTTTATTTTGTGTTATAAATTCTGTACCTATTAATGCGCATAACCTCATTTATACGTCAAGATACATTTTATGCGTAAGTAAATAGAATACTGATAAAAAAAAAACAAGTTAGTTAATTTGACAATTATCTGACAAAAATTTGACCCGTTTTTGAGGCTCGATGCTCTATCTATATAATCCTAGATTATTTCGTAAATGCATTAAATTAATGCATTAAAAAAATCATTTAAACGACTTATTGATAGTTAAATCCTTTGTCATTAAATCCTACGGTAAATATCACATAGCCTCTTTTTTTTTTATTGTTAGGGAGGCAAACGAGCAGACGGTCCACCTGATGGAAAGCGGCTACCGTCAGCCATGAACACTTGCAACACGAGAGTTGCTTGTGTGTTGCCGACCTTTTAAATGTTTGTAGGCACGTTTTATTAAATTCCCCATATTATATTTCACCAGAGGGAGACTTTGTACAAAAGTCGATTGCTTGTGTACCTCTGTTCCATCCGTGTTTCAACCGTGAAGCAGTTGTGTTTGCATGGCTGTGTTTCGGTTTGAAGGGTGGGATACGGCGTGAATTTACTGGGTACAGAGGAATAACACCTGAGTCCTCAGGAATCAGGTGGGCCGTAAGCTTGTTTGCCATTCTAAGTTGTATAAAAAAAAATTCTATTAAGGACGAACCTATTAAAAAAATCAGTAGCCTTTTTATCTGTAAGTTGCCGACCTAATTATGAAGAATTACCTTAGTTCCAGGCATGTCAACTTCATCCACGTATTTGTCTTCGTCTTCCTCAGCATTGTCATCATCTTCCATCGCTGTAGGATCTGTTGAAATATATAAATAACTTTAAGTTCCCTATCGACTTACAAACAGGAGGTTCTCGTATTGTATTTTTTTTTATGTTTGTTACCTCATAACTCCTTAAGTACTAAACCGATTTGGAAAATTCTTTTTTTAATTGAAAGGATATACTTTCAGATTGGTCCCATAGAAATTTTATCAAAATCGGTTCAGCAGTTTACTTTTCAAATAAAAATAACTGGTTTTGCTACAACTGAAGTCATTTTTTTCTATGGGACACAATCTTTAATTATTTTTTTATTTATTTGGTTTGTTTTTTTATTAATTACATACTTATGTTTCCATAGCGTATGATTTATCTTCATAGTTTACAAGTAGATTTTGCTCTTTTTTCATCCAACTTGAAATGGCAAACAAGCCGATAGTCTAGTTGATGGAAAGTGATAACTGTCGCCAATAGACATGAACAGTACCATGGACATGGACGTATACTGTTTCGCCCATGATATCCCTCATGCGATACTATTCCTAAGGATTCAGGTGTTATGCCTCTGTACCCTGTAAATTCACTGCCATATTCCACCTTTCAAATCGAAACAGCCATGCAAACACAACTGCTTCGCATTTTTTTTTAATCAAATACGAGGTTACGTGTAACACATTAAATAGTGTGAATTATTTAGGTATTGAATATTCTTCTATAGAATACGGAAACCATCTATCTATCATCAGATACATAGATGCCTGACTTCCACTTTTGAGTTATTAAAAAAAAAACAGAATAATTATCAATTCACAACTTAGTGGCTTATGAAAAAAAAAAAAAACAAACTCCCAACTCACCTTGTTCCAGTTTCTGTGCCCGTAACTCTCTTTTAGCATCTTCAACTTTCTGATACTCCTCTATAATGGCCTTGTGCTGTGCGGGGTCGTAACCGTTCCACCTGTCCCGCTTGCCATCGTAACTGAGGTTCAGATTAGGCTGTTGGTACTCATCCGGAGCTATACCAGCATTTGAAAATTTCGCTCCAATCTGTAGTGACACAAAATTTATCGATAGTCTTTAAGGAAACAAACCTTGAAGGGTGCAATGGGGGACAGCTTTTTTCGGCATTACTAACTCCACATCATCTTCTTGAGTCCAACTGCTAGATAATCAATATGAAAGCTATCATTGATACCTACATTGTATATTGTTAAATTTAGATTAACAAGTTGAGCCCGGCGCCGAATTTGCTGTCCTTTCCGTTCAGCCGGCAGCCGGCGAGAGATACAATGTTTAATGCTATCGCCAAGAGATTACTTTAGTACTAATGAGATAAGGAATTCTTTGTCGCGCTATTTTGGACGTTTTTTAGGTGTATGTGTAATGTATGTGTGATTCTATTCCATATTTTCGTATGATGTATAGTAAAACCATGTACGTATCTCAGGGACCGACGCTGGCCACACGGAAAGTTCCCTGCTGGTCCCAACGTGTTAATATAATTAAAGATTGTGTCCTACATCATAAAACAGACTAGTTTATTTTTTTTTTTATTTAAAAACTGAACCGATTTTGATAAAATTTCTATGGGACCAAACTGTAAGTTTGTTTGTTTGCTTATAAAAAATAACTTTCCAAATTGGTTTACAACTACCGTCAGTTGTCGACTCTTGTAGTCATAGCTCCATTCTTATGGGGTAACAAATAAAAAAAAAATACCACTGTATTGAAAACCTGCTTCTTTTTGACATCAGTTGTAATGACTTAATAAGTCTTAATAAATTGATTTGGCAAGACTGAAACCACTTGCAGTGTTACATCCATATGAAAAATACATTTCACAGGCTAAGGCACACTTTTAGTTGCCGCCAAATTTTGCAAACATTTAAAATTTTTGTCATAAACTATTTATGCAGTGTGTTGTAGTAAGTAAATAATTTTTATCTTTTCCTTTGTGTGCCGCCAAATTTTTTAAATCGTTAAATATGTGCCGCAACAAAAAAAAGGTTCAGAATCACTGGGCTAAGGTATTTAATATTTAAATGATTTTTATATGCTACAGCGGTAGCCCACAAATATAATTTTCAAACATGCTATTGTAAGGTTTTTAATGATTCATATTTATAAAAAATAACTTTGAAAAAATGCAAAAATCCTTATTTAAAGGAAGCTGATGAATAAAATAGAAATAAGAAGGTAATTTACCTTTCTCGGTCTCTCTAAGCAATCTTTCTTCTTATGAGTCATTGCCCCACAGTTCTCGCATGCGCCTTTTCTGAATTTCGTAGCTACTTTTGTCTGTAAATATAATATTTTAGAATAAATATATAAATTTTTTTTATTCACTGAATAATGTTGAATTTGGCTAATGTTTTATGTTTTTAACTTAATTTGCAGGAATGAGAATTCTTTAGTGTATTTCACATAGAATATATCAAATCCACACACAGATGTACATATATATATATATATATATATATATATATATATATATATATATATATATATATATAATATACATATTTATGAATATCATCTTACTACATACAACCAGAGGGAGACTTTGTAAAAAAGTCGATTGCTTGGGTACCTCTGTCCCATTCGTGTTTCAACCGTGAAGCAGTTGTGTTTGCATAGCTGTGTTTCGGTTTGAAGGGTGGGATATGGCGTGAATTTACTGGGTACAGAGGAATAACACCTGAGTCCTCGGGAATGGCAACGCATGGGGGGTATCATGGGCGAAACAGTATACTCTGTTATGTCCATGGTACTGCTCATGTCTATAGGCGACGATTAGCACTTTCCATCAGGTGGGCCGTCAGCTTGTTTGCTATTCTAAGTCGTATAAAAAAAATACAAACACTTTTGAGTATTTATTAAATGCAATGATAAAATAATATAATATAACAAATTTAATTTTAAACGCTATTGTTTTATAGACAAGTAGCTTTTTGCCTGATAATTCATACGCATGGATTTCAGAAGCAGGAACAACAATGAAACAGACCACTCTAGATGGGGTATCAAAATTAAAGATATGCCATATTTTAAGTTAGACCTTCGGGTATACAACTGTGAAAATTACATCCAATTTGTTGCAGGAGTTTTTGTGGGATGCTAGAACAAACATGCAGACAGGCAAATGGACAAAATTTTTAAAAATTGTTGCTTTGATTTTTACTGCTTTTATATTATGTTAGAAAGATAATGTCAACATAAAAGACAGTTAATTTGGGACATTAACAAACTGAGTCCTATGTTTAACAATAGGTTTTTTTTTTATACCACTGAGGTGGCAAACAAGCATACGGCCCACCTGATGGTTAGCGATTACCGTAGCCTATGAACGCCTGCAATACCAGAGGTATTACGCGCGCGTTGCCGACCCTGAAGAAACCTCTTTACCCCCCTTTTGAAGAACCCCATGCTGTAGTCTCTTGTTTTGGTAATAGCAGATTTTTTTTTTTTACAATCCAGGGGCAAACGAGCATGCGGCTCACATGATGGTAAGTGACTACCGCCGCCCATGATCACCCACAACACCAACGGCATTGCAGGTGTGCTGCCGGCCTTTTAAAAAGGAATATGCTCTTTTCTTGAAGGTTATGATGAAATAATTATATTATGTTGATTGTTAACTTACAGTATCCACTCCTTTGTAATAATATTTGTCCAGTTTTGTGAAATTAGCTTCCCTGTCTTCTTGTGGCCGCTGGTGCTTCAGTGTGGGTCCAGAAGTACCATAGTACCATGGTGCCGATGATATGTATTGTGGTATATGGGGATTTATGTCCTTGCCTTTAAAAAAGATTATATTAACAATTAAGGTTACTATTTGGGATGGATAACAACACAGGCTACTCGGCTCAATCAACATATCCCAATATAATTGTATTATCAACCCGTCTTGGCTTGGCAAGGCTACATACAAAATAATATATAGTCCTTATTTTACTGATAATGTAGCTTACTATATATGGAAGAATTTTTAAAATTGGTTGAGTAGTTTTTGAGTTTATTTATTTATTAGAAGCCAACAGCGTTACAGTTAAAATTTTTTTTTGATGGGTGATAACGGTATGGTAACCTCGCCTGCGCTAACGGGATACGCTGACGGAGCACCAGTGAAGGATGATAGATGAGAATGAAAACAGGTCAATTAGCCCATCATGATGAATTCATCAGGAATTAAACATGATAGTTTTCAGGGAGAACCGCGAGGTCCACCTGGTTAGGTATATTGTTAACAATGGGATTCTCAGTCTCCATTACTAACAATCCCTTTCCCCCCTACAGTTAAGATTTACATACTAGTATTTAAAATATTAAGGCTTATAACAAGTTTCTTATTATTATAAATGTACAAAATTGGTTTGCGCAAAAAAAGGAAAAGTACAATGCAGACATTCAATCACAAGACACTCAAATACAAATGTTTACCGTTGCATGTATGTTACAGTATATTCAGTACTGCTATATTTATTTTATACATTTATAAATACAACAGAGTTTGCATGAATACACTACCTCCTGTTACTGTTACCAGTATAACACATTAAAATACACATGTCCACTCACACCATGCAAATACAATCACACAGACCCTAAGATTTTACTTAATTACCTAATTAACTTGATTGATTATAATCGTCACTCATAGTGCTTACAACAAGCTTCATAAATGTCAATTTAGATTTATCCAATAACCAACAAAAAGACAATCAAACCCTTTATAAGTATTGACAACAAATTCATTGATAGGTATGTAATATTATTTTATTTTGTAAGAGGTAAGTAATGATTGAAAGATGGGTAGTATCTGCAATATATCAATATTGATATGAATATATATGACAGTATCCCTCTTTAAACGTCACCAAAGCCTAATTGTAGTTACCGACCTGCCTACCAAGTGTGGCAACTACTGACAAAAGGAGGGGACTTGGACAACTGATGTCAGTGGATAGTTAAACGCTGATATAATGTTGATTATGTCAATAGAAGCTTCAAATAGAATATCAATCTATACTTATAATAAATCTGTAAAGATGTCAATTCTGTACATGAAATATATTTCCAAAATAACTATCAGGGGGTGATTAGTGATCGATACTGATGCCAGAAATGCAATCAGTAAAATTTTTGTCTGTCTGTCTGTATGTTCATGATAGTTTCTATCACAAACATACAGACAGACAGACAAAAAACTATGCAATGGATTTTAACAAAAGTTGGTACAATTATTCTTTATACTCATAGGCAGGTTATAGTATACTTTTCATCACGCTACAATCAATATGAGCAGAGCAGTGAAGGAAAATATTAGAAAAACAGGAGAAGTTAAGTTACTCCATTTTTAATATTCCATCGCGTGTGCAGCCTTAATGGCCACTTTTTAAAATGTAAAAATGTCCACTTGTACGAAGCTGGGACTATAATGGGTATATAAATATATATACTGGGTAAATAAATGGTTTCTTTTACAAGAACTAAGGTAATGATATTGTGTTTATTCTGCAATATGTTGTACTACTACTTACTACTTACTTTAGCAGGTAGTAATTACATATAAAAGAAAAACAATCCATCAGTCAGTAACGCCCCATTTCTTATAAAACATAGGCAAACTTTGTTTCTATAACAATCTCTTCTCTTTTTATTAATAAACAAGCTAGCCAGTAATAATATATAAGCTTATATCTTTCTTGTAATTATTTAAATGTAAAAAATAAGACAATATTAAAGGGATATGATTATTTTTTCTAATTATATAGCAATATGTACCTGCTGACGAGGGACGAGCAGCAGCATCCCTATTAAGACATCTCTAAAAGCCTAACTGTGCTGGCCAATCCGCGTGCCAAGCGTGGCAACTACTGGCAAAACTCCCTTTATGGAGAAAACTTATGAACAGCATTGGACAGTTAACAGCTGAAATAATAATGTACCTGTTTCATCGACAGCAGCAGGAGCAGTACCAGCTTTCCGTGCCTCCTCCAACTCCTTAGCTTTCCTCCAGTCCTCCCTTGACTTCTTCTTTGGCTCATCTTCCTCGTCGCCAGCTTCATCTTTATTGCGCAAGATTTGCGATACAGCTACCCGGGCGTTGGTTGTCATGATGGCCGATTATTTTATAGATCACAAACAAATAATTTACGATTTCACTAAATAAAATAACATTACATTTATTAACAGAATAAAATAAGATAAAGTATAAACAACACGACACAATATACGATAGAAAATTGAATGACAATTAGATGACCTATGTCATATAACAAATGATTGTCAGTCAATGATTGATAGCACTGACAGATGAATGACAGAACAGTGTTGCCAACTCGGTAGTAGATTCACCAGAGGGAGATTTTGTAAAAAAAGTCGATTGCTTGTGTACCTCTGTCGCATTCGTGTTTCTACCATGATATTTCACGGTAGAAACACGTTTGTTGTGTTTGCATGGTTGTGTTTCGGTTTGAAGGGTGGGATATATGATGTCGTAAATACATACATTTTTTGCGTTTACATTGCAATCGTTGGTTGAACCCTACGAGATAGATTAAAATAATGTACTATAATATTATACACCTTACGAAGGCCTACAAAAAGTCCGCGATGTCTATTTCTTAGGGACAACATATTATGTCCATTTTAATACTTAAAAGATGGGTAATTTCAAAGCGGTAATTGAAAAGTTATTTATATAAATCCGGTATTAATCGTTAAAACTTTAAACACGTTATTTGACTTGAGCATTTCATGAAGACTATATTGTTTTTCTTTACACCATGCAAATTAAATATCTTAGGAGAATCTTAGGCAAAATCAAAATAATGCGCAACGAAATTAATTCGTATCGCCATGAGCCATGAGCTGTCTGAACCTGGGTGGGGGTCTGAAAGTTTAGATAGTGAATCGATGTAAATTAAAATTTTGTATAAAGAGGAAAGATGATTAATTTTTTGTTTGTCACGATTTAACTGAAAAAAACTACTCGACCAATTTTACCGAAAGCTACATCTCGGAGACCAGAGGCTATTTTATATTTTCTGTAAAGAATACCGTGCGAAGCTGGAGTGGGTTGCTAGTCCGATTATAAAACAAGAATGCACTTCATTTCCTAAAGGTATGTATGTAAAATTAAACCAGAGTATTCTTATAATCAATATTTAATTAATTGTAATAAAGTCAATACATAAACTCTGTTAATATCTATGTCGATTAAAATTATCATTACGGGACGAAAATGGGTTGCGAACGCGAATTTTAATGTTTACAGCTTGCGGCGTGCTCGAGTACGGTGGTAGGAAGGCCGAGGGACGTAGATGCGTTCGTTGCTGTCACCCGCTGCGCCCATAGACTCGTCCAGTGGTTCAATGCGCGGCGTGAATAACTTCCTCCGACTTCGTGTTACGCTGTACAAAAGAAAATATATATAAATTATATTAATATAATTTTGAGATGGTTAGTTAAACTAGAAAAGCATATAAAATTGCTTACTAAAAAAAGGGCAACTCAAAGCCAACGGTTTGGGATATAGAAACTTTACAACTTATGGCATGATTCTATTTGCAATGGGGAGTTATTATAAAAAAGAGACTTTGTCAAAAGTCTTTATAGAGTAGGCATAACACTTGAGACAGCCAGGAATAATTTTATAAGTACTACAGCAGAGTTCGAGTGTTTTCAAAACATAACATTGGGTCACGGATCGCTATGTAACCCACTTATTACTTAGCACTCAAATGCAATAGGTATCTTCTGCTAAAAAATTTGATGAGATAAACATTTGGCCTTTGATCTAAAATGGGACAATTCTCCAACAACTTTTATATAGTAAATTGTATATTTATCATTTAAACATTGTTATATGGACATTTAAAAGGCAAATTTTAAAATAAAATATTACTTGTCGTATACCTACCTTTTCGATGGACAGCTCTGTATTTCTAAGACAGGCGGTCTATTTTCATCCTCAAATTTAGATTTTTCTGGTGAAGGTATATCTTTAACAATTTTCACGGGCGCAGGAACATCTAGAGTAACATCAGAGAACTCTGTTTGCAAATTAACAATATCCTTCAAACTAACAGTCTCTGAATCAGACTTTTCTTCATCATTTTCATTTTTTCGTCTCCTTAATCGTAAATTCCTCTTAGATGGCTTAGTCTTACTTTCACATTTAGATTGACTCACAACTAAAACTTCTTCTGATTCTGAATCTTTATGATCTTTATTAAAACATTTAAGAGTTTCAGTTTTTACAGAGGCTTTGTTTCTTAGGTTATATTTCACCTCCTCTACTTCAGTAAGTTTTTGGGTTTCCATTTTAATTTCATCAACCTTAGACCCATTAGTTTTTTGTGTCACAATTTGATCATTTTCTATGGCCTTTGATATATTAGGCTCTTGAGATAAGAATACATCAAAATCAGTTGGCCTGGGAGCAGTAATATTTTTGTAGATATTTTCAAAATCTTCTATAGTATTATTTCCACTAATAGATGCTTGCTGCATATTTAGACTGAGTTCTTCTGTCTTTTCCACTTTTAGTAAGGGGGTTTTTTGCACTGCAGATATGTTGGTTAAAATAGTTTGTTTGACATCTTTTATTGGCTCTTTGACTACTGACTCAGACTCTACTTTATCTTTTCTTTTATTATTCTTTTGTACTTTACTAGCAGACTGTTGAGCTAATACTAATTTTTCAATAGATTTACGTGCATTTTCGATGACATCCAATTCTTTGGTAAAATGATGTGGCTGAGGCGAATCAAACCCTTCGAATATATCAACAGAGTTTTGTTTTTTTGGCACAGCTATGTTTTTGTGAGTTGATGATATATTTGTTTGGCGTGTTAAACTTTCACCTAGTAATTTTTTAATTGTACTAGGTTTGAAATTGTCAGTTATTATTTCATCTTTGACAATAGATGGAGAGCGTAAAATATCATTATTTAAGTTATCATTTAAAAGATCATTCTTTACGATATTACAATCACTATTAATATTCACATCTTTACTGTCAACATTCATGTGACTTTCTTGATTTACTTTTGTGCTCATAAAGTAATCTGTTTTTGTTAATTTATTATTTGGGTCCACTTTATCAGTATTCTCATTTATAATAGGCTGTTCATCAAAGTATGTCCTTTTCTCTTTTAGTATTTTAATATTAACGAATTCATCACTAATGTGTTTAGTTTCGTTACAGGTGTTAGTAGCCATTTCCAGTTGTTCAAATTGTGTTAAAGAATTATCGCCTGGTGTTGATTTAGCTGAGTTTATAATTTTACTTACCAATGTCTGAGATACCTTGATATTCGGTTTTGTTTCTGTATTGTCTGTTTGTGTGTATTTCATTTCTGCCTTTATATCATTATCTTTTTTAATATTTAGATCAATTTTTTGAGTTTCTATCTCTCTTGACAGTTGCTTAACAATATCTGTATTAATAACTGGCAAAATAGAAATAGGTTTAAGTTTGTCCGATTCAACATTATTCACATAGTAAATACCTCTGGAATGTGAGAGTACTTTTTCTTCATTTACATTACCAGTTTCATTTTCTTCAAAACTTTTGACACAGTAAGTACCTCTAAAATCAGACGTCTTTAATTTATTAACAGATTCATGCTCTTCTTTTTCACCTTCAAAGTCTTCTGTTTTTGTATTATTAAGAGACTTTTCCATCGTGTTTTTAATAGAATATATTTCTTCATCTTTGTCATATGTAGACTCTTTATCGGTTTCATTAGAACTATAATGGTCATCTTTAAGAGTGTCATTAGTTTTGTCAAAAATGCTTTCATTATTATCAATTGTATGCTCATCATCTTGCATAGTACTATACGAAGTATTATGAGAATTTAAGCTCTGCATAACAAGTTTTGAGCGGTTAATATCTTCTTTTTTAAATGTGGGTTCCAGACTCTCATTGCATGGATCTTCAACTTCTTCCTCACTGTCATGTTCACTATCACTCACGAGCATTACATCTTCACGTTTTTCTGACTGGTTATCTCCAAAGACTTTATCTGAAATAGAAGGTTTTATATTAGTGTTCGTAATTTATTTATTGACTTTTTTCTTATATTATGATTAATATTTACTTTAAAAAGGTTAGATAAGTTTTATTTTACAATTCTTTTGCTATGTATGTTGGATGACTTACAGTCTGTAAGTAAAAAAACTAATTTAGATTGTAATATAAATATATATAATGTCATTTTACCGTCTCTTTCGTCGATGCAAGCTCTTAGATGCTGCACTTCCTCTTCAGCGCGAGCACGTGCTAACCGCTCCGCAGTTAACTTCTCCTATTATATTTATTTTTAATTAGATAATCTTTATTTATTTTTTTTATAATTGTCAGAATTAGTAAAGAAATCTTGGTATATCATAAAAAGTAATAATAAAAAAGGAGATGAAAATATATTAATTGATAGAACTAAATGCATATTATTAATTTTATTATTTTAATTGTATATTAAACTTTTAATTTTATGATTTAAAAAAAAATTGAAACAAACGGTTGAGTATATTATTAAATTTTTTTACAAGGATGTCAGGTATTTAATAAAAAAAAAAATATATAATAATTTGTTTACCTCTAAGATTGCAATTTCTGTCATTAGTTCTGTAACCTGAAAAATAAATATGCAGTTAGAATAGTGTTTTTAAAAATAAAATATGAATTATATTCTTCATAATGGCAACATTTAACAAATGATTTTGGACAATCTGTTTGTATATAATAGTGTTGAGTATAAATATTCATAATATTAACTCTCTCCTCTCTTAAAACGTCATCAAAGCCTAACTGCACTTGCCAATCTGCCTGCTTGATAACTACTGGAGGAAAGTGGTGGAGACTGAGAATCCCATTGCTAGCAATATACCCAACCAGGTCAACCTCCTCGCGGTTCTCCCTGGAAACTATCATGGTTAATTCCTGATGAATTCATCATGATGGGCTAACTGGCCTGTCTTCATTCTCATCTATCACCCTTCACTGGCGCTCCGCCAGCGTATTCCATTAGCGCAGGCAGGGGTTACCATTCCATTTTCACCCATAAAAAAAAACCCTTTATGGGGAAGACCTATGATCAGTAGTAGACTGATATGATGAGTACGATGAATATAAACATTATTATATACCTTTTCTTGAAGCAAAAGTGTTTCTGCATTGGAAGGTGTAGCGGCCATCTTCAATTTGTTTTCATATTCTTCTATCATGTCATCCATCTATGTACAAAAGAATTATAATTAATACTAGCGTTTCGCTCCGGCTCCGGATGGGTAGATAGATCTATCTATCTATCCATTTAAGAGCTGCACTCTTATCGGTGGAGCTCTTGTCACTCACTACGATTTTTAGCGAGTCTCTTCACCTCTTGATACGACACGACACCAACTCCTTCCTTGATCTACCTGATGTAACTATGTCTTGGTCTCCTAATGTTCATAAGTTCGTCGTGTCGTATCAAGTGTCCTAACATTTTTACCCTTTTGTCCTCAATAGTTCTAATAATTTGTCTTTTTTCCTTAACTCTAAGCAGGACCTCCTCATTGCTAATTCGATCCCTCCAGCTAATTTTCTCCATCCTTCTCCAGCACCACATTTCAAAGGCTCTAAGTTTATCCATTTAGATAGATAGAAAGGTAATATTTTATATTAGCTTTATTAGGCAAACTTTTGATGCCTTGGATTATATTATTATAATTTTCGTGGGAATCTTTAACTTTTTTGAAAATACGATTATAGTCTATATTACTTCTTGATAATGTAGTTTTCTATAAGTGAAAGAATTATTAAAATCAACTGAGTGGTTTGTTTGTTTGTTTGTAAAACTTCATTGTTCTAAATTAGAATAATAGATTTCTTATGATTTCTAATGAAATAAGTACTATGGCAGAATTATCCCATAATAGTTAACCTTTGAATGTTTGATAAAAATTATGAATTGGTTTTGATAGAAAATAATAGCTAATTAAAAAATATTAAATGTTACAGTTACAATACAAACACAGCATTGATACTGGACAACATATCTTAATGATACGTAATACATTCTATTTTAATTAAAAAAAAAAAAAAAAAAAAAAAACATTTCCTATTTATAATATTAGTAAAGATATAGGAGAGAGATACACTCTATTGTGGAATGCTCTCAAAAAAATCAAATTTCCAGTAAGAGTTTTCACTGGTAATCAGTAGTTCAGACTAATGGCCTGAACTCATTATTTCAGTTTTTGCCAAGCTATCCCTTACATCATTACATCCTATGTAGCTCTGTAAGAAGGCTACGAAGAGATAAATAAAGGTGATGATGACGATACCTCCGAGCGCTGTGCAGCCAGCTGCGCCTCGTAGTACTGGCGCGTCATGTCCTTGGCGTCGTCCACCAGCTCGCGCATGGTGGCGGCCGCCTGCTGCTGCCGCTCCTCCATGTTCGCCAGCAGCTCCTTGTTGCGGGCTTGCGCTCTGCAATAGCCACTCACTACAATCCTATTCTACTAAGAAATTATTTTAAAAGCAAGATATTTTTGTGATAGATTTATGGACAATAATATTTTTAATTTCACGGTATTGGTCCCAGCAGAGATAGGTCCCTTCCTTTCCCTTAGTGTTGTAAGAGGCGAATGAGAGAGGGCGAGGGATGTGGATCGGCGTCCTTCTTAAAACATCTCCAAAGCCTAATTGCGGTTGCCAATCCCTTTGCCATGTGTGGCAATTGGCAAAACCTTTTAAGGGGCTTATGTTCAGCAGTGGACAGTTAAAGGCTAATGTGAAATGCTTTTAAATATAATTTTAATCATTAAATTAAACAAATACTAACTGTGGAATGACATACCTGTTGCGATTTTTTTCTAGATACTATAGTATGGGGTTCTTGCAGAAAGGGTGTATAAAATTTCTTCCAGGTTGGTAATAAATTCTGACACCCCTAGTGTTGCAGGCGTTTATAGGCTACTGTGACCATTTGCCATCAGATAGACTGTAAGCTTGTTTGCCAATTTTGTGGCATATAAAAAAAACCGTTTTAAGCATTGATCTTTCATATCAATCTTATTAAGATTTTATTTTTAAAAATGTTACGAATACAATGTATGTATACCAAAATAATATTAACACTTACTGAACCAGTTCGAAATGCAATCTCTCATTGTCCGCGCGAAGTTTCATCACTTCAGCACTCGAAGGTATTGTCGAATTTTGTGTACTGTCTAGGCAGGTCATCTCTGCTATTGTGCTGTTAACCTCTGTACACAAAGTACTATTTATGTAGTAATATAAAATATTGTACAAAAATTAAGTTTTTAAACGAATGCACTGTCGTAAATATACAAATATTTTCGGTGGGAATCAGCTGTTTTCATTTTGGAACTTGTCTCTTGCACCATGTATAAGTACATATAAGTAGTGAGGTATGGATAGTGAGTATTTAGCGGCGAGTTTTACCAGTGGGAGACTTTGTACAAAAGTTGATTGCTTGGGTACCTCTGTCCTCTTCGTGTTTCTACCGTGAAGCAGTTGTTTGCATGGCTGTGTTTCGGTTTGAAGGGTGGGATATGGCGTGAATTTACAGGGTACAGAGGAATAACACCTGAGTCCTCAGGAATGGCAACGCATGGGGGGTATCATAGGCGAAACAGTATACTCTGTTATGTCCATGGTACTGTTCATGTCTATAGGCGACGGTTACCACTTTCCATCAGATAGATAGATAATTTATTTGTATTGTTTACAGGACACAAATTATAAAAACGAGATAATATAAATGATTAAAAAAAAAATACATAAAGTCAAGCACAATTTTCTTTTGTGTGTGTGCCATAACAATACAAAATGGTCACAACTCAGTTTATTGCTTCGCCTTCAAAAGAGCAAAGCACTGATATTCTGTTGCGGCCAAAGGGAATAGGGTAACAGGTAAGGTAAGGTAACAAAATAATCAGGTGGTCCTTCAGCTTGTTTCCCATTCTAAGTTGTATAATAAAGTGGTGTTACTGACGTATGTCGCGCGCGACGGCGGCGAGCTGCAGCACGTGGCGCGACTCGGGCGCGGCGAGCGGCGCGGGGTTGAGCGTGACCACCATGGCCACGGCCTCGGCGCGCGCGCCGCTCAGGCCGGCCGCCAGCAGGCGCGTGAGCTTGGACTCGCGGTATGGCACGAGCTCGGCGGCGGCGGCGGCGGCGGTGGCGGCGCGGCGGCGGCGGCGCAGCGTGTGCAGGCAGCGCTCGAGCACGTGCAGCGACGAGTTGATGGCGCGCGACTCCTGCATGCGCGCGCCCGCGTTGCGCGTGCGCCGCGCGCGCTCGCAGCCCGCCAGGTCGCACAGCCGCACGCTCGCCGTGCGCGCCACGCCCTCTGCGAACCATTTTTTTTTACCACAAAGGTAGCATACGAGCACACAAGTCATCTGTCAGTAAACGATCACTGTAGCCCATGAACGCCTGTAATACTTTTTTTTTAATGGGTGATAATGGAATGGTAACTGCACCCGCGCTATCGGTATACACCGGCGGGGCACCAGTGAAGGATAATAGGTGAGGATGAAGCAGGTCAGTTAGCCCATCGTGATGAATTCAATAAGAATTGTTCACGATGATTTCCAGGGGGAACCATGTGGAGGTCGCCCTAATAGGGTATATTGCTAACAATAGGGGTATCAATCTCCATTCCTAACAATCCCTTTCCCTCCCACCTGTAATACTAGGGGTATCACATGCATGTTGCTGACTCTAAACAAACCTCAATGAACCCCTTTTGAAGAACCTCATACTGTAGTCTCCAAGGAAAATCTCGACAGAAAGCTCATTCCACAGTCTGAGTAACCATGCAACCATAATTTCAAATAACAAAAAAGCAATCAACAAATATTTGTAAAAAATCAAATTAGGAATATTAAAACTTCGAGTTTAAAATTTGCAATTACCACAATTAACTTTGCTATTTGGGATGATACTGTTCAAGAACAAATAACATTTATTGAATTTTATATGTAGTTTCACCTTGAAATTTTTTTCAAGACTACAACAGTAAAAATTTGCATGTATTTAAGAAAAAAACTGAAAATATTTTTTTATAACAATAAAAATTATAGAACAAATGTTTCACATTTTAGAACATATGCATATGCATGCATTACAAAATGTGAATTTATTTTACAGTTAAATTACTTATTTACTTTTCTAATACAAAAAATGTGCTTGTTTTACTTTGTTTTAATTTCGTTACATGATAAACCGTTTCTACTCCAATGTTGAGTGTCATTTAACATTGATTTTGTAACATACCAAAAGGGATTATAAAGATATAATAAGAATTATAATCAATCAAGAAAAAGTAATTTTTAGTTACAACATACGAAAAACCCCTAAAAGTTAAAAAACGCAATTTTAGCGTGGAGCTGGTGGAATAAAGAGAAATAGAAGCTTGGAGTGGAAAGGGATAAGCCATACCAGTTTCAGTAAGCATGGTGATGGTGAATATGCAGTGCGAGCGTGAGGATTGCGCGTGGATGCCGGTGGCGGCGACCTGCAGGTTGTGCTTGCCGGCCACCATCACGTCGTACGCCTCCTCGCCGCTCCGCACGAACGCTTGCGTCACACCCTGTTTAATGAATGATATGACATATTAGATATACTCAGTTTTCTGCATCATTACCTGTGCGAACAACCTGTGTGAAACAAAAAAATAATTAGAGTATTTGACATTTTTAAACAATATCAAATATAAAATTATATAAGCTTCTTTGTAACTTCCAGTACAGTTACATTTCAAAAGAGCTTTTTGGGAGTGTTTTCTTTATCACATAAGAGAACTGGGTGATGGTATACAAACAAAAAAGACTTACTTTAACAAAGACATTGCCATTTGAATCTTCTCTAATTTGGAGCTTGTTAGAAGATCTCCTGTCTGAACTTGCCAACAAATCATATATGCCCTCATTGTATATCTCTACAAATGATACCTAAAAATGGCAATAAATTATTAATCATTAGTGATTGTTACCAATTATGCCTATTATGTTTTTATATTTAAACAAAAATACTGAATCATTTTGAACAAAACTTAACTACTTAAATATTTTTATGAATATTATAATTGTGAAATTGAATGACTTTATTTTTCACTGCATGATGCCTTATTGGCTCATTTAATTATCATGAAATTTGAATAACAGACAATTTTCTGTATAGAAAAGGAATTAAATAACTTTTTATGCCAGTTAAGTGGACGAAGTGGACATCTTCATAGTGGTAAACTCATTTATATAGTAAATAAAAATCTGTAGAAGTATCATAAACAAGCAGGTATTCTAATATAAACAGAATAGCTGAAAAAATATTGTTATCCTAGAGTTTTAAGTAGTAAAGAAGCATATTCCAAGCCAACTTGAAAAAAAAATTCTGATATAAACAATAAATTAATTCTACCTACCCATACATAATATTTAGTTCTGTTGGACAAATCCAAGCTGCTGGCTGTAAAGTCACTGCAGAGCCCTGCACTCATCCGTTTATATTTATCTCTTAGCGGGGCTGATACCTGTCTCAGTCGCTTCACCCACTGAAAACCATAATGATCCTAAGTACAGTTAATTTTAAAAATTCACATTGTTTATACATATTTTAAATACACAATAGGAACTTGATAAAAAAACTTTTGCAGATAAATAGTACCTACTTACCTGCTTTTTTATTGATGACATTTCGACATGGATTACAACATATCTAGTCACAACAGGACTGTGACATTTTTTGTAATTTACCATAAGAGCAAATTTGTATGCAGCAAGAAAACAGAGACAATGTATAATTGTAAGCTAAATTAATACTTTAGACATATATTAATGCATAGTTTACATTAACATATGTCATATGTATAGAGTTGAGTAAATTTATTTTTTCACATAATACAATTATGTAATATAGAAAAAAAATCTGAAATTTTATATTAAATTCAAGATTAAAGTGCTTAACACGAATAACTATTGTGGAATGCAACACCTGCAACTCATACTCTTGTTCAGCATAATCCAGCTTGTCAGCACCACCTTCTGAAGGTTTATAGACAGGTTGCTGTGCAGCATCAACCACTCTGAAGACATACTCAAGGGAGCGGGGTACAAGACCTGGAGATGCTACTGTACCCATTAATGTATATGTTTTTCCAGAACCAGATGCACCATATGTAAGTAGAGTGAAGCTATGACCATCTGGCAGTTTCTTCAAATTGTCCTTAACCACATGTTCAAATATCTCCTGAAAACAAAATGTTATCTATATATGTATGGTATTATATTAGGTAATATTGGAATATAGGAGAAAGAGGATTGCTTGCACTTAGATTTAGGTTGATAAATGTACAGTAACACCCAGAATCATCAAGGTTGATTCCTGATGAATTAGTCATAATGGGCAAAATGTATTTATTTCATTTTGATGAATTAAACGTAACAGGTACTCCACTAGTGTAAATTTTACGCAAACGTAATTAGAATTCCATTAAATTTCATGAAATTATTTTTGTCATATTCAAATATGAAAATTAATGTTTTATTAAATTCATGCAATGGTGGCCTAGTACCATTTAAATGAAACTTACTTTTTGAGTGGTCTCCGCATCAAATATACGTGAAAATGTGTACATTTTCGATATATTGTGCTCAGTTCTTCGACCATGACCAGCAGTGGCCGTGTCGACAGATGTTATCAGACACCTATCTGAACGGACTTCATACAAATTGCTCTGGCCGTGATAGGGTTTCAGGCGCAAATATACTTGCACTAATTCAGGTTCGTCACTCACAGAGTCTTCATCAAATAGTTCCATTAAGTTGGTGCCCTTCTGAGGGCGAGGTCGCATAAATGGATTTAATATAAGAGGCGGCCGAGGTTCAATGAAAGAAGGGATGTCGCGTTTGGATTGATCATTATCGGAATACCGTTGTTCAATCATTGTAACGTAATGAACTTAACAGTCACTAAACTAATTGAAACATTGGAAGCATTTGAAAAAAAAAGAGTAATAATAAACGCCGAGAAAAACAAACGCAACGGTTAATTTTTTTTTTTTTTTAGTACGTTTGTTCCGTTTGGAACAGGCTAAGGTCGGAGACCATGCTGCCTAGTCTTCAAAGAGATAATTTGTCTGGAATTTTATTTTTCTAATGTCGCTTCAATTATTGTCATAATCTTCAATATTTCATTTGTCAAATCCGGTAAGTACATTTTCATAAATATCTTTTCTTGAGTTTTCTTAAACCAGTGGATTTATCAAATTAAAAATAAATAATTATAAAAAATCATTGTCTTGCAATTCAATAAAAGTATTCTTATAGCTCCTTGAATGTTGTAGTAATATAAGTGAAAATAGCTTTGAAACAAGAAGGAAATCTTAAGAGAATCGGGATTGAGTGCGGGATATTTTCGGGTTTTTTGAAGATAATCCTAAGTTCGTCAAACATAATGTGTCTTTGAATGACAAATTCAGAGCAATCAAAAAAAAGGTGATGTAGAGATTGGGCTGTATTTGAGTTACACCATGTGCATGATGGGGAAGCGATCATGCCCATTCGGTGCAGGTGTTCGTTGAAATGTCCGTGGCCGATTCGTAATCTACAAATATTGGTGTAAAATTTTCTGTTTGTGTCCCTTCCTTTGCAGAACCACGGTTTTCCAATACGCCAATTAATTTTGCGGTACCATTTGCCTTTAGTCTGTAATATTTGAGTCCAATGCTCCTCCCATTTAGTTGTAACGATTTTATGTATTCCAATACTACAATCTGAGTAACAAAGGGGTAAATCTTGAACACGAGCAGCACTTGAATTAATAATTTTAGCCAAAGTGTCTACTTGTTCATTCCCAAACACTCCAATATGTGAAGGGGTCCAGATGAAGATAATATCTTTTCCATATATAGTACAGAGATGATAATATTTATTACGAATTTCTTGAATTAAGTAGTTTGATGATGAAATGAATGTGTTATTTTTTAATGCCATAAGAACACTCATACTATCTGTAATTATAATCCATTTCGAATATAGTACCTGTTTTTCTATGTATTCTAATGCTAAAAATATAGCTTTTGCTTCTGCTGTGTAAATACTAGCCAAAGTTGAAATTTTATAACCGTGACCAAATCTATTTGACAAATCGTAAAAAGCCACTGAAGTGCTAAGTGCATTTTTGGAACCATCTGTATATATCTGCCTGTAGTCAATAAATTCTGATAAAGTCTCATACATATCGTGCTTTTCTTTTATGTCTTTACGTATAACAATTTTGATCTTACAGAACTTACTCTCATAAAGGCCATTATAACAAGGAAGTATCTTACTACTATAGATGTTATATTCATCTCGTAAATTCAAATCATTGACAATAGTTTTATTCAAAAACATAGAAATGGGGCAATTTAATAATTTGAGTATGAGTGGGTTATTGGAAACTGAAAAAACTTTGAAGAGAAATTTGAGTTTTAGGTATTCGAAACGAAGAAGGATAGGAGGCAAATTACATTCTACTTGCATTGAGATAATTGGAGAAGTATACATAGCACCTAAAATAAGTCTTAAATTCATATTTTGAATTTTTTCGAGTTTTTCTACTAATTTATGTTCTGAGGCATAACAAAAGAAAGCGTAATCAAAATTACTTCTAACAAGAGATTTGTAAAGTAAAAGGATAATTTTAGGATCAGCTCCCCAGTTACGACCAATTACAGATCTTATTATATTAGTGGCTCTTAAAGCACGATCTACTAAGCAATCAACGTATAGATCCCATTTTAAATTTTGATGAAAAATTACCCCCAGAAATTTAACGCTACAGTCTGTTGGAAGAGTTTGATTATTATATATAATATTCATTAATGGAACATATTTATGAACTTGATGAAAAACAACTACTTTACTTTTGGTTAAACTAATATCGAGGGAAAGAAGAGAAAAATATTTCTCAAGTCTTTTTAATGACTCATTTAACACTAATTGCATATCAATAATATTCTTTCCTTTTATATAAATTAATAAATCATCGGCAAATTGCAAGTTGTTCACACTGTTTCCTAAAATTGAATTAAGTTTATAGATATATAAAATATATAGTAGCGGGCTTAGAATACCACCTTGACATACTCCTTTAGAGCTTAACCTAGGTCCTATTAATTTACTATTTACTTTAACATACACTTCTCTATTACTAAGAAAATTATAAATCCATTCGATAAGTTTCATTGGAAGAAATGAGGATAAAATCGAAGATAGAACTGTTAAATTTACATTGTTAAAAGCTCCTACGACATCTAAAAAAACAGATAGAACATATTCATCGTTATTCAAAGCAGTACTAAGGTCGACATAGAAGTTCGCTAAACTTTCGCGCGCTGAATATCCACGGCGAAAACCAAATTGATTCGATGGTAATATACTATTACTTTCAATAAAGAACTCTAAACGCTGTTTAATTAATTGTTCGAATAATTTGCCTGCACAGGACGTCAATGTTATAGGTCTATAGGAGTCGAAATTTGTAGGATCTTTACCGGGTTTAATTACTGGAATCAAACAATCCATTTTCCATTCTGGTGGGATAATACAGTCCTTCCATAAATCGTTAAAAATTTGTAAGAGTTTAGTAAGGTTTATTTTATTCAGCAATCGAAACATATTGTATGTTAAGCGATCAAGGCCACTAGCTGTATCTTTTCTAGATTTTACTGCACTGGATATTTCATCAATTGAGAATGGGTCAGTGAGAAATTTTGGGCATGAATTAACAGAATTAAACTGTTTGTCATCAAAAGGTGAGTGTACAAAATCAGGAGTATATTTACGTAAAAAATCATTGACCCATGATATATCTTTAAGATGATTTTGACGATGTTTTGAATTTAGTTTTCTCATATTTTGCCAAACAGTGGAAATTGGTGTTAATCTATTAAATTTGGAACAAAATTCCTGCCACCCCTGTTGTCTTACTTGCTTAATTACTAACTTTTTAACAGCTTGAACTCTTTTAAAACTTATGTAATTATCGAGAGTTGGATTTTGTTTAAACCTAAGGTAAGCCGCTTTACTATCATTGACAGCTGTCGCACACCTGTTATTCCACCAAGGTACTGCAATATGTTTGTGCCTCTTTGAAGTATTTGCACCGCTATTTGATAAGTTCCTATGTGGAACGGAACGTTCCACAGCTGTCAAAATAATTTTACAGAATCTATTGTAATTGTTTAAGGGTTCATTGACATCATACTCGAAATCCAAAAGTAATCGATTAACAGTTTCAGAATAAAGATCCCAATTAACGAGACGTAGGTTTATACGATTTAACAAAAGTTTATTAACTTCATCTATAGGAGCATGTTGTTCACCTGACGGAGTTGATGAAGAGTTCTTTGTGTTTATTTTAGTAAAAGTCGGCAGGTGATAACTTCCTAACGGATCATCATGAACCGACCACTCGCATTTTAATGATATGGATGGGGATACCATAGTTAAATCAAGGCCATTGGGTCTCCAAATATGAGAGCCAACAGTAGTAACTTGCTTATCATTTAATAGTACCAAATTACATTCATCTAAACAATCAAGAATGTCTTTACCTCTTGTATTAGTGGAGGTACAACCCCACATAGTATGGTGTGCATTTAAATCTCCAGATATGATAGTGGGTTTAGGAAGAGACTCCAAAAAGAACTTAAATTTGGCTTTAGTAAAACTAGGTGTACTATTGGTAGGACAGTAAATACTGGCAACTGAATACCAAGAATTATTAACTTCAATACTAATAGCTATAGTTTGCAAAGAATTGTCGAAAAAAGAGTGAAGTTTTTTATATCTAATACTATTATGTATAATAATCGCTACTCCATTGTGGTTATTACCACAATCATTTCGTTCTATACAATAATCTTTAATTTTTAATTTGTAATGTGGTTTTAGCCAAGTTTCTGAGATGAGAGCAATGTGAATATGATGTTCATTTAAAAATTGTGTAAAAATATGTCGATTGCTCAGTAGGCTCTGAGCGTTCCACTGTATGATAGTTAATTGGTCTCGATTGAATTTTGTGAAATAGGTCTATTACCAAAAGTATCATATAACACATTCAAAACACTTTTAGTGTTAATAGATGTGTTCTTTGTGTTATGTAGTGAAATAAGTTTGATTATGCTTTCTATTAAAAGTGATAAACTCTTGTTATCAGAATTTAGAATTGAAATTAGGTCTACATTTTTTTTAGGTTTGTTACCCAGTTTAGGAAATATTTCAGTGCTAAGTATATCTCCAAAAGAAGCAGGTCTGAATTTAGATCTATTTTCAGCAATTTTCTTTTGTTTAACAGGGCATTGCGGTGATACACTTGTGTGATTTCCATTGCAGTGTACACAAATAGCGTTTTCCATTCCAGTTGTACAAGTTTTATAATTATGCTCACCTTTGCAGATGCTGCAACGCTCAGAATTCTTACAGAATTTAGCTAAATGTCCATACCTCAAGCACCGGTAGCATTGTTTAACTGGTGGTATATATGGAGTGACATTGTGGCGCCAACCTCCAATATCCAGATATTCAGGTAATACAGATGCAGCAAAAGTAATTGTCACGGTTAGAGTTGGCTGTAACACATATCCATGAGTCAAGGTATTTTTTCTTAAAATTCTTTTAATAGCAATAATTTTCTTAGAACTCGATATCATAGTATATATTTTTTTATTAGATATATTTGTAGGTACATTTCTAATAACGCCTGTAACTTCTGTTGAAGAAGCAGGAATACTGGCCTTAAAATGGTAGTCATTTAAAAAAGTTTTATTATTTAAAAAAGCATTGGCTAAGTCTGGCTTTTGAAAGTATACTCCGATTTTGAATTTATTTATAGATCTAAGATAAGTTACCCCTTTATTAAATCGTTTTAAACAGGAGGAGAGTGAGAGCAAGTCTCTGGATCCAATGGTTTTCTGACTATCTGAGGATTCTACAAAGACAACAAATTCTGTCCCAGGGGATTCCTCGGGATATCTTCTAATATAATCTGTGACGTAGTAAGGTTTATACTTATCGGCCTTATCAATTTCAGATTCTGAGTCAGTAGAAGTATCTTCCGAATATATATCCTTGTCATTACAAGGTTCATGGTCTACATCACCTGAATCGTCATCTTTTTTTTTCCTTTTTCTACAACTGCGCTTCCCCATGAATGCTAATTATATTACTGTCGCTGAATTTAGTGAAAATATAATATTTTATTCAATAATAAGAATTGATAGAGATAGTTTTAATAAATTAATAAAAAAAATTTAAAAAACCCGCTTGTTCTTATTCGAGTTTCCCGCCTTTTTTCCCGCAACGGTTAAGTTTTTTTTTTTTTTTTTTTTAGTACGTTTGTTCCGTTTGGAACAGGCTAAGGTCGGAGACCATGCTGCCTAGTCTTCAAAAAGATAAATTGTCTGGAATGCAACGGTTAAGATGGGAGACGGTTCAACTTTTAAAACTTTTGACAGTTGTGATTTTTGTCATTTTTATGACATTTAATTTTTTTCTCTGTGTACGTGTATTAAGGTAATCATAAACAGTCATGTATATTATATTTCAAGACAGTAAAATAAAATTGCGAGTTTGATTATGCTAGTATTTGATTAGAATTGTCTTTTTTAATTCAGTTACTTAAAAAAACCAGTGACATGGAATTTTGAAAAATAACACTTAATTAATCATAATATTTAATTAAGCCACTTAATGATACAAGATGTTTATGAAAAACATGATAAAAACTATGTTCGATACGATTATATAATATAATTAATAATTAAAAAAACAAACCTGAAGCACTATTTCCTCAAACCTAGTTCTTAAGTTAATATTTTAATTTAATAATTTCACAAAATAAATATTTTATGGACCATCATAAACTAAATTTCTTTTAATAATTAATTATAATCAATAATCTATAAGAAATTTAGTTAATATTGGTTCTTAGATTAGATTTTAAATGATTTAAAATGGTTTGCACTTATTTGTAGTTTCTACAAAACATCACTGATTCAATCCTCGGCATTTATTAATTCAAACAATCATTCGCTCACATTCATTCATCAGTCAAAATTTTACAAATGTCGGATTTGTACTTGTGTATTGTTTCGTGCTTGTTTATTTTTAAAGTAGTACCGTAACAAACTTATTCCAGCTTTTTATTTATTTTTTCTTACATATTTGAAAATTGTAACTTTTTAGATTTTGAATTGAAATGGGCCTTGAACATTGTCAGTGACGAAATAAAGATTTTCTAAAATGCGATTATTTTTCGTATTTGGCTTTGTGCCATAGCTTTAATTGCAGTTTTTACTGAAATAGTCGTCATGCAGTGGCGGGTGATTGTTTTGTTGGTGTTTGTATGCGTGTATAATGTATTTGGGTATTGTCCATCACTCTGTTCGTGTAAGAGCAATAAACCGAGCGATACACCACTAATGTTTGGCCCTGGAGGTTTCCCTGAGCCTTTACCAGGGGAGCTTTTAAGGCTAAAATGTGGAGGTACGCCGACACAGATTACCGAGCTTAAGGAAATAGACTTGAGCAAACTATGGACCAATGTTGTGAATCTGTAAGTACTTACCTATGAATTTTAAAAAAGTATTTGATTTTTTTTTTTAATTCTAAATGAGAAGTTGTCGTTTCAGGAATTTGTCTGGTAATGCCATATCAACACTATCAAGAGAACTGCATCTACCTAATTTACAAAAGTTGTAAGTATAGTCTTATTGTAATATACTAAGTGACAAAGCTTAGATGAGGATCCTTTTGTTTAGAGCAATTACAATTTTAAAGCTTTCCAAATGAGTTGAGTTCTGATATTTTTGTAAGTAAGAACTTGGATGTAATACTGAATTGACACTTTTTGTTCCTTAACATACCATAATAAGAAAGTTTACTGTTCAGTTATAGGGGATGGACTTTTTTTGTATTATTTGAGATATTTGTTAGTCTAATTTATACTTGATAACGTTTTTTACACTTACTAAACATAATTAAATGAGTTATTATTTTTTTCAAAATGTAATAAAATGTTTAAATTTTAAATTTCAGAGACCTAAGCAAGAACCAAATATCATTAATAGAATCGGATGCTTTTTATAATATGACTGCACTACAGAGGCTAGATTTATCCAATAATCAAATAAGTAAGATCTACAAAGAGATGTTCAAGGGCCTTATCAATTTGGAGAGACTGATCTTAGCCCAAAATCACATATCAGTGTTAGCTGTTGGTACTTTTGAATATCTAATAGAATTGAAACAATTGTAAGTATTAGTTGATAGTATACTTTAATCTGAGTTTCATGGTAGAAATTTTATTATTATTATGTTTTTTATACAACTTAGAATGGCAAACAAGCTGATGGCCCACCTGATGGAAAATGGTAACCGTCACCTATAAATGTGAGCAGTACCATGGACATAACAGTGTAGTTGTGTCATATTTGGGTAATAAGGATAAAAAATTACTGTCAACATGTGATTGGAGTTATTATATTTTTGGTGTGAATGAAATTGAAACTAAGTTTTGAAAAAAAAATAACAAAGAAAGTCATGGAAACTTTTGTTTGAACATTATTGGATATACTTATGTTTTCAATCCTAATTCATATAGGCAAACCTGTGGAATACATCTAGTTATATATATACTAGAGCAGTGATTCCTAATATGGGTTCTGTAGAACCTAGGGATTTCATAAAAAAGTCACTAGGGTTCTGTGAAATTATTTATACAGTGAAACAATTTACATTAAAAATTAAAGGAAATTATAAAGTGTTATACTTTTAAAATATTTCTAATAAAAGCTTTTGTTTTTATTTAAATTACAGTGTTTTCGGTTTCGATTTATAATTGTTTGATATGAATATATGGAACCCATAAAATAAAAGGTATTTGTTGACCATTCTGTTATCTTAAAAGTTTAGGAACCCCTGTACTAGAGAATTGATATTACGATTTGGTTTTGTTAATTTTTTTATGATGTGATATTATCTAAATATTACATAGAAATATCTTTCTTAGTTTATTATTTATCCATCAAAAGAGATCAAAGACAAATAGATGGTCACTTTGTTATCTGTTCTAATACTAGCTGTATCCCATATTCTCTCTTGTGAATCAGTATATAAAGTAACTTTTGTGCTAAGATAGGGTATAACCTACCCATTTATTAAATTTATTTCAAATTCAATACATTTTATATGCCTTTATTATATAAAAAGGATTAAAAAGAGAATTTTTTTTTTGTATTTTTTGTAATGGATGGACTTGAATAACTACTCAACATACATTTAAAAAAAAATTATATAAAGTTACCTACATTATAAGTGAATAATATAGGATTTATAAAAGTAAAAAAAAAAAAAAAATAGAGATTCCTATGAAAATTATAATAATGTATATCAAAGTATAAAAAAATTGCCTGTCAAAGCTAATATAAAATACAAATTTATCTTTCTATGTACCCATGCATAGCCAGAGTGGATCACTAGTTCCGGATATTATGTCAAATATTACATTATTAATAGTGTTAAAATATGAATGTCTTTTGAATATATTTACATAAATCTGATGTATTTATTTACAGAGATATCTCAGAAAATCCTCTGATATGCGACTGCAACATGCTTTGGGTGGGAGACTGGGCATCCAACACCAGTGTGAAGCTTGTTGGCAATCCAAAATGTGCCTTCCCTGAAAACATGGCTTTGAAAATTGTTAAAAAACTGAGGATTTACTTAGACCTGTCTGAATGTACTAATGTGTTACCCTCAAGGACACTGATAGTGAAACCCGCTTACGACCAAATAGTCTTCGAAGGGGATACTTTAACATTGACCTGCAATGCACCATTTGCATCAGCCTTGACCGAGTATAAATTGAAATGGGTCCACCCAATGCTAGAAGTCTGTGATGTTAATATCACAAACACGAACATGCTAGAAGAAGGTATAGCTGAGACATCAGTACACTTTCCTAATATAACAAACCATCATATGGGAAACTGGACGTGCGTCTACAACGACGCGAACTTTATAGGACATAACCACACCATTGAAGTGTTGGTATTCTCAAATAAGACCCGTTATTGTATGACCAATCATACGATAAATAATAAAGGTTTATATTCGTGGCCTCAATTGCTGTTGAATCATACTGCGGCAGTGCCCTGTAGGACTGGAGAAGGTTTGGCCTATAGGCATTGTCACGCGAATGCCACTTGGGGTCCGGCAAACACAACGGAATGTTCGTACATTAGTAATGTGACAAAATTACTTCAGCAGTTTGCTCTATTGAATGTGAGTCTAGTGCAATACTCGGCTCTGAATGCAACGGAGAGATTGGCGATACTGATTCAAGAGAAGACATACCCGTTGGCGGAAATAACGGACCCTGATGATGTAATGTTCATTGCAGAGGCCATAAAAAATTATATGCAGTATATAACAGAGGAACGCGATTTAGGTGAGTGTGATTTCTTTTTAATACAGGGGAATTTTGATTTTAAACAAATATCACAGAAGGTCACGATCTTGTTTCAGTAAAGAAAGGTTGTTTTGCTCAAACGACGTTCCGTGTTTTATTCTCGGTAGGTCACACCTGAGCAATACAATAGATAAATTTAAATATAAGATTTTGACGAGGGTTTGGCAGTGCTTCTAGGTGTTATTGTCCAGTCTTGCCTTACTTTACATACTTTGTATACCAACAGAATATCTTAGTTTCAAGACAAATTGGTATAATTGCTAATCTAAATTATGCTACATATTCATTTCTTATTATTATTATATTACTTAGTTTTTGTATATTTCTTAGATTTTTAGTTATGTTAAAGAAAATAAATGTTAATTAATCAAAATATTAACTAAAAAATAAATAGGTCGAGGAATCGTAACTGCGGTTGCTAACCAGCCTGCCAAGCGTGACAACTACTGGCAAAACCTCCCTTTATGGGAAGGGCTATGTTCCATAATGGACAGTTAACGGCTGTTAAAAAAAAAACATTAATTTCAAGATTTTTTGCAGGGCGTCAACACAAGATTTTTCTTAAATTTCAGGTGCGAAACTCTTGGACGTGATAAGCGCGGCGATGAACATCAGCATGCCGGTGCTGTCGCTGGCGGAGCTGCAGCACGGCGCCTGCAGCCGCCTGCTCCGCGCCGCCGAGGACATCTCCGCATACATCAGCAACGTGCAGGGACAGAAGGTGCTCAGACATAAATTGAAGATTTATTTTATGAATCATCCAATCGTAACTGGTAGCCGATTTGATGGAAAGTTCTTAATGAATGATACTGGAATGGTGACCTGCTTGCCTTAACAGCATAAGCTGGCGGGGCACCAGTGAGGGTTAATAGATGTGTATGAGAAGGCATTTGGCCTGTCATGGTAAATTCACCTGGAATTAAACACCATAGTTTCTAAGGGGGACTTTGAGGAGGGTGACCTGAAAGCGTAACAATGGAGTTGCTAGTTCCAATTATTAACAATTCTTTTTTCCCACTTGAGTAGTATACACTTTTTTTTATTTTTATTTTTTTTATGCAACTTAGAATGGCAAACAAGCTGACGGTCCACCAGTACCCAGTAAATTCACGCCATACCCCACCCTTCAAACCGAAACATAGCCATGCAAACAAAACTGCTTCACGGTTGAAACACGAATAGGACAGAGGTACCCAAGCAATCGACTTTTGTACAAAGTCTGTGTGGCTCTACACTCTACATACACACTTCATAAATGCCATTCTTGAGGACAAGGTTTTATGGCTTTGTACCTTATAAAAGCAATGGCCATAACCTATTCTTTAAATCTAAAACATAGTCATGCAAGCACAACTGCTTTGTGACAGGAACACAAGTGGAATAGAGTAGTCATCACCTATGATTGCTGATATGAAACCTTTACGGGTTGTAGTTGGACCCTGGGGGTTGATAGACCACTTAGAATATCGCCATCTTTGAGGATCTGTAACTTATTCACCATATTAATTCATCGGTAGACGAACATGGCCGTGGAGCGGTTCCCGGTGCGCGAAGGTTTCAGCGGCGTGACGTGCGTGTGGTACAGCCCCGCGCCGCCGGCCGCCGCCGCCGCCACCAGCCCGCGCCTGCATTGCACCACCACCAACCGCACGGTGGCGCCATTGCTCACCGTCACTGATGCCTACATACACGCCAGCGTACAGGTACCGTTCATTTTTTAGATTCTAGAATAAAGGCATACGGGTATGCGACCCCGGCCTCCCGAGCTGTTGCATTGTCCCATTCCTTTCCGCAACTGCAGTTGCCCCCCTCACCTCTTTCCTTTTCCACATAAGTCCCTTATTCCTCTCATTCACCAATTTCGTTTACGCATTTCCAACTTTCCTTCCTTTTTTCCTCAATCCTTTCCTCCATACCGTAGGTGGCGGAAACCACCAACATATGCATTCCCAAAGAGGGTTGACGTCAGGCAGGTGGCCGGTCGTAAAACTAAAAACCAAATCTTTTTGTAATATGGATAAAATCATATTACGCCGACCCCAAATGATTGGGATAAGGGTAGGAAGATGATGATTAATTATACCATAATTCATTGCCATCATAAATAATTAGAAATGTCACATAATTCACTTCCAGATTCCACAGTCATTCCTATACAGCACGACAGATTCAGGGACGTTACTGCAGAGCAAACCTCAGGACCTGGTGGTGGCCATGTATGAAGATGCATCGCTGTTCCCTCTGCTGCCTGAGCAGAGTGAGGGTGGACCGTACTTGAGCTACAGGGCGAAGGATTACTACGGTAGAAGCACTAAGAGGGAAGACATGAACATGGAGATCACTTCGCCAGTCGTTGGTTTTCAGTTAGGTATGTAGTGGACTTAATTATAATAAATAGGTATAATTATTTATTAAATTTCAAGGAGAATAAGTTGAACCGTTACAGTATTAAAAGATAACAAGTACATTTATAATATTATTAAGGATATGATATAAAAGAGAAGTTTGAAAATAAATTCACAATAATTTTACTATTATAATAAAATTGTGTCTGGATGATGACTGCACATGGGAGTTATTTAAGACAAATTTATATGAGGAGTCTTAATTAGAGCAGTAAACCCTAGAATAATAATTTTTAGAATATTTGTTAGTTTGTACCGGTATTACAGATGTGAAAACTGGTCTAGGATCTATTTCGTTGGCTTGCCTACTTTTTAAATCCAAAAAGGCAAAAACTAGTTTAAGTATAAAATAGAACCATTTTAATTTTTTATTTCTATTGCTTTGTGTACTTTTAATTATTTTTTTATTTTTACCGTATAGTAAAAAATCGTGTCATGCCATGTTACGATTTATTATGAAAACATTCAATCTTAAAGTCAAATTAATATGGAATGAATATAGCAGGAAATTTTCTCCTTTAATAAATAATCGTTTAAAGCGGTTCGCAATTGGTATTTTGTAATATATACTGACAGAACAATAATTAAGATCTTCCTCATTTCCGAACATGTACCTCGTATGTGGTGCTACTTGTAGGAACTAGGGTGTTTATCCTTCGGGTGTTAATCCTATCTATTAACTTGGTCCTTGAACTGAAGCAGCGCGTTTCAAGTCTAAATATGTACCGCGCATTGTCCGGATCGTCCGTGTGAGAGCTAGTCGAGTGGGGGTAGAGAGTTGTGGTAGAAGCCGCTAACACGTCGTGGTATGTTCCCGGGGGCGGCAGAGGGCGCGCGCGTGAGCGGGCCGCTGCTGGAGCCGGTGATCGCGGCCGTGCGCGCGCGCAGCCCGCCCGCCGCCGCGCGCGCCGCCGTCTGGGCGCCGCCCGCGCGCCGCTGGGCCGACGCCGCCTCGGGTACGCCTGCACCTGCACCTGCACCTGCACCTGCACCTGCACCTGCACCTGCACCTGCACTACACTACACTACACTACACTGCGCTACGCTACACTACACTGCGCTGCGCTACGTTACACTGTACTGCACTGCGCTACGCTGCACTACACTACACTGCACTGCACTGCACTGCACTGCGCTACGCTACGCTACACTACACTGCACTATGCTATGCTACGCTACACTATACCACACTACACTACCCTACACTACATTAGACTACGCTGCACTACACTGTGCTACGCTGCACTACACTATGCTACGCTGTACTACACTGCACCATACTACGCTACATTATAAATAAAGAAAAGAAATATAATACTCCTCTGACCAAACCGCTACTGAAGACATATCTTTACAAACACAAACAGAGCACTACATCTGTATATGGTCACATCTCTCCCTCTTCATCCACTTCATTACTGGAGGTCGTGTCCTCGATAGTCCCGTAACAGCGGTTACTTGATCCGACCATCGACTAGGTGATCGTCTGCATGGTCTTTTTCCTACTATCTTGCCTACAACCATTAGCTTGTCGGATTGTCAGACTGTTGACGAGCAATATGACCGAAGTATCCGAGATATGGGACATAAATTATAGGTCATATACGTTAAAGTATAAAGTTGAAGGGGCATGCCATGTTAATATAGGCAATCTATACATTACACTACCTTTTTTTTATAATCTGTGTTAATAATTCTGTTTTATATCGATCTGCACCTGTAACTTTTGTTTCTACTGTAAGTAACATCACTATGTCGTCATAAAATTTACAGTATTGTTGTCACACATAGTGGTGTGTGATGACATCACTAGTGCAATATTTCAAACAGCACCCTCCGTCGTCATTCATCATCTTTATCCCACCACATTTTTTTTATACAACTTAGAATGGTAAATAAGCTGATAGCCCACCTGATGGAAAGTGGTAACCGTCGCCTATAGACATGAGCAGTACCATGGAGATAACAGAGTATACTGTTTCGCCCATGATACCCCCCATGTGTTGCCATTCCTGAGGACTCAGGTGTTATTCCTCTGTACCCTGTAAATTCACGCCATATCCCACCCACCCTTCAAACCGAAACACAACACTGCAAACACAACTGCTTCACGGTTGAAACACGAATGGGACAGAGGTACCCAAGCAAACGACTTTTGTACAAAGAGTCTCCCTTTGTTAATTTTGTTTATTGACACTTGTTTATAACATTTCACTCTGCCTTACGTTATTAAACTAAATTGCATATGTTTTTTAATGGAATAGAAACCCCGTCTGCGCTAACTCTGGTGGGGCACCAGTGAGGGATGATACGTGAAAATGAAAAGTCAGGCCTGTTAGCCCATCGTGATTCCAATACACTTGAAATTTAGTATGATGGTTTCCAGGGGGGACCACGGGGAGTTCGACCTGTATACCATTGTTAGCAATGGGAGCCTCTTAGCATGTATTATTAAATCTATGGAAAAACTATATAACTTTCTTCTTTAATTACAGACTGCAAGATAACTCACGTTATATCCGAAATGATAATCATAAGCTGCACCAAACTGGCTTATGTGGGATTGCTGCAGAACGTCGAGACCGGCATTTACGGAGCCAGAACCGACGGGGCTAGATTCAAGGTATCCCATCCAGCAGTGTACGTCGGCAGTCTCATATTAATAGGATGTGTTAGCTGCGCCACGCTCACGTACATCATGTGTTACCCAGCTATACAAATGGCCAAGAAGACCAAACACGCACTCATCAATACTTGGATAGCTATCGGTCTACTTTGTTTCTTGTACACATTAGGCATATATCAAACCGAAGATGTCAAGTTATGCCAAATATTGGGGCTGCTGATACACTATTTGTCTCTCTCTTGCTTGCTATGGATGTGCGTATCCGCTAGTAACATGTACAAGTGGGTGACAAAGACACACAATCCTGTGAGGACACCAGAAGACGACATTCCACCTGATGTGCCAGTACAGAAACCGATTTTAGGCTTGTACTTAGTCGGGTGGGGTATAGCTTTGATTGTATGCGGAATATCAGGTGCGGTGAATCTAAAAGACTACGCAGGTTATTCGCAATGTTTCTTGAGTACGGCGCCGGCGTTGAGTGCTTTGTTTGTACCTGGTGGTATATTATTAATGTTCTTACTTATTCTATTCTTGTTGATACGGTGTACGATCAGAAACATGAATGTACAGTTGTCAGAGGGCACACAAGCGACCGAGAATGTGGATTTAGAGATGTGGGAACCTAATCAGGCCACTGAGCGGACAGAGAGAAGGAGCATCAAGTCGGCAGTAGATTCAGAAGTTGATGATATTGAGCATACTCCGATAATCCAGTTAAGAGCACAAGTTATAGTCTTGTGTCTGTACATGTCTGTGTGGGCTTGTGGGGCTATAACGGTATACAGGCCCTTACCAGCCTACTTGCCGTACCAAGAGGATATATGTAGTATAATTTACGCTGTCTGCGCTACTGTGTTAGGTACTTTCATACTCTTCTTCTATGGAATTGCTAGAAGCGACGTTAGAGCACAGTGGTCGATGATGCATTGCTATCTGCAGAAGAGTAAACAGTGTTGCAGAAATAGAAGCGTTTTTGACACTAATCAGCAGAATTTGCCGGGTGTTCCAACTACTACCACCCCAGTGACTCTTCCGATACCCAATGATAACAGATCCAGATCGGGCAGTAGAAGTTCTAATAGAACGAATTCGAAGACTAACAACAGCGGGACGTATAAAGCTGGAGCTGAGTTAAATGGGCAGACGCTCCAAAAAGATCACCTCAAAAATATTAATGGAAAAACCCCAAATATAAATTTAGTTGTATTACATAGGCAACAGTACAGATCTAATAACTCTATGATGACTTACCCTGAAAATTCTAGTGTTGGCCCAGAAATATTTTATAATCCTAACCAAATGAATGTGGCTAAGAAATTCTTTAAAAAGCAGAGGCAAAATATGAAGAGAAATTGTTTGGAACTTCCTGTTAGGAGGGATTGTGACAATGATTCGCATATTTCCCTTCCGTTACCGACTAGGGAAGCTTACAGTGGTGTAGCGAATATTATAAACTCTGGTTCAAAAGTGAATAACACCAATATACATGTAGAACGATCAAATAACGGGATCAAGGAGAAACGTAATGTTATTAATCCGAATTTACTAGAGGAGGAACCGAAAGATAACTACAAAAATTACTCTATCGATAGGAAGTCGTGGAATAAAAACGAAGAAAGCAAAGCTAGAGCTCAAATTATGAATATCTATACAAATGTTCCGGAAACTCAAGTGCCACAGCATCAGATTGTTAAGGCTAATGCGCCAAAACCCTTTTCCGGCCAGAGGACTAGTGTCTCTGAAGAGTGTCTACAGAGTCATGCAAGTGAACAACCAGAAATGAGAACGATCTCTCAGCAATGCAGTTTGGAATATAGTTCAGCGTCAGAGATAGCAATGCCGCACACATGCTCAGATCAAACGCTGAATACTCACTCAGAATTGACTTCCTTCCAAGAGACTCACAGTGCCTTATGTTCGACAAACGAAATCACAGATACAGAAAGTTTTGGGCAGTATATAGACTATATTCAGCCCAAACAAGATGCCAAAGATGCTGTTGATAAATCTTTACAAGATATATCTGAAGAATGCACTATGAACAGCGACGAAATTAACCGATCGAACACTCCGCAACGCTTGGATGAAACTGGTTTGGGCGAAATGGACAATTTACTGCAGAATCCAGACAATGATTTCACCGATTCTAAGGAAAAGTTGGACGAAGACAAAGATGGCTTTTTCATAGCTAAAACTACGTATGATTTCGAGACGTGCAGCACGAACGCCAGCGAGCAGGGCTTCGAGAACGAAAGCGACATCTATTGTCCTAATTATCAAATGTCGGAAGTGAGTATACGCAGTCACGGGTTGTACGCGCCTTCCCCGTCGTCGATGTGTCCAAACGAGATAAGTTTCAGTAACGAAGACGTTTCGAATATCGAGAGTCAGTACGTGAACTACGATCCAGGTTGGCGGAAGACGATAAAAAGCAACCCGAAGCTAGGTAAATACGTTCCGACGCCGGCGCTCAGTTGTCCGGAAGTGAACCGCGACAGTAGCCCAGTGTCGTTTGCCAGTGAGTTGGACGAGTTGTACACGCAGATAACCAGTAGGGACAAAGAGAGGACGCCGCGGAAGGAGATGGGATTGGATGTGACTATGAACAGTGACGTCACGCTGAAGCCCACCGATAGTGACAGTTGTGTGAGTGAGGCCATATCTGACGTTGATATTAATGGCGAAACAACTGTGTAAATTATGTTGAAATGCGACTGCTATGTACAGTCAGCAGCAAAAGTATGACACAGTTTTCAGTGACAAACAAAAAAAATCAGTCGGAATATAAAAATGAAATATGAATATCACTGTACATGACAATGATATGCGAACAACGTGATACATTTTGCATTAAATGTCCAGTAAATTTAATTAGAAGATCTTGTAATGTCTCTGTGACAATGTACTTCGTTGTTCTCAAATGACTGGTTAATATTGTCAGATAAAAGTTAAAGTGAATGATTGATTTTTGAAGATTCTTGAAGTCTTTTTTACTATTTGATACAAATTATTTTTTATATTACTGAAAAATAATTTGATTTAATGAAGTTAAACGTTTATTTCATTATCGTAATATTTATGTTACTTTTATTGAAATACCAAAAGTTTATTAATTTTTTCAAAAATAATAATTATTAGTGTGTCTTCCAAGTTTACGACTGGCCAAATTACCGACCTCCTAATGGCGACAGTGATGTCTGAGAACACATCAAATAATTTTCTTGTATGTTCAGATGTATGAAAATTATGTAGTCAGTTTTGTCACAAAAATGCAATTTGTTGTGTCATACTTTCGATGCTGACCATACATGAATAGTTATTGTACTATACTGTTACTAAGTTATCCACTATATCTATGGAGGTATGCATTTATATACTGTAGATAAAATGTTTTATAATGATCCAAATTATTATTATTATTTGTAGTTCAATTAAATATTTTTTAGGGTACTGCAATACGAAAGTCGAGCGAGTTATTTTATTGAATAATTCGAGATAAGACTCGACAAGCCATAATTAGAGTACAGTTTTCCACGTCGGTGACTTTGCCCTTTTTTCCGATATCATGAACGTGCACGGTACGACGATATCTTTGACGGAAAATTAAAAGTGTCTTCAAACAATTGTATATAAGTTCTTATTACCTACGTCACGTTAAAATCGTGTCGTGCCGTGTTACGGTAAATTGTAAATCGCTCAAACAATATTGGTCAACAAAATGTTGTTTATAGATACTTTGTAGACATTGCCAATTCGTGTGAGGTCGTTCCTAATTGATAGAACAATTAGGATCGAAAATATTAGTGCCATTACACAATCTTTGTATATTTTTTAGCTTAGATCATATACTTCAAGATATACGTCATGTGTCAAATAACTGTCAAAGTGACATTTGGTAGACATTTTTTATTATTATTTTTTTATTAAACACGCCATTTTCTAGTGTTGCAAGTCAATTCAATTAAAAATTCGTGTGGTCATTTTTTTCTTACATGTATAACAAATGTATTTATGTACATATTTTATTCATGTATTAATAAAAATGGCGGTCATTTTGTATGATGCTGCTAATGAATAAATAATTATTTCAAGTCGATTCTCAGCATAAATTTAACTCTTAATCATAGTCATGAGAATTTTGTATTACGTTTTATTTTTCAATTTAAATTTACAATTACGTATCTCCCACATACTGAGTAATGACTGTATATTATGGTATCCCTATTTACGCACACATAGATAAAAAATTGTATTGTTAATACAATGCGTTTGTATTGACACTATCTTGAAGTATATGACCAAAGAATTTTAGTTATAAGCTGTACAATAATTTGTCTGTAAAGTTATTTATTTGTAAGTTGATATTGGTCTGATAAACTGTGGCTTTGTATTTGTGCATGTACGATGGACGTGTATGAGGTTGTACTAATAATAATATCGTGCCAAAATTGTCTATGGAATGTTCTAGATTGTTATATGCAATTGGTAACCCTTGTCACTCTCATTAGGATACTAAACACTGACTGAATTAATATTACCCGCCTGCGTCTAGTCTTACTTGCAGAATGTTGATTTGATCTAATAATTTTATATTAAATGGATTTGTTATTGTTGAACGCTAAGGGACCACTCACACTTATTCAGCTTCATTCGCGTTTCGCTGAACGATTCTGGTCACACTTATACAGCTCTGCTTCTATCAGCCGCGTACGGCGTCGTAAGAATGAGAAAAGCCGTCGTAGCGTGCTATCTCCGCTCAAACGCTTGTCTACTGCTTACGGCGTAGAGTATGCTGCATTTCGTAAAAATAAAATAATTATAATTACTATAAAATACGTGTGCACTCTTTAATGCTTGCGTACATAATGATTACGCAATAATGAATCAAATCAATGCAGAAACAATACAGGTCGCAACTTGACAAGGAGTCGCGAAACATCCCTGTGAAGAGCTGTTTCGCCGCGTTTGACGGTGAACGCGGCGGAACAGCGCTGAACGCTCTCTATAGCATTCGCATGATCAATACACATTTATCCTCATTTTATACTGAGTTACCGCGAAAGCAGAATAGACGCGGAGAGCTGAACGGATGCGTACACGTCTCAATAGAAAATCGTTGTTTTCTATGGACAAAAGCTGAGTAGAGCTGAATAAGTGTGAGTAGTCCCTAAATCGTTGAAATACCAGAGGGAGACTTTGTACAAAAGTCGTTTGCTTGGGTACCTCTGTCCTATTGGCAACGCATGGGGGTATAATTTTTTTTTTAATTATATTTCTTACATAATCATTCAATCATATTTCGTTTACTATCAGATGGGCTGTAAGCTTGTTTGCCACCTTCATGGTATAATAAAATAATGGATCAAAATACAAGTGTATCATATCCATATATTTGTGCAGGAAAATATGTAATATTTAAATCTTCTAGGAATTTTTAAAAATATTTGATTTTAAGAGAGAAAATTATACATCTTTTGTTTTACTATCGGGATGCGTTAATTATGCAAATACGTTGTAATGAGTTAATTCATTAATTAATTAAGTCTTGAAGTTAATAAAAGCAAATATAAATTATTTACTCGATCAGATCAACATTGTGTAATGTGTTTCCACTATGGGGTCGATTTTTATTGTGACATTCTCTGTCTCTGAAATGGAATTCCTTACAAACATTTGTATGATGCCCGTGAGGATTGCGCAGTGGTAGAAATACGAAATATATTTTTGTGATATAACTACAAATTTAAGGTTTTCAGTTTTTCCCCTTTATTTGTATTGTACGATATTGTTTCTTGTCAAATTTCGTGATTATAAGTTAACTTGAAGTATCTTATAGGTTCTGATTCTCTAAATTCTAGTAAATTCTAATTTACCAGAATTTAGAGAATTTCGAGAATAAAGTTTCATCCCAATCATCTGGACGAGTGGCAGTCTTCCACCGTGCGTTTTTCAAGGCACTTTCTTCTACGCACAACCATTCTTTGGAATCAACTTCCAGCAGCAGTATTTCTGAACCGATACGACAACATAACCCTCAAGACAAGAGTATATTCCTTTTTAAAAGGCCGGCAGCACACCTGCAATGCCGTTGATGTTGTAGGTGATCATGAGCGGTGGTAGTCACATGCTCATTTGCCCCCCTGTGTTGTAAAAAAAAAATTCTAGTAAATGTCACCCCACCCTGCGTGTCCTACCACTTGTACAACGCATTGTGCTCAGAGAAATTGTTCAATATGATTCCCACGGCCACTTTTTTCCATCGTACAGCTCGCCATTGACAATGGAGTTCACTCCCATATCTTAAAGCCTGGATGGCAGCGTACAGCGCGGTTTCGAGGCGTTTCTTCCCACAAACGTTCAGGTTATGGAATGAGCTCCCTGTCGAGGTTTTTCCAGCAGATTACAGCATGGGGTTTTTTTTTAAAAAAGGGGTAAATAGGTTTCTTTAGGTTTGGCAAAGCACAAAAACGCAACAAAAGAAGGATAAATATCAGAGGCAGACTTTGTACAAAAGTTGTTTGCTTGGGCACCTTACTCCCATTTGTGTTTCTACCGTGAAGCAGTTGTGTTTTCATGGCTGTGTTTCGGTTTGAAGGGTGGGATATGGTAGTGAATTTACATGGTACAAAAGAATAACACCCGAGTCCACAGGAATGACATCGCATGGGGGGTATTATGGGCGACACAGTATACTCTGTTATGCTCATGGTACTGGGCCTATAGACATGGTAGTCATGTCTATGGTCGACGGTGACCACTTTTCATCAGGTGGGCTGTCAGTTTGTTTGCCATTCGTAGTTACATAAAAAAAATCCAGAGAATGCTACCTCAGAATCGACCCCGGCATCTTATTTAGACTTGTAGTGAATGTAAATTAAATGATTTATATAACAATGTGTGCCTATCAATGTCGTGTCTTGGCCTAAATTGTTTCTGCAGTTGTAATTTGGGTACAGAATGGTATATACACAGAATTATTGTTGACTAGGCTTTTTACCCGCTATTTCGTACGCTTTTATTTCAGAAGTAGGAAAATCAAAGAAATAGACTATTTCTAGTTATAGACGTATAAAGGTAAAACATATATAAGATTTAGGAATACAATTGTGAATATCGCATCCAAATTGGTACAGTAATTTTTGCGTGATGTCGAAACAAACATATTAACAGACAAAATTTCTAGAATTTTTTTTTTTTTTGGTGTCTATTGGTCTTATTAAGACTGCTCGTATTTTTTCTTAAATATCTCTAAGGTAAAGACAACGTGTAGTTACAATTTTATTATATTAGTAAGTTAGTCTATGCCTGAAACAATTTCTTATTTATGGTCATCTTTTTGGAGGGGAAAATAAATAGTGTTATTTATAAAAAAAAAACAAACTTATTTTAGTTATGATTTGTCACTTATTTTTAAACTGAGAATTGAACCCATAAAAAAAGTTAAATAATTCAATATTTAAAATGGTTCTATTAGGCATTTAACGGTTTTGTAAATATCTACCAATGATGGAAGATAGTAACCGTAAACCATAGACACGGTTAAAGTATCCCGTATCGCCTATAATGATGTTTCACAATTTATCAATTTTAATTCACCAGAGGGAGACTTTGTACAAAAGTCGATTGCTTGGGTGCCTCTGTCCCATTCGTGTTTTAACCGTGAAGCAGTTGTGATTGCATGGCTGTGTTTCGGTTTGAAGGGTGGGTTATGGCGTGAATTTACTGGGTACAGAGGAATAACACCTGAGTCCTCAGGAATGGCAACGCATGGAGGGTATCATGGGCGAAACAGTATACTCTGTTATGTCCATGGTACTGCTCATGTCTACAGACGACGATTACCACTTTCCATCAGGTGGGCCGTCAGCTTGTTTGCCATTCTAAGTTGAGTAAAAATATATATATATATATATATATATATATATATACTTTAACGTACCTTATGATTTATGACTTTTATATTAGAAGTTACACTTAAAACCGCAATTCAGAATTAATAATACAAGATCCTTTTAAAATTGTATATATCTTGATTACATAAATATAAGCAAATTATATAAAAAATACTTCTGTATATATTCCATTTTAAATCGTAAATAGAGAACTGGGTAATTGACAGAATTTTTGAATTGAATTCGTATGATGTTTTGAATGTATTTATAACCTATAAAAGATGTATAACAGGCGAGCTTAACTCTTAAGTTTTCATTTAGTAAACTCAGTATTATTACTTATTATTGTAATAAACAGTAAAATGCTATGATTAGTTTAAAAAAAAAGTTTGACTGTTAGATTTTATATTCTCTACACTTGAATATGTACATATAATACTCATATAAGACTTTCAATATATGTAGTTTTTCAAATAGGTTCTCGCATATTTTATACATATTTTTTTATTGTTTTTTTTTTTATAATTATTAATGTAAATACTAATAAGTATTGTAATTAATAATTTCAAAAATAAGGTCAATCACCCAAAAGTAGCAATGTAACGTATTATTTGAGCTAATGTGATATAAAATATCTTCCTTTCATTGCGTATAATGTGCAATGTATTGTACTCAAGAGAACAGTTTTGAATTCTATTGAATTGTGCAAATAATATATTGTTAGTGGAAATTTATAAATGGTTAGCTTTTTGTGGGCATATTGCGTATTAAAAGAGGCGTTTGCACTTAATAATTGCAGTTTTATTTACATTAAACGTTATTCTAAAAACATTCTGGGTGAAACAGTGTATTCTGTTATGTGCATGGTACTGCACATGTCTATAGGCGACGGTTACCACTTTCCATCAGGTGGGTCGTCGGCCTGTTTGCCATTTCTAAGTTGTATGAAAAATAAAATATAAAAAAAAATCTAATTAACCTACTTACGTATGAATCGTTGAAAAATGGTAATTGTTTATAAACATATTTATCTTTGGTAACATACAAAGGTCGACGAGTGTCTAGATAAAATATCAATTATGTTTGTAAATGATAATGAATTTTGCGTAACTTTTATTTGACACTGTATCAGTACTTCATTAGGTATAATATAGTAATTATATTTTTATATTTATATACAGTAGAATCTCGATTATCTGAATTAAATAAAACCAAGGGTATTCCGTATACGGAATCCGGATTTTCGATTATAATCGAAAATCCGGATAATCGATTTCAAAGTCAAGTCGAACATCTATAAATTATAATTTTTTTTATTATGTAAAGGGTTTTACATACGTCATTTAGACAATATGATATAAAAAAATACGAGCTATAAAGATAACGGATGCATAATATTTATTTACACAATTAATACATAATACCATTTCTAAATCCATAATTAGAGTCGTGAAAAATAAGTCCGGATAATCGAATATTCGGATAATCGAGATTCTACTGTATATACCCATATATAATATGCTGAATATAGATCTACAAAAGCAACGTAAAGTCTGTACAGTGGTTTTACAAATTTAGAAATGTACAATTCATATTTATTTTGCTTAAAGCTATGCAATTAGCCCAATAATGAAATGGTGAGCACAATAGCATTACTCCACTATTATTGGCGGGGATTTTTTTATATATGTATATATATATATATATATATATATATTATGCATATGAAGTACAAAATACGGTCTTATCGCTAAAGCAGTCTCTTTCAGACAACCTTTGGGTAGAGGAATATAGAATACACGATGGTGGGCCGATGGTAGCTATTTGGTAATAAGTAATTGTTAGTACTATCATATTAGTGGAAAAGGGATTATTGTTTGTTTTGTAACAGGGTCAAATCAAAGGGTAGTGTATATTGCTAGCAATGGTCAATCCCATTGCTAGCAATATACACTATCAGGTTGACTTTTATACGGTTCCCTCTGGAAACCATCTTCAAAATAGGTCAACTGGCCTGCTTTATCCTCACCTATCATATTTCACTAGTGCCTCGCCAGCGCTACCAGGGCTACCTTTCCATTTGTAGCCATTAAAAGGATAAGGTCATATTTATTGGTGTATTTATGATTTTCCAGGGGGATCTGGTCCCTGGAGAAAGGTGCATATGCACTTTCAGATATGTTTTTGCGGAACTCGCATCTTGAGGTGAGCACCAGGCAATTCTGGGATGGCCACGGACCACTCCCCCCCCCACCCCCTAAATACGTCCATGGTCATATTACTAGTAATATACTCTGTCAGGTAAATCTTCACGTTGAACTTTATTGGAAATCATCGTGGTTTTTTTAATGGATGATAATGGAATGGTAACTCCGCCTGTGCTAACGGTATACGTTGAGGGGGAGGGGGTACCAGTGAGGGATAATAGGTGAAAATGAAAAGGCAGATTAGTTAGCCTATCGTGATGAATACACCCGGAATTCAACACGATGGTTTCCAGGGAGGACTACATGGAGGTCGACCTGACGACCTGAATATTGCTACCAACGGGACTAGCGGTCCGCATAACAAATAATCCCCCCCCCCCTTAATTCTTGAATTTTGACTTCGTTGTCATCTATCATCACTCACTGGTACCTCGCCAGTATACGAGTATACCAATAGTGCAGGCGAGGTTATATTTACTTGTATAAAAAAACTGGTATCCCACATCTGTTCCCAGTCTTGGGACTTGGGGTGAAAGAGATTGTTAGTGTTGGGGTCCAACTACACTACTAGCAATATCCCCCTGGAAACCATAGTGATTAATTCTTTAATTCGTCACGATGGGCTAACTGACCTGCTTTCATCCTCACCTATCATCCCTCACTGGTCCCTGCCAGTGTATACTGATAACGCTGGCGGAATTACCACTCTATTTTCATCCATTCAACAAGTCTTGAGATTTTATGTATTTATTACTTATTTGTAGATTTTGCAGTATTGATACAAAGGAATTTTATGTTGTGATTATTTTGTAACTTAAATTCAATAACAATTTTATACAAAATATAAAATGCTAAGTAAATAATTCACATTCATTACACATGATCTAAAACTTTAAGATTCATAATTTTTAAACTTAGACTATATAGATAGAGTGTCCCTATACAAATGTTTCGAGAAAAGCGGGTCAACTTTTTCATACAATTTTGCGTGATAAATACAATAGTTATGAGTGATTCCTTTATAACTTCTATATTTATTTTGTCTTATAAATTTTGCATCTTTTTAATGCGCAAAAACTTATTTTATTTATTAAATAAATATAGATGCGTCAAGGTACATTGTGTGCGTAAGTATATAGAGTATTAATAAAAAAAAAAACGAGTCAGCTAATTTGACAATTAGCTGACAAAAACTTGACCTGTTTTTGAGGCTCGATGCTCTATCTATATAATCCAAGTTTTTAAATTAAAAACATAGAAACTATGTCTTATGTAGATATTTACAGTGACATTAAATACTACATATACAAATTGCTCACTTACTTTAAATCAAATCAAATCATATTTATTCGCTTGCTACATACATAGTACAATAAGAAGTTACATACATATACAGGCACATAACATGCACCCCCCCCCCCCCCGCAGAAGTATGCAAATGTTAAAATGGTTTTAAGTCTACATTCTATTATAATTATACAGTGCAAACATTTTCCAAATTACAATACTTATACTTTATATAAATGTTTATATATAACATATATGTATATACAAACGGTAACTTAGTCTATATAGTATGTGCTTTAAAACTTTTACAACTACACATCCACAACAAGTAGTTTAGAAATTATGAAGAAAGAAATGAACATAAATATCGATCAAAATCATAACCCTCTTTTTTACTTCGCCGTTGTCGAGTAAAAATAAGTTACGACTTATTTAGTCGATGTGACTAGACAGTTATATTGACCAAATAATTCGACACTCCTATAAATAATTTTTATAACTGAATATCATTTAATTCTACGTCAATGACATTTTATAGTAGTCCAATCAAGTCTTAAAATAAGGGAGGGTTGTGGTAAAATTTTATCAAATGTCGTCATCTAGGATTTGCATATAATTAAAAAAAAAAACATTAATGATCGTGTCCTGTCTAGGTATTATTCAAAGTATTACGTATGTCTTGTAATTTTATAATTAACTATAGACTTTTTTTTATTAATAATTAAAAATAACTCGTGACGCATCATGTGGCAAATTTAAAAAAAAGTTCAACTTAGAAAAATCATAAGAACAGAGGCACAATTTAAACTTATTATTGAAACATATTTTAATACATTTGTCTCTGGCTGATATATTCCATCGTGATCTTTTTTTTTAATTATAACCTACTTAATTTTTGTGTTATTCCAAAAATGAATCCAGTTACTACCCTTGTACAGGCAGTACGAGCGAGCTATTCACATTGCACGCTCCATTCACCAGTTTGCTGGTGAGCTCCCGTCCGCGATCAGCCACCGCCCCCAGTAAGCCCCTTATTATACTTCTGGACACCTCTTGTGGCTGCTTCTTCGCTGTATCTTTTGTCTCTGTAAAATAATAGGTGCATTGTTTAAAGCTAAAGCAGCGATTTTATTTCAGTTATTCAGTTAATTATAAAGACATAATTAATCTGAAATTTTTTCATAAGACATAAACTGTGGGAGACTGTACAAAAGTCGTTTGCTTGGACACCTCTGTCCCATTCGTGTTTCTACCGTAAAGCAGTTGTGTTCGCATGGCTGTGTTTCGGTTTGAAGGGTGGGATATGGCAGTGAATTTACAGGGTACAAAGGAATAACACTTGAGACCTCAGGAATGGCGATACATGGGCGAAACGGTATATTCTGTTATGCCCATGGTACTGTACATGTCTATATGCGACAGTTACCACTTTTCATCAGGTGGGCTGTCAGCTTGTTTGCCATTTCAAGTGGTATAAAAAAAAGATATCGGATCACAAAAATTACAGATTTTGGCCCACAGGAAAAAACCCACATCAATTGTGACCAAAACCAGTTGTTTTGATTTATAAACGAAACTACTGAGCCGATTTTGATGAAATTTCTATATGATCAACCTATAAATATATCCTTTCAGACGATAATAAAATTTTCCAAATCGGTTTACAACTGACGGAGTTATGAGGTAACAAACATGTGAAAAATTACAACACAATCGGGGACCTTCTTATTTTTAAAGTCGTTCGAAAAATATGAATGAATAACCTACACTATTTGTTTTTATTGGATGAAAATGGAGTGGTAACCCCGCCTATGCTAACGGGATATGCTGCCGGGGCACCAGTGAAGGGTGATCGATGAGAATGAAAACAGGCCAGTAAGCTCATCGTGATGAATCCATCAGGAATAAATCATGATAGTTTCCAGGGGGAACCGCGAGGAGGTCGACCTGGTTGGGTATATTGCCAGCAATAGGATTCTTAGTCTCCATTACTAACAATCCCTTTTCCCCCCAACCTTCACTATTGTGAAATTGATTAAAGATTAAAATTGGATTTTACAAAGAAACCAATTGATTTTATGAGCGTAATACGACAGTGTGGATATTGTTTGTGTACAATTAATTATCTCGTAGTAATTATTAAAATCATACGATAAATACGTGGAGCTCGAAATATGTGACTTGATTAGGTACATATTAGAAAATCCTAGTGACGACATCTGGTTATGCATAGTCGAGATTATTATCTGTGGCTAACTCGTGCTTATATAAATATTGCATGCTAACAAGTTGTTAAACTAATCATTGTATTTTATTTATTTATATGTTTTTGTACACACTAATAATACATTAAAATATGACAAAGGTGAGCGATACAAAGACGAGTTAAACTCTATAAGAGTTCTTTTTCAGCAAAACCAAGATTTATTTTTAAATAAATGTGAAAGTGTGTTTGTTAGTTTACAGCGCGCTGACGTTTTAATTTAAGTGTAATTATTACATCGAGGAAGTTCAACTAGTTTCGGGAGCAACTCGGGACCCTTAATCATGAGCGTATCTACTGTATGGGATGAAGAAGAACAGAGGCTATTTTTTATCCCGGTTAATAAATGTATCTCGATCATGCGGACGAAGTCACGGGTAAAAGTTAGTTAACTATATATTTGGACTTATTATTGAATTTACGCGAAGTTACGAGAACATTAGAACCAACACATTCAACTAACCAATCAGAAAGTCCAGCATTATCGCCGGCAGTTTCTCGTCGGTGGGGTCCGGTTTCTCCACCAGGCGTATCTTAGAGGCGCTGCAGTGGAGTGTGGAGGCCACCACCAGTAGTGCGCCGTTGGTGGCGCCCACCAGGAGTACCGGCGCTTCCACTAGGTGCCCGGCCCGGATGCGCCACCAAGCTGCGCCTGTATAAAATAAAAACAAATTATGTAACCATATCTAAGCAGTAAGTACTTTATATTATTCTCAATTTCGTGTATAATATAGTATATGTCATATATGTGTAAGTATATTTGTTATTTATATATGTTTATTCGTTTATATATGTAATTTTAGTATGTACGTATATCAATAATTAGTAGTACCGCATTCGAGTATTCTGACACTTCCCTACGGTTGACTGGGAGAGAATGCTTTTAGCATTAAGTCCGCCATGTACACATATTTGTACTAATGAATAAATAAATAAAAATAAAAATATTGTTTATACTGTTTTGTCCCAGCATAGAATAGGCTACCCTTTCCTTTTCCCATTAGTGTCGTAAGAGGCGACTAAGGGAATTTGATGGTCGAGAGACGGACAGCAGCTTCTCTCTTAAAACATCACCGAAACATAATTCCGGTTGCCAAACCGCCTGCCAAGTGTTGCAACTATTGGCAAAACCCTCCCAATAGGGGGAGGCCTATATTCAGCAGTGGACAGTTGCCGGTTGATATGATAATGATGATGATGAAACAAAATCCAATCTTTTCATTTTGATGATGACAGTTGGAGTGTTTTGTCAGCTGTTTGAATTTTTTTTTATACAACTTAGAATGGCAAACAAGCTGACGGCCCACCTGATGGAAAGTGGTAACCGTCGCCTATAGACATGAGCAGTACTATGGACATAACAAAGTATACTGTTTCGCCCATGATACCATACCCCCATGCGTTGCCATTCCTGAGGACTCAGGTGTTATTCCTCTGTACCCAGTAAATTCACGCCATATCCCACCCTTCAAACCGAAACACAGCAATGCAAACAAAACTGCTTCACGGTTAAAACACGAGTAGGACAGAGGTACCCAAGCAATCGACTTTTTTACAAAGTCTCCCTCTGGTATATTCACTGTTTTTTGCCTTTTTGTTTAAAATTTTTATGAATAGATAAACACTTTATTTGAGCCATTTATGACACATGTAAATTAACAATTAATTTACAATCAGACTATTTACACTTTTTTTAAATATAAAACAAAAGATAAAATATGAAAATATGTTTTCACCATGTGTGTCGCAGTGACCCAAATAGGCTACAGCTCAGTGATAGTTTTGCTTAAAAGCAAAGCACTGATTTTCAGCTGCAGCCTGAAGTTAGGCTACACGGACGCGTACAACAAACCCAGAGTGTAACCTGTGTAACCAATTTAACAGCCAAAGATAAAATTGTATTATATAGATACATACATAAATGATGCATAAATAATATATTTCATTAATTAATTAAACTTTTTTACAAGTGACACATTTTTACCCAAAATTAAAATGGCGAATAAATACCAAATCTGGCAACACTGATAGCGACACTGGCTAAGATAGAAGATGGCCGTTTTAACCCTTCTTTACATAATTAATAAACCACACTATATAACTTATATAAAAGACCAAGTTCACTTTAAGTTGATTGTGTCTGGATAACTTTTTAATGTCCATTGCAGAAAAAAAAACAGCTGTCAAATTTTTTGTTATAACCATTTTTCCTTTAATTTTAAACATGAATTATATCACTTTGATTATATGACTTTGATTTCACCAATAAATAAAAATCATGCAAAGAAGGTTTTTTTTGATGGGTGAAAATGGTATGGTAACCCCGCTTGCGCTAACGGGATACGCTGGCGGAGCACCAGTGAAGGGTGATAGATAAGAATGAAAACAGGCCAGTTAGCCCATCATGATGAATTCATCAGGAATTAACCATGATAGTTTCCAGGGAGAACCGCGAGGAGGTCGACCTGGTTGGGTATATTGCTAGCAATAGGATTCTCAGTCTCCATTTCCTTTCCTACCCGCAAAGAAGGGTTAATACGATTGAGTTATATACTCACCTCTGAGATAGTTAAGGGCTCCAGTCCAGTCACAGGCCCGTGAGCTGGCCCATCGTCCGTTCTCACCATCCTGCAACTCCCCCTCAGCCAGCCACCGTTCTGGCAGATATGGCCACTAAAAAAAATGGAATTGTTCACGATGGTTTCCAGGGGGAACCACGTGGAGGTCGACCTAATAAGGCATATTGCTAGCAATGGCGCTGTCAAACTCCATTACTAACAATCCCTTTCCTCCCAGACAAATCACCCATTAAAAAAAAATGTCCACACGGCAATTACTCGTGTATCTAGCTAGATCTTTGATATAGGTAGGTACTTTTGTGGAACTCTTATCTCGACTTATCAACAGTAAGGTAGTTATATCGACGTTAGTGTTGCCATTAATTAAACGAGAATCACAGGACAATAAACATCGACTCCAATTAAAGCAGGCGTTACATAAATTATAATTAATGTATGCCGGTGGAGACTTTAACCTGGCCATTATATAAGAATTCCACTGATATTGATACACAATACATGCCAGTTAGATTGTTCGCGTCATTAAAAGAAAATAATAAAAAAAGTTATACAATTGCATTATCTATAATTAAGTAAGCGGGTCAGTGTTCCGCGTTGTGATACGTTACCAAGTATACTACGAGTCGTGCGAGGATGGTGCCCTCTGATATCAAGAGTTTCTAGGCCGTGTACGTTATTTTTTTTTTTAATATTCAGTACCTTTACAGTATTGTTACAAAATATAGTAGATATAATGTTATTTATTTATTTTAATACAACGTGCACGTGATACCTCTAGACTGTAGTCTACGGATATGTAATGCACGTCACGGTCACTGCAGTGACCATCAGAAGGGTTGTTTGCTTGTTTGCCACCTTCGTGGTATATTTTTTTTTAAACTTGATTGCATAGTGTAATTGTATGTATATTTGATGGACTTAACACCGGATAACATTCTCTACTAGTCAACCAATGGGCAAGCCGAGAAATAAATAGATGGTGCATTCAAGAATTATATATATAACATATATATATATATATATATATATATATATATATATATATATATATATATATATATATATATATATATATATATATATATTTCATAAACATCTTTACAATGATATTCTGTAAAGGCTCAGCAATTGGTAAAAGACTTGACAATAAAAAAAAATTAATTATTAGAAGTCGTGGTATTTTTTTTAATGGATGATAATTAAATAGTAACCCAGCCCACGCTATCATATACACTGCGGCATACACTGACGGGGTACCAGACGGGTGATAGACGAGGATGAAGTCAGGCCAGTTGGTTCATCGTGACGAATTTAAAAATAATCACGATGGTTTCCAGTGGGAACCGCGTGGAGGTCGACCTGATAGGGTATATTGCTAACAATAGGGATTAACGTCTTCCATTACTAACAATCCTTCTCCCCCCCCAGTCGTGGTATTTATACATGTAAGGAAAAGATTAGTAGCTTAGTAAATATTTTTCTTTCTTTCTTTTGGCACATTGTTCCATTTATAAAAATAGAAAAACATAGTTATGTTGATATATTACCTGTATAAAATGCAAAACTCCGTTACAGAAAACAGCTGGCGGATTTTGCCAGTAGAGATTCGGGTGTGGAGCTCCGATGACGGCCATCTTGCTTATTAAATGTCCGTGGCAGTGGGCCAGGTACCTGTGAACAAAAAGTATTAAAATATAAGACGACGCAATGCTTGTATCTACATCTAGCTTTTATCTCGAGGTCACCTCTGTGACAGATAATGACTCTGTTACGACGTAGGTAAAGATATTGTGTCTCGGATATCCAAACCTCAGATGACTGGGGTAAAGAGGGATTATTAGTAATGAGGCCTATCTGCTCCATTGCTAGCAATATAGGGTACATTAAGTCGACCTCCAGTCGGTTATCTTCGGAAACCATCGTGGTTAATTCTTGTTAAAATGGGGGAAAGGGATTGTTAGTAATGGAGACTGAGAATCCCATTGCTAGCAATATACACAACCAGGTCGACCTCGCAGTTCTCCCTGGGAACAATCATGGTTAATTCCTGATGAATTCATCATGATAGGCTAACTGACCTGTTTTCATTCTCATCTATCACCGTTTACTGGTGCTCGGCAAGCGTATACCGTTAGCGCAGGCAGCAGTTACCATACCATTTTCACCCATCAAAAAAAAATTCTTGTTATATTCTTCAAAATGGACCAACTAACCTGCTTTCATTCTTACCCGCCATAACTCATTGGTGTAGTATGTAGGACGGTCCTTAAAGAGATGGAGTGACCTTCTCAAATGCAAATCAAGGAGTCAATCAATGTGGATTGGTTTAGGACTATTCTTATGGCAGGCTATGGGGAAGGCTTATGTTCATCAATGGACAGATAATGGCTGAGATGAATCGACTTCAAAAAGAATATTTTCAATGTATATAATAACTGATTCGTACTATAATTTTAAAGAGAAAATGCATGAAAATATGTGTTACGGTCTTATTATCTACAGTGATAAGAGTGCAGATATGTCTGTGTACCAACACAATGCTCGCGGATCTGACCCTTGAGTCGGGAAAAATATTTATGTCATAATAATCGCGTATTTTATTACATATATGTAGTAAACATTTTATACTATCAATCTTCACGCCAGTTTCGTACGGGGTAGGTAGAGACAATAGAGTCTTTTTTGATTGATCATGTTAGTTTTAAAAATTAAAAATATAAAAGATATATATTTTACCAGAGGGAGACTTTGTACAAAAGCCGTTTGCTTGGGTACCTCTGTCCTATTCGTGTTTCAACCGTAAAGCAGTTGAATGAGTTCAATATGATGTTGCTTGGGTACCTCTGTCTCATACGTGTTTCAACCGTAAAGCAGAGGTACAGTAAAAGAAAGAAGTACAGAGGAATAACACCTGAGTCCTCAGGAATGGCAACGCATGGGGGGTATCATGGGCGAAACAGTATACTCTGTTATGTCCATGGTACTGCTCATGTCTATAGGCGACGGTTACCACTTTCCATTAGGTGAGCCGTCAGCTTGTTTGCCATTCTAAGTTGTATAAAAAAAAAATGATAGGGATTATTGCAAGAAAAAAAGGAATTTTATTACGCAATTCAATATAGACTGGCGTGTGGAACACGGCGCCGGGTACGTACGAGTAGTTACATAGTTGTGAACTTTCGTTATCAATCCTTAAACGATAACAGTAGGATATTTACATAATAGTCGTGTACGATAATCATATTTCGATACCTCATAGTGCTACAACTTGAATAGATTATTAGTTAGATTCTATGATATTTCTATGAATATATATTTATTTATCTATATATGTAGGTATATTAAATGTATACGTATACGTGCATTTATACGATTAAATATAATAGTAATTAATTTAATTTTGTCTAGTTTGTTCAAAAATTGTCACGATATTGTACACTGCTGTATCCGCTGACATGCTCCTTTCCACTTCGAGTTTGCTGGAAGAGAACTCTATTAGAGTTAAGCTCGCCTTTGTACATTTGATTACCTCTGTCTTATTCTTATAACTGTTGTGTACAATAAAGAATTAAATAAATAAATAATTTCGTATATAGTTTTATAAGCATAATTTTTATTGTAGTTAAATCTTCAAATGTTGGCAGTTGCACCCGTCTTATGGACATTTATAACCATCCATTATGATATCGCCCATATCAGTTGTATATCTATATTTATTTACAAAGTGTTTTTCTTTTCAATTTTATATATAACTAATATATCTGTTACTGGGCCAATATATGTATAAATATTGTAACCACTATATAGTTATTCATTATTTCAGCCGTTAACTGACCACTGGTGTACATAAGCCTCCCCCATAAGGGGAGTTTTGAAGAAAGAAGAAAAAGAAGTTTAGACTTTAGAAGACTTTTTAAGAGGGACGCTGCTGTCCATCTCTCGCCGTTCCTTAGTCGTCTCTTACGACACCCACGGTAAAGGAAAGGGTTGCCTATTCTATGCCGGGACCACGCGGCTGTATACGTATATATATATATGTATATGTATATATATGTACATATATATGTATATCTCTGGTATTGCGCGCGAGAGTTGCAAAGAATCGGAATCGGTAAATAATATCTAAATATAATATAATATGATTATTATTATTCAGATACATGATAAATACATGAATTACTCAAAGTTTTGTTATCATGGTACGGATTACCCGCTATGAGTCGCAATCCCGTCTCGCGGATAGCGGATTCTCATCAGATTACAAGAATGAAGAGTGATTAATACATCAAGTATTACTATAAAAAAAGTGTTTACTTTTACGGAAATTGTAGATACGTGTAGACGCCTGCCTAATTAAATTATGACACAATATTTTTAGTACTGATATTATATTATTTGATTAGATATACATATATGAGTCAGGATAAACATTTCAGACATTTCAGTTTAATATTATTTATTGTATTTTTATTACATTACCAAAGGGAGACTTTGTACAAATGTCGTTTGCTTGGGCACCTCTGTCCTATTCACGTTTCTACTATAAAGCAGGTGGATTTGAAGGGTGGGATATGGCAGTGAATTTACAGGGTACAGAGGAATAACACCTAAGTCCTCAGGAATTACAAATAATGCGCGAAACAGTATACTCTGTTATGTCTATGGTACTGCTCGTGTCTATAGGTTACCACTTTCCATGTGGGCCGTCAGCTTATTTGTCATTCTAAGTTGCATATAAAAAGAACTACGTAAGTGATTTAACTTATAGTTTTTTAAGAGAAGGAAAATTATAGAGTAGGATAGATATATTTATTTATATGTGTCAAATAAAAACTAGGTGTCTTGTCACAAGAGAAAGTCAAGTAAATAATTTAAAATAGTGAGACAGATTCATTTGGAGAAAAACAAATAGTTGCACAACCTTTGGACACATTACACAGTAGCATTTAATTTCAAATTAAGCAGAGCTTATATAAATAATTGATAGAAATATATAAATATCCAATATATTCATAAATAGTGTGGAGTACAGGCCACATATATTATTTATAGCTATATATTATTATTTACCAAATTCGAAATTGACACGCATATCTATCGTTTCCTTTTGGCTTTCCTTTAGGACCCTAGTCTTCTAAGTTCCTTTGACTATTATATACATATTTCCAATTTCCATTCCTGGTTTCCTTTGTCGCCCACAAATAGAATAAATAAATAGAATAAATGTTTATATTGTATAGGAACCTGCGACCAAGTTCTTACAAGGGGGGGAGGGGGGAACGATTACCAGTCCATTCTCAATCATTCTGCTAAATTCCAGAGGTAATCATCACGATGGGCTTACTGACTTGTCTTTTCAGTTTCACCAATCATTCCTTACTAGTGCCTCGTCAGCATAGACCGTTAGCCCAGCCGAGGTTGTCACTCCATTATTATCCATTAAAGAAAAGATCTTACCAGAGTGAGACTTTGTACAAAAGTCGATTGCTTAGGTACCTCTGTCCCATTCGTGTTTCAACCGTGAAACAGTTGTGTTTGCATGACTGTGTTTCGGTTTGAAGGGTGGGATATGGCGTGAATTTACCGGGTACAGAGGAATAACACCTGAGTCCTCAGGAATGGTAACGCATGGGAGGTATCATGGGTGAAACAGTATACTCTGTTATGTCCATGGTACTGCTCATGTCTATAGGTGACGGTTACCACTTTCCATTAGGTGGGCCGTCAACCTGTTTGCCATGCTAAGTTGTATAAAACAAAAACATATAAAGGGCACATGAATTAATTTAATTAAAAGATAATTAGCTTACCACGACAGCATACCGCCAATTCCGAAGCCTATCACTACAGCTGGCTTCGCTTGGGATACACCGATAGCTTTCATCAACGCAGACAACTCTGCTACAGCCTGAGGCGGTGATAAGTCCCATCGTGCTCCACCCTCACTGCCCCCAGTGCCCCTCAGGTCTAGACTGACTACGTAATATCCAGTCTCCATCAGTCTCCTCACGACGGCGGACCATGTGGGGCACCACAAATTTCCATTGTCAGGTGCGTCACCCAATATGAGGACTACCTGGCCATTCTTTGGCCCGCTCGCAACGTAGTGGTATTTTACACCCTGTAAAAGTCCATCCAATATTTCGTCATAGTCGTAGAATACCGACGGATCTTTATATGTAATATTTGTCAGATCCGTCAGTATTCTACGACTATGACGATTTATGACTTTTAATTGGCTTCAAAGAAAGGGCTTATTAATTTGACTGTATTTTTATTTATGTTATTTAGTATAAGTAAAGGCGACGGTTGCCACTTTCCATCAGGTGGGCCGTCAGCTTGTTTGCCATTCGAAGTTCTATAAAAAAAAATTGCGGTATTCCATGTCACTGGTTATTTGTTTAGAATTATTTTGTTTAATTCCGCTACCAATAGTACCATATGTGTGAGACCACCAACACTTGAAGATTGATTACTATTATCACTACAAGAATTTCTATAATTTTCCATTTTAGCTATGAGTCTCCGACCGCCATTCAGTCCACACATCAGAGGCAGACTTTGTACATAAGTCGATTGCTTGGCTACCTTTGTCCCATTCGTGTTTCAACCGTAAAGCAGTTGTGTTTGCATGTCTGTGTTTTGGTTTGAAGGGTGGGATATGGCGTGAATTTACTGGGTACGGAGGAATAACACCTAAGTCCTCAGGAATGGCAACGCATGAGGGGTATCATGGGCGAAACAGTATACTCTGTTATGTCCACGGTACTGCTCATGTCTATAGGCGACGGTTACCACTTTCCATTAGGTGGGCCGTCAGCTTGTTTGCCATTCTAAGTTGTATAAAAAAAAAAAACATTTTTTGACACGTTTCATCTCTACACGAGGCGTCTTCAGGTAAATTAATAGATTGCTGCTAGGAGCTTAGAGTTAACTGTTTGGTACTCAAACTTGTTTGTAGAAACATTAATAGTAGTTAATTTGGATTTTTTTTTTTATTTAAAAGGTAATACTTATAGGTTGGTTTCAAAGAAATTTAACCAAAATAGGTCCAGTAGTTTAGTTTTAAAGTCAAAGTAACAGATTTTACACTAAATCAAGTAGGTGTTTTTGTGAAATACAATTTTATTAATAAAGTTTTTGCCGATTTCGTGTACGTGTTGTGTCTGCTAGTCATCAGTAATGAATGACGCATAATATACAGTTCATGGTTCAGGAATTAGATAAGTGCTTTTTGAGAAATTGTTTATTTCAGATATAGCACAATATTAATTAAGATATGTAAATAAGTTTTCGATAGACTGTGCGGCAGATAAACCTGTAGAAGTACTGAGATATTTGTAGATATGAAGAGTACAAGATATAGGAAAGAATACAGGTTGAAATTTACATTTTACTACCCAGGTAGTAAGTTGACGTATGCGACTCAAATAAGACGCCATTTTTAAATAGTTTTAGGATCAGTGACTGTAAATTGACGTATGACAGTATGACGAATGATTGCTACCTGGTTATTTATATATAATTTTATATATATTTATATATAAAATGTGTTTATTTACGACATCACATTAGCAACCTCTAAATTTATCAGTGTTTTTCTACAATATTGCATGTATTATACATATAAACCTTCCTCTTGAATCACTTTATCTATTAAAAAAACCGCTTCAAAATCTGTTGCGTAGTTTTAAAGATTTAAGCATACATAGAGACGGACAGACAGCGATAGCGACTTTATTTTATATTATGTAGTGAGGGTATATAAATGCCATACGAAATTTCGCGTGGATTTTCTCCACGGTTTGACGTAAAAACTATTAAACAGATTTGAATGAAATTTGGTACACGGGTAGGTTATAAGGTTATTTTTTTATACTACTATGGTGGCGAACAAGCATACGGCCCGTCTGATGGTAAACGCGGTTACCATAGCCTATGAACGACTGCAATACCAGGGGTATGTTTTTTTAATGAGTGAAAATGGCATGGTAACCCCGCCTGCGCTATCGGTATACATTGGCCGGGTACCAGTGAGAGGTGATAGGTGACGATAAAAAGGCAAGTCAGTTAGCCCATCATGACGAATTCAACGATAAATTTGTCACAATAGTTTCCAGGGGGAACCGCGTGGAGGTCGACCAGATAGGGAATATTGATAGTAATGGGGACTAACCTCCCCATTACGCCTATAACACCAGGAATGTTACGCGCACTTTGCAGTCCTTTAAGAAATCCTAATACACAATTTTTTAAAAACCTCATGCGTTAGTCTCTGGGAGAAAATCTCGGCAGGAAGATCAGTTTACAAACTTAACATTCTATGCCAATTTACGAGGACAAATACGTGAGAAATAGCTAGTAAATAAATAAGTCAAATTCGTTAGCTGTACGTAAAACTAAGAATCAATTCATGACATATATTTGGACAGAATTTTTGTAAATTAAAAACAAATAGAAAACGCCAAAAAAGTTAAGAAAAAATGTTCGAAAGAGGACACCTAAGTAGGTATATAGTCTTTTTTTAACATTGCTGTGGTGGCAAACAAACATACGACTCATCTGATGGTAAATGGGGTTACCGTAGCCTAATGGATGCCTGTAACACCAGGGAAGTCATTAACGCGTCACCGACCTTTAAGAAACCTTAGTACGCCCTCTTTGAAGAACCCTCTAGGGAAAGCCTTGTGAGAAAAAATAAAATGTACAGCTACACTTTATATTAATCTACACTAATATTATAAAGAGGAAAGATTTGTATTTTTGTGCGTATGTTTGTAATGAATAAACTCAAAAACTGCCGATTCCAAAAATTCTTTCACCATTAGAAAGCTACATTCACCCTGAGTAACATAGACTATATTTATTGCTAGAAAATATTAGGGATCCTTACTAAAACTTTAGTAACGTAACTCAAGGTGTAAAAAATGCTATAAAATATCTTTCGTCGCGTGCGCTGCGGAAAATATTGGTGATAAAACAAAAGTATGTTTTTTTTTCTTTTTTTTTTTATACAACTTATAATGGCAAACAAGCTGACGGCCCACCTGATGGTAAGTGGTAACCGTCGCCTATAGACATGTTCTACAATATTGAGGAAAATATCAATAACTACAAAAAAACTTCGCGATACTATATGTCCAACTATAATCGTTATGTCACAATTAAAATGTTGTAAAAATGTCCACCCGTGCGAAGCCGATAGATATAAGATACAAATGTCATTGTATAGTGAAAGCTAAATGTTTTTATAGCCGTCTCTTCTATCAGTATTTAATCAATAACCCGATTAGTGTATATCAGGAAATCCTAATTTTGTGTCATTTACCTTCTACATTTTAAAGTAATTTTTAACATACAACTTACCATAATTTTAATATAACAATGTGTCCCTATTGACGAATCTACAGTCAACTCAACAGGCGAATGGTCCTTTAGCGATTTTCTGCGGTGCCCTTTCCAAAATCTTTTCACGGATATCTTTATAAATTGCCACAGTCCAATAAATATGCACTTAAATATTTGCTCTACTGCCTCCCAACCAGAGACCAGTTCCAATACGTTTGTATTCTTTGCACCCATATTTTTTTTTTCACATAATAAAAAAAAAATCCACTGAACGTTCGCTTACCACCAATGTCTTTGCCGTTGTATCGGCAATTATGACATTAGCCGTAGGTATATCTCGCTCGGCTTGGCTCGATGACTTCCTTATCAGTATTATCAATCATTGGAAGCAAGTGGATGTATTTGTTGTTAATATTTATAGAATTGGCCATATATTGGCTGATTTTTATACGAATATGTCTACTTGAATACTTAATACACAGTCATCAATATCATAATACCAGAAGTTAACTCCCCCCCCCCCCTAGTATGTATAGGCCTTCCTATAATTAAATGCCTGAAGTTTCAAATTTCATACCGGGGTTTGCATTGTTTCATTGTTAAATAAATTTAAATATTTTAATTACCGTAATGCCTAAAGTATCAAAAATGATATCAAATGTTTTTTTCAAAATTAATATATAAAAATATCGTTTTGATTTTTTTACTATTTTTCCCTATTAGTAAACACAGTAAAGGATACATTTATAGAGTTTTTAATTTGATTTAAAAAATCAGGCTTTTAAGGGTTAAGGGGGATAATAGGGGGAGGAGGGCTTGCCAGTAGTTGTCTCGCTTTTTAGATACATAATGTGTTTTTTTTATACCACTGAGGTGGCAATCAAGCATACGGTCCACGTGATGGTAAGCGGTTACCGTAGCCTGTGAACGCCTGCAATACCAGGGCACAGATAATATAATACTATACTAGACCAGGGGTATTACGCGCGTCTTAAATGGTATTATTATTTATAATATATATATATATATATATATATATATATATATATATATATATATATATATATATATATATCAGTATCGATCACTAATTACCCCCTGGTAGTTATTTTGGAATATTTCATGTACAGAATTGACCTCTCTACAGATTTATTATAAGTATAAGACATAATTATGTGTTGTTTTTTTTATAAATCTATCCTTGAATATAGAAATACACATATAACAAACATTTGTTATTAATAAATGACACAAGTATAAAGGAGTTATTTGAAAACAAATTAAGGCCGAGACAGGAGGCACTCAGCCTCAGCCGAAGTTGAGTGCATAATGACGAGTGACGAAGAAATGTCAAGTCATCACGGATAACGATGCGTCCAAATGCGTCCCTGGACAACATTTAAATCTGCTCAAGCGTCGATCGACTCACAAGAACGTGTTTGTATTAATTTTTGAATTTGATATTGTTTATTTGTAAGATTTGTGCTTGATGGCGCCTTAATGAAATGTGAGAGCAAAATGTGAGATGGACGCATTATGTGGTTTTATTCCGTTAATTGAATTCCGTTATCGATGCACCATTTATTTTCTTATCGATCAATCGATACATGTAATAAAATCGTAACTGGTCGCTGTCTGTACATGGTAGGTGTATAAGAAAAACTATTATAGGATGGCTTTATGAACGCATTAGAATCCAAAACAATGATTTTTTTAGAATTTTTGTCTGACTGTCTGTACGTTTGTGCACGTTAATTTCAGAAACAGCTCAATCGATTTCACTTTGCTCCACTTAACATTTAGTGTTTGTTTTATTTCAATCGGTTCATAAATAAAAAAAGTTATATCAATCTAAAGAATCACATATAAAATGCTATAATATAACCGATCAGTTGAATTGGCTGAAACTTTATGAAGGCATTAGGTATGTAATTATCATTTAAGTATATAATACAATATAAGACCGGATTCATGAAGAGTTTCAATGTGAATGATATATAGGAACTACTTAGAAGCGGACAACGCCGCGGGAAACGGATAGTATATAGTATATATATATTATCCATGCCTATACAGTACAGTCTATACAACATATAGTACACGCCTATTAATTCATATATATATATATATATATGTATATATATATATATATATATATATGACAATTAGCTGACACTTTTTTTATCAGTTTTCTATTATATGCCTATTTTTGAATTTGTCTCGGCTAGCTTTGGTGATTTATAAAACGACATCCATACGTATACATTAAACAAAGACTTTTTAAAGCTTATAAGTATTTTGTGACTAATGAAAAAGATATGGCGACTCCGCCTTGTTATAACCCGGATAGAAAATACATTACTGCAGATTATGCTGTATGGCTCAGTACCTTTGCCTTTCCCTGAGTGGGATAAATTAAACTACTATACTACTCTATATACTTATGCATACAATGTATCTTGATGTATTATTTAATACATAAAATGAGTGTTTATCGGGGGGAAAGTGATTGTTAGTAATGGAGACTGAGAATCCCATTGCTAGAAATACACCCAACTAGGTCGACCTCCTAGCGGTTTCCCCTGGAAACTATCATGGTTAATTCCTGATGAATTCATCATGATGGGCTAACTGGCCTGTTTTCATTGTCATCTATCACCCTTCACTGGTGCCCCGCCAGCGTATCCCGTAGCGTAGGCGGGGTCACCATACCATTTTCACCCATAAAAAAAGAGTGTTTATCCATTAAAGAGATGTAAAAATTATAATATGAAACAAATATAGAAGTTATAAAGGAATCACTCATAACTGTTTATAACGTAAAATTGTGTGAAAGCTTTTTTAGAAGTATTTGTATGGAAACACTCTATCTATATAATCTAAGGTACCTATATTTATTGTTATTTGTGTGCTGTAAATAAGTTATATATCTTATCTATCTAATAAGATTAGTGAGGTAAGATTTCTTTTAGGAAAAAAGTAGATTCGGAGTAATAATAATTATATTTTTATTATATATCTACGTATTTATTGACTTACCTATATAGATGTCGCAAAAATTATGGAGTCTCCTAAGTTCAATACGGTATTAGGGGAGATTTCTCCCCATTCAAGTTTCACCCATAGTTGATGCGTTGGCACGTTCTCAGCACCCTCTGTCAGAAGGTACCGTAGGTATAAATGTATAATTGTATATATGTATATGTAAAGAATGTATATTTAAATATAATATCGACGCTGTAAATAATATCGAGTGCCAAGTGACTGATTTTTAGTGTTCCGTAAAAGATAAGGTACAAAGGAACCCTTCTTTGTCCATCTGTCCGTCTGTCCGTCTGTCGCAGCGGTAGTCGATTATATTTGTACTTGTATTGAACGTAATATTTGAGATGTAGTCTTACTAGAGATTTGTTTATGTATTAATAGTTGTAGCAGTTCAGCTGCCCGCTAACGAAATGCTTTCTCACTGTACTGGGTTGACTGGAAGAGATCTCTGTCAGAGATAAGTCCACCCTTGCTCACAACATTTATAAATAGATTATTTTATATGTAACTTACAAGTGCAATAAAGAATATATATAGATATTAAGTCCTTAATTGTTTGTGGTGAGAAATAATAAATAAATAAATAAATGTACTATCTATATTTACAAATATACAAGGATGTAAGTTGGTTAAATATACATTTTTTATTTCAATGTGATTTGTATGGTGGAACAGAACGATCGCTCGATAAGATCCACCCGGCTTTCAACTACGTGATGTGAGGTTGGGGCGCTTATCTGAGCGGAGGGGAGAAGGTAACAGGAAAGTTAAACATTTGTTATTTTGCAGCCTTTCCACTAATATAATGTTAGCTTCATCATCGTCATCTCAGTCTTTAACTGTCCACTGCTGAACATAAGCCTCCCCTCTGGTGGGATTTGCCAGTAGTTGCCACGCTTGGCAGGCGGATTGGCAACCGTAGTTAGGCTTTGGATGTTTTTTTTTTATACAACTTAGAATGTAAAAGTTTCATAGAAAAAACGTGACATATATTTTTAAATTCCTCAATGAACTCAATTCGCTATAAATGTCAAAACGTTACTCCGTTAGGAAGCATACAAAAATACTTACTCATTCAAATTTAAATTACCTTTATTCAAATACACTTGTTTACAAGCACTTTTAAATAGTTTTTTTTTTTTAATTTACCGCAGGGTTCGGATGGCTGTTATCTGTTGAGAAGAGCCCGCAAGAAACTCAACAGTTACTCTTTTAAAACACTATTAACATTATGTATTTAGTCTACAAAGAATCTTGTTGTTTTTCAATTTTTTTTATACAACTTAGAATGGCAAACAAGCTGACGGCCCACCTGATGGAAAGTGGTAACCCTCGCCTATAGACATGAGCAGTATCATTTTTGAATGCGATTGAGTACGTATAATAAAATAATAACTCTGTTTAAAGCAATAGACAATTTAATATTGTTTTACGTACTAGGGATGTTTTTTTTAGTACGTTTGTTCCGTTATGGAGTATTAGGGATGTGCTCTTTGACAGTTCCGTTCTGTTAAAAAATAAAAAAAAAAACTGTCGTCGATAGAGAGCCGCTTACACTGTCAACTGAATGTCGCTGCAGTCACGCAGCACGCCCGCAACGGGAGATCGTCGCATGGCCGTTAATGGCACATTGTGCAGTATCTATTAACAACGAACACATAGCCGTCGAGGGATGGATCGTGCGATTGTCATGTAAATGTTCGCCGCCGACAGGGGGCGTGACGACGCCCCACGGAACTGTCGTGAGATGATTAATAATTATGTACCACTTGGGGGCGCTTATGTAACGTTGAGATTGAAATATGTTACCCATAGCCGAACACTTTGGCAGTGTTTCTATTATGTTTATTATGAAATTAGGTATTAAATTAATACCTATCCATTCATATTAGATACTATTGATTTTCTTTGATGTTATTAAACAGGAAAAATTTACCGGGTATTTAAATAAATGAAAATTTATTCACGGCATATACAAAAAGGTCCTTCGAGCCGGATATGAGCCAGCGACCTATGGATAACGTCGTTCATATTGACAATTTGAATATTATTTTTAATTTTACATAAACTGTCAAAACAATGTTTCATACAAAACTAATAAAGAGGTTGCATTACTTAAATTATAATTGCTCTTAACGTCCAATGTCCCTGTGACTTTAAAATTTAATTAATATTATAAAGTGAAAAGATTTGGCTTTTTGTATCGTCATCATCAATATCAACGGTTAACTGTCCATTGCTGAAAATAGGCCTCCTCCATAAGAGGGA